GCATCCCTTCTCGTCTCACATTTAGCTGAATCTTTGTTCTATTAAAACAAACCAATGGCAGATCAAATACAGATTATAATTTATAAAGGCAGCAATTACTTATTCCTGATCATTTATCGGAAATATATATTTCGTAAATTACTTAGCCTATTCCCCAGTACGCACGATCATTATTCCCCAGAACCAATTAAAACTGTCCCACGCGCAATTAACCGTGACGGTGCGCACGTGAATCCAACATTCTTTTACGCACTTCATTAGGCCTATGCATCATAAACTATGAGTACCTTTGATTCCTTTGATGTCGGCTACAGACCAGTGAGTTTTTACACCCTTTTAAGAAGACAACAATGGCCATGCTTGACCCTACATATGTAGCAGCATGTTTCCGCTGCCCTGCAGCCCCAGCGCGCCATTCTAGCGGCCTCTCCCACTGTCTGAGCCCCGCCTGCAGCCCGCCGGAGCCCGGGTCCCCTCCCGCGCTCTCCCGCCGCAGAGCCACAGGTTAGAGTAGCACTTCGACAAGGAGCCGAGGAGAAAAGCAACGCACGGGCCTTTTCACACAACTATTTACACGCTTGACGGGTGCACCAATAGGGCACTTCACACAGGGAATAGGTTTAGCATTACTGTGATGCGAAAACACATGTTTTATAATTGCTGTCCATATAGTTAGGCTACGGTAGGCTCAATAAAAATATATATGATAATATATATGATACGAAACAACTTTTTTAGGCTGTATGCCTAAAAAATTTGCATTTTATGTTTAGTTTTATTATTATTATTATTATGATTATGATTATGATTATGATTATGATTATTATTAGTTTGAAACGGAGGCTATTTGTTACTTAATGTTAATTTAAAAATAATATTAACTTGAGTAAATTAGGATAAGATACATGCCATAAAGCAAAGGCTGCAGGGTAAATTTCTGGATGCGTCAAAGAAGCCAAGTTCGCCCTTAACAGTAAATTGGGGGTAACCCTGAAACGGCGTATGAATATTTTAAAGATGTGATAGGCCTCTCCGCTAAAGCCGTTGTTGGCCTGCACTCAGCGTCCCTGTCTCACAAACTAAAATACCGCTTTTTTGCCCCCGAGGTACGTTGGCAGGGATTATCTTTGTTTAATGAATGGGCTACAAGTATTCATCAACACGATGAGATTATTGGGATGCCTCGCTCTCCTTCTGCAGGGCCCTAAATCCAATGTGAACACATTACACACACACTACACACCGCGCAGCCAATTAAAACGCGCTCTGCCCAAATCTATCCCTCCACATCTGCCTCCTTTTCTCCAGCAAACGAAAGGCGCAGAAAAGAAGCAAGCTCATGAATAGGCGCTCATTGAGATCACAGATGGAGTATGGCTTTCTTTTTGCGAGAAATTTGAGAAACACCATTGTCCTCAATCAAAACTCAATGTGTTCGCCCACAATAGCTCCGGCTTTGAGCTCGGCCGCTTCAATTGGCCTTGTTTTTGAAACTTGAAGTGTTCTGTACAAAGACTTGGCCCTCCTAGATGTCACCACCATCATAGCTTTGCCTCACTGCCCGAGTGTGCGGATGACTTAGAAAGGGGAAAAAACACAATTAATATGAAGCAGTAATTACTCCCCTTCACGCCTCTGCGCCCATTCAGAACCCCACTGGCCCATTTATTGCTTTGGGCCCATCCCACGCGGCTCATAATCCGAATGCTACAGGTTTTAGAAGGCACCAGGTCTCAAATAGAGAAAATTGACAAATACAACTAATTATGGCAGCTCTGTTAAAACGTTGTTTTTGTGTTTGTTGTTTTTCTAGTATGACACGCTTTAGCAACAATTAGATGTACACATTCCAGACATTCGGACAGCCACAGAAACAGGGTTTTTTTTTTTTTTTTTTTTTTTTTTTTTTTTGCCAAATGTAATTACAAGGTGCTGCGCATTACGCACGGGTAGTTGATCGCGATGGAAACATCTGCCTTTCACTTAAAGATGAGCAATAGCATGTAAAATAAAAATAGGGAGAAATTCATTAGACTACTTTAGCCTGTAGTTAAATAGGTAAACTATTATAAAATTCCAAATCGGCAACTTCAACGCACAATCAAGGTTGCGCAGGGTACGCACGTCTATGAATCTCTTTTCAAAACTCATGTCATTTAAGGCCTACTCACTTCCACCCCCCGCCAAAATAAATTCATATATTAAATGTAGTTATAGTTGCCTTAATCATTTTTGAGGGGCATGTTTTTACATTTTTTGGTCTCTGGTCTAAATTTGGCCTGCAGGATTTTTTTTTATTGCGTTGAAATAAATCAGTATAATAATAATAATAATAATAATAATAATAATAATAATAATAATAATAATAATAATAATAATAATAATATCATTATTTATTATTCACAAATTGTATGACTAATTATTAATTCACGTTTCTCCTCTGCCAATTTGTCGTCAATGGCAGCCAGAAAAAGTTGGCCATGTTTTTTAAATCCGAGGCACTGAATATAATTCTAGATATGCAGGAATTTTTATTTATTTACTTTTTTTTTTTTGTTAGTAAAAGTTAACAAAATGTCCATAACTTGCACTACCTTTTAATGGGCCCATATAAAAGCAAGATTTGATGTAACACAGAAGTCCAAATACTGTTTTTACCCTGATTAAAAGTCACTATTGTCTCATTCACAAATAGTACTGTGAATGGGTCTGCATAGCCTGAGAGAAAGTGCCCTGCCATTGTGCCCATCCCAACAGTTTTAAGCCTCGTAGATTCTGTTTCTTTGGGCACTCTGAGAAAGTAAACTGGGGCTGACCCTCCAGGTTAGCAGAGTCTGGGGATGTTGGAGGAGATGCTTTAGTGGAGCAGCCTTCACTTCAAAAGGAGGGAGGACTGTGTCAGGAATTCAGTGAGCTGCATTCTTGACCCCGGCGGGAGCTGGTTAAACATCATGGACGCCTTTTTCTTTTGTCACCCAAGAATCAAGACAGAAAAACCTGATGCCCCTCCACTGGATCTGTGCATGTGTGTGAGGGGAGACGCAGTAAGCACATTAGCACACAAACACTTTCTCATCTTCCTCTGACACATCACAGGACCACTGCTGATTAAGACATCTAGCTGGAGGACAGAAGTGACACATGCTAAAAAGGAAGGAAGAAGGAAAGTAGGTATCAACTTTTACACATATACTGAACTACAAGCACATTTTAACCCAAGTAAGAGTAAGACTTTACTCTTTACACAAATAGAAGTACAAAATTTTGCTCAGAGAAATTACTCAAGAGTAAAAAAGTACTCCAATACTCATGAGTAAAAGTAAGAGTAACCAACTGACTAACTGACTTTATAATTCAAAGTTAATGTAATTTCAAAGGACCAAACTATAAATACGACTCAAATGGTGTATTTCCAAAGTATGGGCAGCAAAAATGGCAAAAAAGACAGTTTTTGAGTTGCAATAGAGATGGACTGGATTTAACAGTGGTACATGAGCCTTGGAACTGCAGCATTGTGCTTGCATGGTAAATGTATGGTAAATATAATTTTCTACATTAAATAGTCAGGTGTATTGAGAACCAAACTCCAGGTCAAAACACATTAAAATGACAAGTGTGAAATATCATTTTGTGTCTTGGGCGTTTCCAGCATCGTCATCATCACTGTAGGACAAGCCTGAGCACATAGAGGTGGAAAAGCTGCGTGGAAGAAACAGTAATGTCACACTTGAGAGGAGCTCCACAGAGTTCAGTGAGGCCTAAAGCAGATAAGATGTGACAGAAGATAGTAATGCACCTGCCTGTCTATTGGCCCACAGTTATACACAGGGTCTAACCACCCTCGCCCGGAGCTGTACCAAACACAGCATCCAACTGCACTCTGCCATCAGCCATATAACACTGACATTTCCCATATGGTTCAGTTTTAAGAGGGTCCTGGTCACAAAATAAGAATGTAGAACGAGGGTAACCAGAAATTCAGAAAAAGACAATGATAATTCAGGTGAAAATGTATTGAGAAGAGCTATGAAATTAGAATTGAGATAGAGATTCAATCAGATAATGGGCATGTTTTGTGATAAATGGCACAGACTGTGTTGATGGTTCAAGAAATTCATTTTGAAAGCGTTTGTTTTATTTATTTTTAATGAGACAGAATAAAAAAATCTAATCGATTTGTGATAGATCAAGATGAAATTTTTTTTGTCATTTCTTATATTGCCCAGCCCCAATGAGAGGTGTAATCAGAATAAGAGGCTTGTCTGATTCACTGTAGTTTATACACTATTACTTGAATGTGGAGACAAGAATGACCCTTAAATATGTAAAATCTTTGAGGGCACGCAAATGGACTCAAGACAAAGCTGAAAAAAGGCTGTTACTGATGACTTCTCTTGGAATTATGTAATAATAATAAAAAAGACATGTTTAATTTTACCCTAAAAAAAGAAGGGAAAATACACAAAAATGTCATTAATCATCGATAATTACAAACATAACTAAAATGATGGTGCACCAATATAAATGAACATCTAGCAACATGACTTTGGGTCCATAAGTTAATTTAAAATAAATGTTATTCTGTACAAGGAATTTCCATTTCTGCTGGAGTTGTCCGTGCCCCAGGTTTAAACTTTGCCTTTAGTTGATAGAGGAGCCGTGCTACAGATGGAGGTTTAAGCCCTGTGATCTCTGTGAAGACTGGAGCTGAGCTGTTGTTTGGTGGATAATAGCAGGTGGTGTGTGAAGGAGAGACTTAAGGCATTAATTAGTTAAGAGAAGTAAAAGGAGTACGTTAAAGGTCTGCGCGAACAGGCAGATGTGAAGAAAATGTACTTTTATATTCAAAATAAAGCTGATAGAGATAGTTAGAAATGAACTCAAAATATTATAGAGTAAATTATGTTGCCTTTCATCAAAATGGTACCAGTAAAACCCTAAATGACAGACTAATGGGTACTCTGTTCATAAGTGTTAGAAAAGATTTGGGGGCAACACAGTTTGTTGTCAATATTCATATACTTTATATAATGTAAATCCAACTAAAACTAATACAGCATCAAACTTAAAAAGGATCAAAAGAATTGGAGCGAAAAGAAAACAGAACTAATTGTTTTGGAGAAGCTGATGAAATCAAGACAGTGCGGTCCAGAGCAACACTGCAGAATTCACGCCCGTTTTTTTTCTTTGTGGCAAACATGGGCAGAAGGGTGTGGGCTGGAGGATGAAATCTGGAAAAGATCGAAACCCTTAACACAAGTGCAGAAGATACACGCATCACCTCTTTTGGACAGCGTCTCTTCTTAATTTATTTATTTTTTATTTAGGATTTTGTAAATTCCAAACACAAAAAACAGGTTTTTATAAAAGCAGCCTTGGTGTATTCTTGAATTATTTTTCCTATATGACAACTGTGAGTCCACTCAGTTTCTCAATGCTCTGTGCTCCGGTTTCCATCATAAGGTTGTCATTTAATGTGAGTTGAGGAGGATAGAGGAGATCAGGGAGGTGAAGTGTTTGGCTGTGTGCTTGTGGTACTGCCCGAGCTCCACTCAGGCTGTCCTGTAGCATGGCCAGACCCAGGGCTAGCCTCTTTGCACTCTGTCACTGGATGTGCATGCCGATGCGAGGTGGGTCTTTGGGGTGAGAGGAGGAGAGAGAGTGGCAGGGCCCATGCTCAGTGACTAGTGTGTGTGGAGCCAGTCCAGTCCAGTGTCTCTGTCCTACTCTTTAGCCTCCAGAAACAGTGTCTCCTGTGGGAACAACTTGGCCTCCACCAGTGTCGAGGCAGGATCCAACTGTGTAATCTGCAACAAGAAGAAACAAGGATAAATAAATCATAAAAACAATATCAGACTGGCAAAAATGCATTTTATTATTGCCATTTAAAGTATTTAGATTCAAACCTATGTCAGGTGTACCAACAACCAACACAACACAATTATAATTTAACACTAATTATATATTACTAATTATAACTTAACACTAGTAATTTTTATCAGTGTTTCTGTGTAGCCATTAGCTAATGGGCTCTGGGAATGGAAACATGTCACTGTTGGACACTTATGTGACACAGAAGCTGAACTATTGTTAAGAGCATAGGAATAATGCAGTGCCACCCACATTGGAGCTGATTGCATTAACAAACATTTAGGTCGTCTGACCTATGTTTTTTCAGAACAGGACAATCTGTGTGGTTGGCTGTAGCAGACAGCGCTACAGTGGGCCCCTGAGCTTATGTGACCTAATCGCAGCAGGCTTGAGTTACAGGGGCCTCCTCACACCTGGGCAGACGCTGCTGTGTGACACTGAGCCTGTGCAGGGCTTATCTATGACGGCTGCACAGCCTCTGATTAGAAGCAGTCAGATAATTAACCTTCCTGTACCTGCTGCAAAGGTCAGAGTGCAAGCTAAAGGACAAACAGGTTTCTTCCACAACAAGGAAAGTGATATGTCCAAGAAAAAAACAATGTATACAGAGTTCTGATGTGTCTCCCAACCAAACAAAACATCTCGATTTATTGCTGTATACAAGTGAATGTTTTTTTTTCTATTTGATTTTTCTTATTAGATGACCATTCATATGGACTGAAAAGGCAGAGCTTATGATGGCCTGTTTGCCAATCCTTAGGTGGTGCCTATAATTAAAACAATCTACACATTTAAACTTGTGCTAACTACACCGCTCCAGGTTTAAAGGCAGGGTGAGAAAAGACCAGAGGAGCAGAGTAAATTAGGAGTGGGTGCCTGTGACAGATCAGCATCAGGCACCTCTCGTCTCCCATGGGAGTTTGGAAATGTCACACCATGTACACACCAGTGGTCTTTGACTCCCTGTCTTTATGTCCCCGTCCTCATTTCAACGTGTCATTTAAACTCTTGACTTCTCAGCGGGTCGCTGTGAGCTCAGTATGGGCAGGGAGGGGCTGTTACATCAACCTTGCACCCCTCACCTAGGCGACTGCCTCGGAGCACGGCAGGGAGCCAAGCGCCTTGAAGAGACAGGAAAATGGTGTTTGCCTCAAACATATTCTATCCCTATGGAAAGCACAAGGCTGCTGCCTCCTGCTCCCACCTCAGGAGCTGCACATGGCCGATGGCACCATGCTAATGAAGCCGACAGGCTGTGGTGACACCATGGCATCAGGTAGAATAAATGAGGCTTTGGGGTGGAGCAGGTGTGTGTGCGCGCTCCGTCATTGGGAGTCTGAGCTCGCAGTGCACAATCTGCACCAGGGAGTGCGACAGGGGCTGAGCAGCATCTGACTCGGAAAAAGAAAGTAGGGAAACAAGATGCCACACTGACACAAGAGACGGGCACCATCGGTGATTGTTTACATTGTTATCCAATTAACAGACCATAAGTACGAAGGCATCTGTCAACAAACAAAGCTGTTGTTTTTCCTCTGCTCTGCAGAAGCATAAGCCATTTCCCCCTCCAGTCGCTGCCGTGCATACATACATAGAGCCATACATTCAAAAGACAGACTAGATTTTAACTTTAGTCAATTATATGCTATATTGATTTACAATTGTGGGAAATATGAAAGGGAAAGAGCCAAACCTTATAATTATTCTTTTGCTTAAATTTTTTGTAAATATAAAAAGAACCCTCCAAACAGGTCCTAATGTACAGAATAAAACACATTGTAGTTGAAAGCCGAGTCTGAACAGCGACACATAACAATCACGGAGTTCCACAGCGAGTCTAATTTTAAAACTGGAACCAAACAAAAAGACAGATGGTGTTTCTAGGCACTGTTTGATAGTTTATCTTTCTTTCATTTTGAAAAATTGTATGACATAAAACATTCTGCTAATATCACCCCCATGTATTTGGCATTATTGGACAGCAGACTTCAGTAAACTAAAAACCAAATAATTAGTACTTTGTGTAAATTTTAAAATAAATATTAAATTGAAGATGAATAGCAGTTGGGAAGGCCACACTAAGGCAATACACGGCAATGAAAGAAAAGAAAAGCAAAATAAACACTGCGCCTTGAGATGTCCGTTTCCAACACAATCAGCGCGCAGCTGAAATAACGCATTTTTAATGAAGCCATTACAGGCCCGACTATGTTAATTAAAACCAAATAACTTGTCTGTTTTAAACTAGTGTTGTCAAGTGTTTATTTGGCCAATTACAAAAGCAGTGGGAGATCATTATCCGCTGCCAGGAGTGTTGACAGCACGTTGAGTCGGGGCGTGAACAGAAAAGAACAGAGCCCAATACGCCACTTCAAAGGAACAAGCCCACGATCACTGGACAAGGAGGGGCGGAGGAGCCAGTGTGAAAACGAGCATGAAACAGAGAAAGCAGGGCATGTATGTTTTTATATTGACCACTGAAGGTATAAATAATGAGCCATTCTTATTGGGGATGACATAAAGAAGGAGCTGGACCAGTGCAGCAGCTGAGGCAGCAGAGAAGAGGGAAAATCAGACAGAGGGAGGGAAAGGCAACTGGTCCTCTGAGAATAGCTACAGGAACACCTGCAGAAGATACTGACACAAGAGTGCATTAAGTGGAAAATAAAACATCTGTCATTTCTATCCAAATTCTGAGATAAAATTAAAACAGACTAAGAAATAATATAAAGAATGTCAAAAGGAAATTCCAATGACAAAATATACCATTGATAATAAATAAGTGGTTTAAATCTCAAATACAGTTATCAAAACAAGGACTGGCCTTTTCCAGATGTAAAATCTATCTGAGCTCAGCACATGGCCTCCTCTGTGCAGCTGTTTATTTTTCCTCCATCTCAGGTTTTCACTAAGAATTATTTAGGCTACAGGGCTTTGGTGCTGGCGGAAGAATTAAGAGAAGGTGAAAGGGGGTACAGTATTACAGAGACCAGAATATGCCACTGAGACAGTCCACAAATGTCTAGAAACAAAAAATCACTTGGCCCACAGTCTAAACATGCTCTCTGCAAACTGATGTAAGATTCCCAGCTTAAAACACTTTGTGTTCCATAAAACTCAGAGAAAGAGAAAAGCAAAAACTGAAACACTAAAAGACTCCTCAAACTTGCAGAAACACAGCAAGGGTTAGTTTCCTGAGCACGGCTAAGCCCAGAACAAATGATGCCAGTGTAAGGCCTGCTGTAGAGCTGAAGACATAAGCCACTGATACCAAATGCTGATACACATTCCGTCCAAAAACACAGACTAATAGGCATTTACTGGCAAAGCTACAGGAAGGTGGGAAATGCATGAGTCACAGACATCTGATCTTCCATGTTATTGCATAAATGATTAATTAGTCATTTACAAACACTCCTAAACCAAGAATTATCAGATGATAAGAGCCAGTCATTAAAATAACCTTTCCCCCGCTCCATTCCAAAAGTGCAGTTTAATTGTAAATATCAGCAGAGCTGTGACTGAATGAGATGTAGTTAAAGAGAGCTCCCTACAGTGAAAGAGTGACAGTGCACACAGTGCAGGAGAAGGCGCATTACAAATGCAATAGTGGTCTAGAGTGGATCCTCTGATCCTGGCAGAGCAACAGTGGAGCGTCTGGCTGGATGGAGGGTTCCTCTGCTCCTCTCATTTAATTACGACACAGAGCTGCAGGATTAGACAGGGGCCTGTGTTCACAGCCTTGCACTGGCACTTCCACTCAGCTCCTTTCCTCCTGTCTTTCCCTAAAGCTCTCCTCTTTCTGTTTTTTGGAATTCTCTGCCATCATCTTCAATTTAATATCTTTCTCGCTTGTCTCTCAATCCTTTTCTTTTTCAGACTGTTTCTCTAATTAAATCTTTCTTTGTTTAGGCTTTTATCTCCTCTGTTCCTCTCCTCTTCTCTCCCCTTCTAATCCCTCCGTCCTGTTTTTGCCCGAATTTCATCTGCGATGCAGACACATCTTTATCTGTGTCTCAAACACATGTTTACTCTTGATTATAAAGAGACAACTGTGAATCCTTTAAGTGACAAAGTTGTGAGTGGGGCATGTGTTTGCCTGAAAATATTTGTGCATGTGTTGAAGTGTGTGATTGTGACGAAATGAAAAGTGTGAGCTATGCGTTAATGTGCGGGTGGGAGGGAGGCGTTTGTGCCCCTCTGGTCTCTATGGACAACCATGGCACGCTGCCTGGGCAAGCCTTCGCGCACACACCATACACCTCTGAAAGCACCTCTCCTCATGTGCGAGGTTTGATGAATGGAAATCACATTTTGTTTCCAGCAGCATGGCTAATTAAATGGGTGGTGCTCATTAGCTCACTGCTACCCAACGCAGTGGCCAAGCCCTCTAATGACTGTTTGTAGCAGGCTGCGAGAAGCAGCAGAACCATAGAGAATATGCTGTTAGTGCTGACAACTGTATCCTAATACAGCCAGAGTACAGTATTCACAAAGGGCCCACGCTAATTAATATGTCCCAAATTATACATCTGCACAACTGTTGGTTTAAATTGCATAGGCAGAACCCTAATAAGGACATGTGGACCTAACTAATAAATCATGTCCAATAGTAACTACATGTACTGGGAGAACTAAGGTCTAAATTGAGTGATTAGAGTGGTCAAATGTGTCTCTTTTTGTGATGTTCTTCTGACCTTGTCTATACAAGATACAGTGTCCCATGTCTGGGCACAACACAGCGATGTGGTGATTTCCAGTACTCACATTTCTACGAGGGAAGGTGGTGAGCAGCTTGAACTCATCTGAGGGGTAACCCTTCGAGGCCACAAAGTCGAAAAGGACCTGCAGTTTACAGCTGCCAAGGAAGCGCCTCTCCACAAACTCTCCGCTGGGAGTGCGGATCCTCAGTTTACTGATCTGTTCTCCTGAATCCTCCTCAGGCTCCGGCGGTAGGGTCTGCTCCAGTGACAAACGAATAGCCTGAAAGAGTCACACAAACACAGTCAGGTTTAATGTTTACATACAGCTGCTTGGGGCAGGTGTCTACACTGGTGTTAGTTTACATCAGTTGGCCAATGTGTCCGAGACACAAAGAATATACATTGAGCACCCATGTAAATTATTGTAAATTTTTTGTGGATGGAATCTTTGCATTTGAGTGAAAGTCACTGGATTATAGTTGAACTATTCTAGTTCGGAAGTGCTTAGAACACCACATTTAGTTGTTTTTTTTAAGTTACTGGTAAATCCATAATGTAGACTGAGACAAAATGCAGTCACTTTCCACATGAAGCTAATCAGCTCTCCTGTCGTACAGCTACACTTCTCTGCTCCCAAGAGCTCCTTTCTGTTGCCCCTCACCACCTCTGCCTCCTTGTTGTTCTTGTTTGGCCAGGCAGAGAGCATATGCTGTGACAACACGCCCCGGCTTTATTTACACACCATAATGCAATTATATTTCATAAGAGTGTACAACAGTAGCTCATTAGCAGCTTCTGGTGTTGGGTGGGCAGGGTTGGGCGCGTGCCGCACCGCCAGGCGCTCCCTCAGGTGTAAGAGCTGATGCTGACTGAGTTAAAGGGTTCTCCTGGGACCTGCTAACACACACTTAAATGAGTGAGGAGCGTGTGTGTGGTGACGGACACACAACCACCAACACAAGCATAAACACCAACAGCAGAGAAGCAGCGTCACTAAAGAAACCACAGGACACGCGTCTGGTACCACCTCAGACCAGGCCCGTCCTCACTGCATCTACACGCCTGCTTCTTAATCTCAAATCTACCAACCACAACAAGCAAACAGATGAGGAGTGGGAGAGGGTACACCTGCATGCAGAGACCCCCAGAGGAGGGTCCCTTAAACAGGCACATGCACGCTGCCTGGCCCGATCCCCACCCCAATCTACCCGCTTCTCCTTTAATCTCAGTCTCCTGCACGAAGGCACCAAATCACACGAAGCATTCCCTGTTGCACTGTCTGTTCTCTAGTGGCAACCCATGTTTGTTTTGAGTCTGAAGTTTCACCCATAGACAAGGTTACCACACTGTGACTTACACAGTTAATGTAATAAAAAGAGACAGCTTTGTATGTTTCAACAACAGAAAATCCCAAATGTAAAAATCAGCTTTTCTCTATACCTTGTGCTAGGGACACTCAAACATTTGAGGACCTTGTAATTTTTTAAATAGCTGCCTGAAAATTCTCATATGACACTGTACTAAATACTTAACACATAATTGAACAATTTTAGTATTTCACTCTTCAATTCAAATCATGTTTAGAATATGACGGGAGAAAACTTGAAAGTGATTCATCTCTGATTACAGTCTAAAAAAAAATATTGTTTGCCCTCCCCTGGCAACTGTGGGAAGTGTGAGCAAGCTGAAATAAGGCTAAAAACAGTAGGTGTTTGAAAAGCTGTTTCATAGTCTAGGCAATCTGAGCGCCAGAATGGTCAAAAGAGACATTGAAGCACTAAATACACGGAGAAGAAGCAGGACTCCACTTTAGAGGGGGTATTATGCAAAATCGAGTTTTTAGAGGTTTCCACCATGTTATAAAGTTGATCCCTCATCAAAACATGCCTGAAGAGGTTTAATATGTCATCCATGCATATTTGAGGAATCTTACCATCTCTCCTGGGCACTGTTCGAACTCTCCTCACTGAGAGTATGATCCTGTCCTCAGAGACTCAGAGCCCCTAAGACTACCCATCACCCATACTCTTACAGGAATTTTATATACATATTTTAGAAAGTATGATTCAAAACAATCAAGTAAAACTAAACAAATGTGATGTTTACCTAGCAGGATGCACACAGATTGTAATGTGATAGCAATCTGAAGGGGGAGTGACTTAGTGCAAGGAGCAGGGACTCAAAGAGTCAAAAACAAAATTGAAACATATTAAAAACATTTAATTAAATTGATTTTTGTTTTTTTGTTTTTATGTTGTTTTCGGCTAACAGCATTTTCAAAAGCTAGATATATTATGTGTTAGCACATAGAAATATAAATCTCCCTTTTTAACAATCGTGACTGAAACAAACAACTACAGCAGTTATGCTGATTGATGAGGTAACAACATTACCACAAGGATAAACCGTTTTCAAAAGTTAATAATGTGTGACCTTTAGACGAGTAAAATACAAAGATAAAGTCAGTTTACAGTTTGGTCAGTGACCAACAGTGAACATAATTAAGGAGGCTGGCCTGGGCTCTTTGTTGTTGTGTTTAACTTAAGTGACAAATCACCTGTACCCAACCAGTCACCCAATACCTCACTGCCCCAGGGCCTCTGCTGTTGAGCAAACAACAATCACTGAGCACTGTATTACTATAGACTATATTACAACATTGGGCCCATCCTTGTAGACAATAATTGTGTTGTATTTGCGTGACAGTGTGTCTGCCTATAGGAGCATGTGTTTGCCCCTCGCTTCACATACAATTGTGTTCCAAGTCAATGTGTGTGTTTGCTTAGGTTGTGTGCGCCGGTGCTAAGCCTATGATCCTGAATTGCCGCAGTCTTTTGTCCATTTCAATATGAGGCATATGTTTTACATGGGCCCAAAGCAGTTAAAGTGAACAATAACTGTGTTTGGAGGTGACATACTGTACTGAGGCTCACTGTAATTAGAAGACTCAAACTGCTTTGTGCCCTTTCACCCACACCCCGCACGGCGTACGAGCCAATGATTGGCAGACCTCACCAAAACCACAATCTAATTATTCTCATTATTGCGAAGTGACAGCAAGATATTAAATATATTATTATTACAAAGCAAACAGAGACAGAGACAATTTCCTAGTATTGGTGAAAATAAAACCGTAATTAGAAAATACCATGTAATTGATTGGTGCTTTGTAAGTGTATGTTACTCACCTCCTTCTCTTCCTCCTGTTCCTTTTTCATTCGCTCAAGACGCACTTGTTCAGCTTCTTCTCTTTCCTGGGCTTCTCTCTGAAACACCACACACCAGAAAACACCTTATTAAGAAGAGCAGATATCCTGCTAGGTGCAAGTGTGTATGCTACAAGGTGAAGAGTGAGACATTCAAAAAGACTCAGCAATCAGTTTAACCTTGCTGGTAGGGAATGGGCCAACGTACAGCGGACTTTTCATTTCCATTTAATAAAGTACAAATGACGGTGTCCAACTTCAGCAGTGATTGCTGGTTGAGGCCTTGTTTGTGGAGGTAAACAATTTACCAAATGTGTATGTATATGTAATCTACCCAAATGCAACAAAAAAAAAAAGAATGTAACAAGCTAATATGAATATAATGTTTTGGTTAGGAGGAAGATATTGGAATATATTTTTTATGATTCAAAATTGATTTAGTATGAATCAGCATTATCTCTGATACCTTCTTGCGGTCAGCTTCTAGTGACAAGCGGTAGGCTTCATCCTGCTCCCTCTTCACCATCTCTCTTGCCTCTCGTTCATCCTGGGACAGAGAACAAAACCTGTGAGCTGTGTTGTGTGGTTAAAGACACAAACATCAGGTATGAAAGAGCCATAGCAGAATTCATTGAGTTAGGGCTGTCATTAGGCAAACTGGGGTGCTTTTATGCATCCTCATCTCAGTTTCACCCTCCCTCTCTGGCTCATTCATTTGCGCCACTCTCTTCCTGTTTGTACAGAGGAAAGGGGAGAGCCAGCCTTTTTCTTTCTACCTGCTGTGGCTACAAAATGTTGTACAAAGACAGCAACTAAATACGAGTGTCCATTGTGTTACCACTGCACAGCCATTAGTTTTGTATTTTGTGAAGGCCCATGCTGTGTGTGTCTGGCCGGATACACCAAAGAAAGCTCATTGTGTGGACCAGAGCGCTTACCGTGGTGCGGCTAAAGCTATAGCTGCCGCAAAAGGACAGTGTGTATTGTTGTATTGTATTGAATCAAAAAAGCAAAGGATACATTTGTGCTTTTAAAGGATGACCGCTGAAAGGAAACAGTAAAAGAATAGCGGCTGGACAAAGGCATCAAAAGTGATGCATTCAATGACCCGACTTAAGTCACGCTATTAGGTCAGAATTTTAAATAAATGTGAGTTTAAATGAAGAAACAACAGATTTGTCTACTATATAATACTTTAGGATTTATTTAGAGAAGAGTATGTACCATGTGGAGGCACAGAAGGGACTTTTTTACATCTATATATTTTGGATGGGTATCAAGATGCGGAGTCTGTAAGAAGTTTTGACTAACTTTCAATTTAGTGTCCAGAGGTCAGCACAACAAGCTGTTTTATTTTAGAATTTGCTTAAAATAACAATTGTATTACAGTTTAACATACTTTTAACTTGCTACATTGCCACTAGGGATTATTCTTGGCCACTGAAGCACTATCAATGTATTGTTACATAGGGCAGCTCATTTAAAACACATGTATATATGCATCTACACTAGCATAACCAGAGACTTTCATGATAAATGCTATAGTCAGCTGACTACAAGCACTCAACACAAAACACAACAGGAGCAACCGTGGAGGGATGACTTTAAAAGCAGGCGGTCCAGCTGCTCTGCTTCAGACAGACACAAAAGTCACTGCTGAAGAAGAATGTCTGGGATGGCTCAGTGTTTGAGTACATGTCTGAGCTTCTGTGAGGTGAAGTGGAAAACTGACAATGGCGTAAACAAGTCCGTGGGAATACAGTAATCCAGTTAGGCATTGCCCAAGAGCTGGTGGGACTCCATCAATGCAATGTTGTTAAATATATGTGATGTTCATCTAGTTTTAGACAGCAGTTATGGCAATATTTCTCACAGATTTGATACAGACAATGGTTTATTTTAATGACTATATGTATCTATAAAACATTCATAACCATAAATATAACACCAGTATTTTATTTGTGGAGAGTGTGGCACACCTTTGACAGCTTGTCACACATGATTATTTAACAATGACATTGATTACTGTTGCAATAAAATTAACAGTTGACGTGACAGTAGTCATTAAGACACCTGAGAAAGAGAAAGCCTCAGGCTGTGTGAGGGCCCCACCTAAAATCACATGCTACGTCTCTCACCAGTTAGTTAATAGTTGGCATGCTAAGAAACAGTTAACCCTAATGCTCTATGACATGTGTCAGAATAGATACTCTGCACTAACAGCACTGCACTAAGAAAAGTAATTTGTGTGGGGACAAATAAGGACAAAATGTTTAAGAGATTGAACACTCTCAGTCACAGGAATGGAATCTGGCTAAAGCTCAAATATATTTTAAAAATGTTAATGGAAACTAAGGGGCATTTCTCAGTAAGTGCAGTAATTCATTAAAATAGCATGAAGCTGAACTGCACTGGAAGTTAGAGCTTGTTTGATGTTGCTGAGTAAATATATACTTTAAGAAATGGTTTAGTTCCCTAGTAAACAGTAACAAAGAGTGCTATTGGGAGGTTACCGACTCTTACATCAAAGACTGGCAGAGTGGCTTGTGTCCCTTTACAAAGCCTATAGTTGGCACAGCACTGGGAAAAGTAAATGTGAACAGAGTGAGACGGTTAAGTATTCACTGCTCGTCTTTTGCATAAGCCACAGTGTAACAATGTCGCCTGATGTGCCCTGGCATGTTGTGGGTTATGCTCTCAGGAGGAAGTAAAGATGGACTGAAAATATATCTGCTGGTTTAACTGGTTTAGAACAAATAAAATGCAAAATGTGCATTTGGTGATTTTATAGAGTTAAGCCCCAAATGATTGAAACCCCAAGCATTGCTTTCATAAGTTATTAATCTATTAAGTGTAATATTACCTCATCTTTGATATCCTCTTGCTGTTGTGCTGTGAAGATTTCCATGGCTCCCATTAATCTCATCATAAGCTCATCGACTGTTGTATTGCCTGTAAAAACATGGAAATTTAATATTTTGTAACCTGTTCAAATCATGCAGTGGCTAATTACCTTGAATAACATTTAGAACTTCGTTGGATGTGCGTTTTCCCATGACTATAAGAAGCAATGGGAACTGGTCTGTTTTATATGTCCGCACAGTCTGAGTTACCACGCTGCCAAAGTGCCGTGTACACATGGTGAGTAGTCTGCAAGACACAAATAACACACTTTTATTCCATCAAACTCACTTTTTGTTTAGCTGAATATTTCTATATCCTTTAACATTTCATTGGCATTTGGGAAAAAGAGGCAATATACTACAGCTTTTCTGATTTGAAGCGCAAAGAGAAATACACACAACTTGTGGCATTAAGGACTTTAAAACCAATTCTGCATTTTCATATTCCATCAGAGTGACATGCTTTTTCAATGGAGCAGCAGAGGAATTAGTATTCCTCACCAGACGCTCAGAATTGATAGGGCAAGAGAGGATTTCTTATTCCATTACAAAGACAGAACTTTTTAAATTAACATTTCAGGAAGGGAAAAGGGTAGCAGGCAGACGGGGCCCAGCCAAGCTCCCTGTAAATGTCATAATATTAATGAATTGCTATAGACTGAATGCAAATATAGATTAGCTTTTTCTTCTGCCTTTTAATAAGATCTACTTTAATAACTGGCTGGTAAAATAGAGAAGTGGAAGGAGGGACGGCAGGTCAGAGGCAGGCAACCGATGAAGTGATGCCATGTGAGAAGGGCTGTAACTCATTAAAACGGGAATGCAAGGGCAATACAGACAATTCAAACTAGAAAACTTTTAGATACTTAAATACAAATAAATACATGCAATAAATAAATAATATATGCAAAACAATAAATACAACATGTAAAATAAAGGAAATACATTTTGAAATCAAACTACACCATTTCCCAAAGGACGAACTTTGAGTGACCCATAACCTACAAGGGGCACCCTAAATTCTTGGGATCATTTGGACCGTTCTTGTTCTTCAACAGGACCAGCGCAACAATAGTTCACAGGGAAATCCTAACCTGTAATGAAAGGCCACTAAACAATAGTCCCCAACCTAAGGAGTAACCCAATCTGAAATAGCCCATGAAGCACATAGTAACCAGCTATGGTCCTAACTATACCAAATCCTAAGTGGCACAAAAATGGCAATGCCTTTTTTCTGAAATACAAGAAGTGAAATAAGTACATGATAAATGTGAATGACATCTCATTCAGCCATAATTTAACAAGCTGAAAAATGTAGTTCAGAATGTATTAGACTGTGGCCTTTAAAAACCTTAAGGCAAAACGCATGTAGACAAACCACCTGCAAGAATTTTGCAACTACTTTGAGTGTGCATCATTTACTAAAGTGATTGACAGCTAGCAATTTCACACTACCTCTCCTTCACACCTGCTGCACACTCAAACAAGACAAATAGTTAATGTTGCCCTGAACTGTCACATTGCATTTGTTCAATTCAAAATTATGTCAAGAGTGCACTGGTTAGACATGACATTTGCTCCAATGAGCAGGTGATGACTCAGACCTGTGCAGCACTGCAGGGAATGTATTCATAAGCACCTGTCCCAGGGCAGGTATGGAGCGCACAGTGTCATATACACTTTGTCTCACAGCAGATATGGACATGTTTGGCACTAAAATGTGTTTTTAATCAGTTTAACCATCAGATAAGAGAATGTCAGGTTGTCAAATCAAGTGTACACAAACTGAAAACACTTACACAATCTTTACATCAGTTCTAGACTCATGCCTTATATCAGAGCACTGAAAGTACCTAAGTAAATACCAAAGTACAATAACACTTACTACTATTAAAGAATTAATTCTAACTTTAAAAAAAATGTGTCACACACTGATGGTGGGTAAAGGAAGTGTACTCAAATATAAGTCTGATTGTTACAGACTCATGGAGACACCTTATATGCAGTGTGAGACTGGTGCCAATCACAGTCACTGTGGATCAACAGAGAGCGTGAGAATGTTCAGGATTGGTGGGTGAGAGACAGAGAGAGCAGTGAGCGTGCACATTGGCATGCAAGCGTTAGCAAAGCTGTGACTAGCTGTGTGCGATGAAAAGCTCCAGATGTTGCTAGCCTTTTAATGTGAAATAAAAAGCTCAGCTGGGGCAAAAAGCAAAGGAGGCCAAGAGAGAAAAGAAATTGGAATAAAGGAAGGAACGTTTTTAAGAGACTTAATAGAGGGGTAAGGTCAGGGCGCAAACGTGTCCCCAGTGGCTGCTAGCAGAGTACAGGCTTAAATCCGCCTTGGGCACATGGACACAGAGGGAAGACTATGAACGGAGATTACCAAACACATCTAATAAAGTTGTGTTGCACCGACTTGCCATTTACAAAATATTGTTGTCAGATAAAAATAAAGACATAGAGCCTTCTCCCAACTGACTATTCAGACAGTTGAATAAAGATGGCCTCATCATGGGCCTCACCGTGCAAACATGGTTCCTTTTGTCAGCATGGAACCTCTGAGCTTTCTCAATAATAGTTAAAGAGAGAATGAGAGACAGGGATACAACATGTCAGCTAAGCACCGCAATGCCCACAATTAACAAATGTCTAGAGAACCATTTCTGAGATATGGTTTACACAATTGCAGACTGTAAATGAGTCTTTTTATACAGGCAGACTTCTAATAACTAATAAAAAACAAAACAAACTTATAACAGCTTTAACACATAGCATATTTAGTTTGACGGCCGCAGTGTAAACAGAAGCTGCTCCAACACATTTACTTACCTAGCATACAATATGCACCTGACTATTTATGCAAACACGCCAATCCTTCTTATAATAAATGACACATGAATAAAATATATAAGGATTATGGACGCTTTCGGAGACGCTCTAGGGTTAATATAATGCTCTATAAAAGCAGATCAAAAGATATTCAACACAGATTACAGTACAGTAGCTGAAATACAAAAGTAATTAGTAAAATGTACTCCGAATGGTATCTTTTGTATGTAAAAAGATGCTAAAAACTTTAACAGACAAGATATTATTATTATAAAACTTTTTTTTTCTGTGTACCTGGCTTTGTTAGCTTCTTTAGTGACATCCCAAGCCCATGTGATAAAGTTCTGGCTCAAGTAGGAAACAATAGAATCAGCACACATCATCTGAGAGCAGAAGACGTTACTGAGAACACTGTCGTCATTGTGGAGGTAGATCGCCAGCAGCTTTCTCTGAGGAAAGACACAGAAATACAAGTGAGTAAAGGGTACCATTGATTTTCTATGGACAATTTCTGTCTGGGGCCCCAAAGGCCACTACACAGGCTTATTGCTTACTGAAGTTAATTTAGTGTTTAGGAGAACAGTAAAAGGGGGTGGAGGTTAGAAAAGAGTGTTAGAAAATGTTCCTGGACTCCAAATGACAGTAAGAATTAACTACAGTTTCAGTTAGTGTTGAGAAACATCTTTGGTCCCAAAAGTGTGTTAAAGATTTTTTATTTACTCTGAAAAATGAATAAATATGCAATGCTGTAATAACTGCAGTATTACCATATTGTGATATTAATGTGTGTTGTATCAACTCATTAGTGACCCCTGAGTATTTTTTGGCATAGCTCAAAAATAAGACTAGACTTGACTACTTTAGTTTGGATTACCTTGATTTATTTTGGCTATTGTTGCTTTTTGTTAGGAAAAACAGATTTGAGTAGTACCGTTAATGAAGACTGAAGCTGATGTGTGTCTGGACCTACAGTGTGAGACTTCTCTGTGGCGTGTCTGTGAAGTCATGTTCACATTACACGACCATAAAACCACATATGAGACCTTCAGTGCAGCGCCTGCCTGACTCCCGCTGACCAATGTAAGGCCAGAACTGGGCAAAAAAACAAATACCACGCAAAATCAAATGGTGAGGGGTGTAAACAAAACTTCTCTGTGAAGCCGAGGCCGATATGGAGAAAACAAAACAGACAAATCACTCTATTTATTTTACACCAAATGCCAGGAGCCTGTTCAGGTTAGTAGCGGCAGGGCCAGACAATATTGACGAAGCTCCAAATCCAAGGATATTGACACCATCATATAAGCCTGGCACAATCTCCGCACTGACAATCTAATTAAAAAGCAAACACACCCACAAACATAAAAGGTTCCAAAGGACATTGTTGGAAATAATGCTCTCTAAATTACATGTCACTTCTCCTGTTATAAAAGAACAAAGAGGGACAGAAAAAAAATCGCAGGCTTCAGTCCGTTCATTTTCATCCATGGCTGTGAAGGAGGAGTCAAAGTTTCTCAGGAGCCCATAATCTAGGCTACATATGCCAGAAGCAGAAAAAAAAACTATGCAGGGTGTAAAAAGTAAAGGGAAGTTGAAAATAGAAGTTGTACTATACTGTGGCCTGTGTGGAATGGGAATGGGAGAGCACTGCTGTGTTTGCTCAACGATTAGTGCTTTAGAATAATCTCCAGGGCTCCTAGAACGAAGGAGCTGGGGACTCATTCTTCGGGCCAATTCAACGGCCTGAAAAGATTAAACACTCACGCTGAGAAGACAAGCAAATTCTGTCAGGAAAGGAATGAGCGCGAGGGGAAACGGGAAAAAAAAAAATCCAGAAACACGCTTAATGCAGGCATCCAAACACACACGGAAAGATTGGTCTGAGGTAAAGGGCTCAGACTCGTACACATGCATGCTCAATTAGCACAAGTGTAAAGATTAATCAGCCCGGGCATTTGGGCCAGCTGAACTCCTTCATCTTCAAGTTAAATTGTCCATACGCCTTGGTTCTAGCTCCTCTTTCAAGTTGAGTCCTTTGTGAGGCCTGTCTTAGTGGGGAGGAGCAAATCCCACATTTCAGCCAAATTACTAGGTCCAACCTGAGCAAGACAGTAACCCCGCAGTTCCTCCACACACCTGTTCACCTGCTGTGAACAAATAATAAATCAAGTCAAAATATAATCAATATTATACATAACTAGAAAAGGCCATGAAATACATTGGCCTGTTTTTTTTATGACAATTACATATTATTTTAACACCTGGTTTGACAAAGAAAGGAGGAACAAATATATCAGCTGCTAAAATAAAAAAAAGCATGCTTATTAGGACTTGGCATAGATTTTACTGTTGGTCAAAATGCACTACCTGTGCTATAAAAACAATTATATTTTAGACATTTGTAATTATGAAAGAACGTTTAACAACACACATACATGCACAAAGTGAATTTTTTTTTTTTTTTGCATAGTCGCAAAGCAAGCAATTATCTTATACTATGACTGTGGCCATGTCATAGAAATGAAAATGCATATCATCTATGGACACATTTAATATATTTAGTTTCAAGGAGTATCTGCTTCCCATAGTACTTTTAAAGTCCAGTCTTACTTTTACCAGAGCTCCTCTAATGTGTCACATATGGAAACACAGGGGACTGCTGGGATAGTTGTCCATGTAGTGATTGTTCTACAGATGGCAGGCTCAGTCTACAAAAGCAAACACTTCAAAATGAAGAGCTCAAATGGCTGATCTAATGACCTCGCGCACATAGTGGGAAAACACATTCAGATCGATGACCAACCACAGAGCCTGCTCCCACCCACCACCGGAAACGCATTATCCCCACATCTAAATGATAATTAAACTACCCAACTGTTATTTATAGGCATCCCATCAAGCCATAAACATAAAGACAACAAGTAAATAGTTCAATTGTCTAGCCAGATCATTTAAGCACATAAATATATTTCTAAAAATTAACTAGGAAGCTTGTTTTGTCTGAATTGATTTATTTCTAATCCTTCTGATATTAACTTTGCTGTGATTACTTAAGGGCCAGTCAACAATCCATGGGAGAGTGTTGCTTGTCATTTGCAGTCATAAATCTGCAAGCTTTAAGTCTATCTATATGCCATATGCCAGGCTGGCCCGTCCGTGCTCTTTCCTCTTGACTCTGGAGGGCTGCCGTGGGTGTTAAAGCGGATACTTGGCGGCGATAAATCCCTCAAGTCCCTTCTCGAGTGAGGCTATGAATTTTGATGTGTCTTTGTGTGTGGCGGACAGGAGAGCAGAGGAGAGCAGGGCTAGAGTGATTAACCACTGCGTTGATGGGGATTTAGCCAGGATCGTGGTTAGTGATGGGTGGCCTATCTCTCTGTATGCTCCGGCTAACCACTGATCCCCAAGAGGGTTCAGATCAGCTCAGCTCTGGAGCCCAAAGCATTTTCATTAAGGATGGATTGAGTCTATCTCCACAGTCCCCCAACACACACCTTCAGAAACACTTCATCAAATGTAGTGTTTTGCTTAGTGATTAGCCTCTCTCAGGCTTTAAGAGAGTGAGACCAACTTCTCAGTTTTAAGACACGCCAAATAGTCTTTCCTTCAGTCAAATCTTCTGTATTCCACTATCATTTTAATGAAGCAGGCTGTTTAACAATAGGGACACCAAACAAAAATCCTATCCAAAAAAGAGCTGAGAGAGTAATGGCTAGAAGGATGGAAAAGGGCCGGTATAATGGTGGACATATGCTACTGTGTTATGAAAGCGTTGACGGCAGCATGTTTTGGCCTGTAGTCTAGTGTGCCTGTGACAAAACAGGACAAACACAGAACAGATCAAATAGCTTCTGTTTTCATGCAAAATTCTCTAAAGCCACCCTAACCACTGCACAGTTGGCGGGCTAAGTCACACTCGCCCACAAAACGCTAACTACAGAGAAAAAGAATACTATTTTGCACGAGCGCAGCCTGAAGTACAGTGGCACAGTAGAGAGTGTAACACCAGAGAAGCACTGGCCATATTGCAATGGCTTAGGAGAAGAGATCATCTGGGAACAAGGCAAAACGCCAAGGTTTTGTAGTTTTTTTTCATGCTTCGGTTTATTTTTGACTATAAAACTTTATTACTTGCTTTTACATGCATTATCCTAAAGTGCTTCCTTTAGTCATTAAGCTATAACAGAACTAAATTAACTCTTACTTCTACTTTTTAAATCTTTCTTTATCACTGTCTCAAAAACAAGTTGCAGATCAATACAGACATCCCGAAATGGACAGTAATCCCAAAGAGACGTGTGGAATATATAATAATGTATAAATAATGTCATGTCAAGATTAATCAGGGGTTATAAAAAATGTGAAGGAATAAAAAAAGGTAGATAATTTTTGCTACTTTTTCATTAATCACAGTAAAAGTTTTTAATATTCTGTGGTTTAGTGTATTAAAATAATAATCTGATGGCCACAGATTGGAGAGCTCTATACTCATCTCCACCACTTAACAAGATATTTGCTGCTTTGTGTAAAATGACACTGATCTACCTGTGTGACGCACATCACATGAGCAACAACTACAAATAGCCAGCACAAGAACTTTTGGTGAGGCAGTTTGTCACAAACGCAATTATTTCCAATTGCACTGAGTGTTCAATCCACTTTCCTGAGCTAGAGATCTAGGGGATGCAGTGTGGAAGTCAGGAGAATGTATGTGAAACCAATATGTTGCTTAATGGAGTAAATATTTTATTGTCTAATTTTAAAAATTGTACCATGGTGGCATTACCCAAAGACCCAGTAAAAGATTAATCATCAAACCATATTACTCACGTCTCTGGCTTTGCCATAGAAGGCCTCTTGAGATGCTGCTTCCAAAGACCCAATGAAAAACATGGGGTGGTTCTCTCCATACCTGTACACAAACGATTAACATGAATTTTGCTGTATGCAGCTATACAAACTGTTTCAGAATACAATTTCAAAACTCACCTTGAAGAAAATTCAGCAGTAAAGTGCAGTAAGGCATCAGCTTCATTTTCACTGTTTTCTGGCACTAAGGAACACAATAAAATCAATTCAGGTGTGAAGCCTGACAGAGTAGATACTGGCTCATCTGCAACACATACTCATAGGTGATTTTCGACTACTCGACGAGCCCATTCCAAACATTTCTGAGTCGTCGACTCCAAACTCTGAGGCATCCTCAAAGTCATCGCCCTCACTGTCGCTGATCATATGGACATCTGCACACTACACAAACCAGAGATACTTACTATAAGGACTCCAATATGGTACAATGAAGAACTTTGTGTGGTCATACCTCTTCTGTTGGCTCCTGAGGATTGGCTGGTGATGACCTCCGACAAACACTGAGGTGATGGCAAGGATAACTAATACCCGAAACAGCTAGTGTCATCTAAAAGCACAAAAACAAAACGTTATTTTAATAGTTTTTAAACAAACTAAATTTTAAGGAATTCTAAAAGTGTGGCCTTTAGACTTTTGCCTTGTATTTTAGAACTTTATTTTCACAGATAATTGTTTGGATTACACTTCAGGCAACAGGCTTAGAAATAAAAAATTTTTTTTAGCTTGGCTGTAGTCAACATAATGGCAGTAAATGGAGTTTTATTAGTAAGGGCAATTATCAGATCTCTTAAAGTGTACTGTGACCTCTCCAAACATAGTAACTCCAACATGCAGGAATGAAACATTTTATATACAAATTTTAAATACTCTTTATAAGATGATAGTGTATGGCAAAAACAACAGACTAATGAGCTCCCAAATCCAAAGGCAAGAAGAAATTCCTGTATTCAGTGGGGACTCATTATAGACGATGCATCTTTGTCTAAACCAAAAGGGATACCCACAACACATCTATCACTCTTTGTGCTTTTTGGTGTAAATTAACCCTTCCTCACATCCAAACACATTATATTATTATACAACTTGTCCAGATGTTACAGTCCAAGTCTGAGAGAACATTCTCTTTTCTACAGATAATGCTTAGGTAACAGACAGACCTGACACCCTCTGCTGGCAACAGTGGGGGAATCATGAAGGAAAAGGAGCAGTGCTGTTGATAAATTTTGATAATAAACTTTTTGTCCAAATGTCAAGTATAGCACTAAATCAAATTGACCGGGCATCCTAGTTTCAACAAAGAATTGAAACTTGAAACTAAAAAAAAGTACTTAGTAAGACTGGATGCTGGGTATATTCAGTTTCTTTAAAATTACATAAACTATGTTATAATGAACTGTGTTGCATAATTTGAACTGAATGAAATCTAGGCTGCTGTTGTAAATAATTTCTGTAGCTATATGTACAGATCATTTATGTGCAATATATCTATGTCAAGATTTTTTTGTTAAAACTGAAATTTTGAAACTTGTAAAAACACATACAGTACTTTAAAAAAGTACTTGCCCCCTTACCATTTTCTTACTTTTTTTGCACCTTTGACCTCTTATCCACTTCAGATCAAGCAAAAAAGTAATTGCCCCCTAAACCTAATAACTGGTTGAACCACCCTTAGCAGCAATAACTGCAGTCAAGTGTTTGCGATAACTGGCAATGAGTCTTTCACATCACCGTGGAGGAATTTTGGCCCACTCTTCTTTGCAGAATTGTTTTAAATCAGCCACATTGGAGGGTTCCCGAACATGAACTGCCTTTTTAAGATCATGCCACAGCATCTCAATTGGGTTCAGGTCTGGACTTTGACCAATCCTCTCCAAAACCCTCATTTTGTTTTGTTTTTTTAATCCATTCAGAGGTGGACTTGCTCTTGTGCTTTGTTATATATAATATATAAATGTAAATATAATAATAATCATCACAATTACCTTATCATTTAACAAGGGGGCAGTTACTTTTTCACACATGATCACGTAGGTTTGAATAGTATTTTCCCTTAAATAAAATTATCACAGAAAAACTGCATTTTATGTTTACTTGGGCTTTCTTTGTTTAATACTTAAATTTGCTTGATGATCTGAAACAGTTAAGTGTCACACACATGCAAAAAAGTAAGAAAGGGGGCAAATACTTTCTCACAGCACTGTAGGCTACATTACTTACTATCTAGTCATATATTAAAGTATTTGTAGTTGCAATCAAAGCATAGAAACCAGATGCAAATAGTTTTCTGGGAGAATGAACTTGTGAACAAGAGCAACGAGGCAGCCTTGGTGAGATAAGCAGTGAAGCCTCTTGTCCCCTGCAGAGGTCCTATGATCTGCTCCATTGTCAGGTGCTATGGCACACAATGAGCAGCTGGACATGCTTGAATCAGGAGACGATTACATGCAATGGCAATTGGTTTTGAATAGGACTACATGGAGAGTTACTTCTTTTCTCTCCTTAATAGTGATCCTTCATGTTGGCTTTCACTTCTTTAGCAAGAGAGAACAGTGTAACCACTAGACCTTGTCAACAACATAGACTAGACCAAGTCCTACTGTGCGCTATACACTGATAAGAAGCAAATGATCTGACAAGCAGTATATGAAGGCCTATCTCTTCACGCTCAGTATTGTGCATATTGTTAGAAATTGTGACAAACCCAATGGACCAGAAGAAGCCTCACACAATTGCAGAAACCCTGAATGCAGTCTGTTCATTTACATGGCTTTTTATACATTGGAAAACAATAACCAAAATTAACAAAAAACGTAAATGGACCAACTGAGGAGGAGTAATTTAATCGTTTACTGAGCCTGTAAGTGAGTAGACTTAAAGTGAAATGGGTTATTATATTGACCACTGTGTTTTCAATTCCCATCACCTCAATAATGAAATGGAAGATATGAGGAAAGCGGTTTCTCCCCAGATAAATCAAAAATGAATAACATCCAGCTGAGGCCCCACCACGTGTTGTCTTTAGCAAAGAAAACGGCTCAGATATAGCAGTGGCCAGACTGATCTGCAGTGTTGAAACTATACAAACTCAGGATAATGTCCCTGAAGGGGCCACAGGCCATCTTTGGACACAGCGACTTATAAGAGTGCATAATATCTCCCTTACAGTCCACACTAAACGTCTTAGGATGGAAATCAAAATGAGAATACTCAGTATTACAAAAAACGTCAAGTCTCACAAGAAGCCCATTTATCAGTTTTATCACTCCAGTCTTCTGTTCAGTTGCACAAGTGTCAGGCTCCCTGCTCATAGCAAACTCTTCCTCCCTAATTTTTTGTCCAATTAAATCAACCATTTTACTAAAATATCTACAATATAATGTAAATTCAGAATGAAATCTACTCTTTAAGAACCTTTAAAACAGCATCAGTGCAGAGCTCTGATTTGTAAGTAATTTACTAACAACCCCACCCATTGAAAAAACACATCTTTCTACAAGAAGAATAAAATTAGTACATAATAATGCAGAATTCAAGCAACAGGTTCCTTGCATTGAAAGCCACTTTCATTTTTTTCCTACAAACACTAGGCTTACTACTAGATTTGACTTTTTACTATATGAATACATAAGCCGAATGCTTTTCTCCTCACACGCAATTCGAGTGGCAATCAACTTGAGAATCAATAGGAGAGAAGAGCCCCATAAAGCCCTTCTGCGCCAAAGCTGAATGAGGGGCTTTGGGCTAAGAGCCTAATAAGTGTATAAATAAAGTTGATCACTTCCCTTGTCAGTGCCGGGCTGAAGGGTTTGGGCTGACATGGATGCAAGTGGGGAAGGTGAAAAAGAGAGAGGACTGGTTGAGTGCCTCTCAATCCTCTTCTTTGCTTTGACCCCACGGCTTTTCCTGATGTTGAGGTACACAAGTGCAGCTTGGTGGCTCAGCGGTAAAACGTGGAAACAAGGCTGAAGCGCCGCAGGGCACAGGGGGTGGGGAGTGAGGTTAACCCCCCTCCAAAGACCCGCTCCCACATTTCCAGAGAAAAGCATTGGCCTCTCTTTTTGGATTCTTTTAATTAACACTTGCATTGAGGCTTCAAGCATTCAGGAGCCGATACAGGGAAGGAATTCTCTGTTCATGACCCCACCACCTTTCTCTTCAAGTCTTTATACTCTTTTCCACACTCCTTTTTTTTCTTCCATCACTCCCTTCTTTCCTTTTTGTTTCTGTTTTTCTCCTTCCTTGTGTCGGTACTGTTTGGATTAGCTGACTGGCTGTGAGTGTGAGATAATTACTACTGGAACCTTCAAGAAATATAACCAAAACTCAATTATATAAAGGGTCTCATAAGCACTCCGTAAGAAGCCTAATTTTGATCATTCTTTGTTTCAGCTATAATTTATAAGCTGCAAGTGCTGTCTCATATCCTTTTACCTGTACATGAGATGCAAACAACTAAACTAAAACAGAAAAAAAACACGCGATAATACTTGGAGAGGGTAATGAGCCTGAAGTTATGTTTTTATAGAAATTTGGATGAGTGGAAATATCAAACACAGTCCACTATAAAGTCATGGTTCTCCTACCAGTTAAGCAAGTGCATATCAGTGGCCAGTGGGGAATTAGATGGAGGATGTGGTTTGCAAGACAAGCCACCATAATGGCTATGCAGCACAAATACATTAGCAAACAGCAAGAAACACTGCATAAATGTCAGCAATTACTGGTTGAGAGGAAAACTGCATGTAGAAGAGTGCGGGAAATGGGATCTAATAAAGATCTTCCGTGACCTGTCAATCACTTCTACAGGTGTGGGGGTTTCACTGCCGATCAAAATGTCTTCAGCTCTGTGCCGGGTCAGAGGGTGGGATACCAGTGAAGAAGACTCAAGAATTTAGAGGAATTTGAAAAACAATGTCAAATGTTGTCATTTGTAAATGATTCAAACATATATATATTTTTACCAGCGTAAATATTACAACCTGTGATTTAAATGAGACAGAGAAGGAATTATTAGTCAAACTCATTTGGAGGTTAAATCTAACAGGGTAATAGACCAAATCACTTTCCAGCCTTTTCTTATTTTGATATCCCATCCATCGCATGCATTTCCGTGTTTAGTGGTAAAAAACAAAAGTATATATAACATAAAATGTAATCAGAAATCAATATTTATCAAATGATATGTTTATATATTTTTCATATCATCCTATGTTAAATGTGAATCAGCTTTATGCCCAATCAGGTAATTAAATCTAACTAAAGACACTCACTCACAAAAATGTGGGTTGAGTTACACCTGTTTTCACTGTAGGGAGAACTGATTTCCCATCATCAAAGACCTCTGTTAACAATACCAAAAATTCAAGTAACTCCTTTACACACAAGAAATAATATAACTGACCATTCCACAATTGTATCTCACAATCAGGATTTGCTTCAGTCTATCTTGATTTCAGCATAATGAACAACTGATGTGCACAAGCAGGAAAGTTACTCACTAACGATAAACAAGTTTAGAAGTAATCGATTCCAGTAAGCAGACTGAGGTGCAGAGCCGTAGGTAATCTGGGGTCTCTCCCTGCCATGTTTATTGGCACAAACCCCAGGAGATGCAATGGGGCTAATGAGCTAGACACTAACACTGGCTCCCTACCCAACCACTAGGCCGGCCAAGCCATGGGCTTTCTCTGTTAATACCTTCAGACGTTTCAATAAGAGAGCTATGGCCCCAGCGCAGGCCATTATTACACTTCTGTCTCACTGCTTTTTAATATCTCTCATCCACAATACACCTACGCCACTGAAGTGTGTTAGCCAGGTGCTGACCAGGCCTGTGATGCCACAATGAGGAGCAATCTGTTTACCATTCAAGGCCATAGAATCCTATACCACAGGGTAAACCAAGCTCTATGGCCACAAGGAATGTAGAGTTATAAGCAGAATGGAAATACAAAGCCCATTTACAATATCTGCATGTAAAATAACATTAACTGGTGCTGAGCCAAATGTTTACCCTTACATCATAACGTTTGGGAAATAATTTAATCACACTCTGTTCTTTTGAAAAACCAGGCACCACATAAAATATTACAAGTGAAAATGTGAGAACATTTTTACACTGAAAATGACAAAAAAAAAAAGGACAAAACATAACCAGCTCCCGCACAGACCAATAAGGAAAACGTTAGCTCAGAGTTAAAACAAGAATGTGTGCAAAAAAGCTCCACAGTGTTGCCTGATACACCATACTATACAATTAGTATGGGAACACATATGCTGTCAAAGAAAGACCAGGACAAAAGGGGTCAGGGGTTCCCCTGGGTTCAGTATGAGGACTGCTTCAGATCAGCTTGACTGTGTTTAGGATGAATGTGTGGGAAGAGCGACCCTGGGACGAGAGAGGTCACAGGGACTCAATGATGAGAGCTTTAATGTCCACAGATATCGCCTTCTTCTGCTTTGACATCTTAATTAGCTCCAACAGCTTACTTCCATGCTTTTCACACATTTGGTCAGTAACAGAAGATTCACATACAAAAAAACAATATAAAGTCACTGTTTTTTGCCAGTATGACAATAATTTTAACAAACATCATGCATCTGACTGAAAGCTGTCTACAAATGAATAATTCTAAGCGAAAATGAAGTAAATTATTCTTGTGTGGTGTAATTGTTGAAATAGAAGAGTTGTTCTTACAGAGTCATCAGATGCAGACGCTGGCCATCCTTCCCATTGTTGATGTCGAACTGGGATGTTTGTCAAGTCTGAAATGTTTCTCTTCACCTGTAAACAAAAATAAAAATTTAAATAATATATTATTTTTGTTACTATGTAAATGGCTGACTGGATTATATCAAATATCGTGACTGGAGGATGAAAAAAACGTTTAATTAAGGCCAGAATTCTCCAGATGCCAGACTAAAGCCTACCAAAAACAGGCCACACTCTGAAATGGACAGAATTTCTCTTCGGTCATTCATGCACAGATGCATTACTTAATAACATTCCCCTCATTTAAACAGTTAGGAGCCAGCAGCTCCAGTCCTGTCGAGCGCAGCATTACACTCTTCAGTGGGTTGTTGGTTTAAAGCCTCAATGCCAGGCTGATGTGCGCCAGCCGAGGCTGATCAAAGCTCTGTCGCGTCTGAGTGCTGGCGGCCGTGGATCTAGTGCATTTATTCTGCTGAATTCTCGCCTTCAGGCGTCCACGGCTGGACACTGATGCTGAAAAAACTATCCATTGTACATGTGTAGATCCCCCCACACAGGACAAATCCTGCCTTTGTAAAAAGAGCTAAGAAGAGATAGATCCTTGAGCATAGCAGGACTGTTGGTCATGGACGTGGAAACTTTAAGAACGCTACAAACAAAGTCAAAGCCAATGTCAAACACAAAGCAGCAAACCAGTGGAAAACAGTGTCATGCAGGCAGAAGAGAACTCAATTCATTTGAATATATATAATTATATGTACTATAGATAATGAGGTTGTATTAAAGAATATTTATGTACCCAAATTGAGAAACAAATGTGCTCTAGAAACTAGTCAAATAAATAATTTAAGTCGAACCTGGCAAGCGAAAAAGCAATTCAAAGAACAAACAAACTGAGAAAAACTGAAATAATAAAAAGTGGCACAGACCACTGGTTGTCTTTCTATTGTAAATCCCACGGTATACTAGTGAGAGCCAGCCCTTATGAAGAGGAGCTATGGCCAAGAGAGCAGACTGGGGTCAGAGCGGGTGGCCAGTGTTATTACAGAGTGTAATATCGCTGTTTGACCAGCCGCACTACAGGGATTTGACTGACCGGCTGGCTGGCCCATGAATAGAGCACAAGAGGCAAGAAATGAGAGGCATAAACACTAGTAATGAACAGTCTGCAGTCAGAGGTTAAAGAAGCATCACAGAAACAACAAACTTAACACCCACCTCAGAGAGAGAAAGGTGGGAAGGACAATAAAATGTACCTGGCAAAAGACAAACTAAACGCACCGAAGAAGGAAAACACAGCTACATAGGCCAGCACCCTGAAGCTATCATGAATCATATAGGCCATTCTCAGCTGAAAATGCAGTGTGACTAGAAGCAAAAACATTAACACAAAATATATTTTAAAAAGTATATATAAACTTAATATACAGATTTCAAAGAGTGGATAATTACATCTGGCCTTCCAAACCTATACAGATGGCACTGTCCTATGCTGCCCCCTGTCTGTCAAGTGAAAAACACCTACATTACCTTCTTGCTAACACTGAATTATACAGAATAATTATAAAAACAGAATAAGAACCCCAACCCCAACCCCCCCCCCCAAAAAAAAAAATACAAAAAATATGTGATTTGTTTTATTTGTTTTTAAATGTATTGCAAGTAAAAAAAAACAATGATATTTTTGATAACAGTAAAGATACAGAAATGTTTTTCTATACTGGCAGCATGGCATGTGATACTCAACATAAGAAGTATCCTGAACTGCTGTGAGAGTTCCAAGAAAAATGAATGACATAGTCAATGTAAATTCCAATTGCCTGTAATCCCTTACTGGAGGCAAATCAAAGAGAAGTAAAGGTTTCCGTTAAAGAGTCACAAGTTCTCTCTCTCTTTCTTTCTGTCCATTAAGCACCAGATGCCCTTCTTTGAGTCCTGTTCGATATGGCCTTTTTTCTCAGCAGTACTGCACTGTATTGGTCCCTGTATCGCCCAGCTGCGAGGCAGAGCACAGGGCCTGGGGGGCAACAGAAGAGGAAAATCCCCAGGACAACTGGTCTGGTCACGGACATCTCAGGCCCAGCGGCTCTGTCTATTCTACCCACTACTTGCCTGGCAAACATTTGCTCTGCAGCTTATGTGAGGAGCTAGCCAGCAACTTACCCCCTCACTCTTGTCTGTTAATGCCAATCAGGGTCTGCACAGCACTGTGCATCAGAGATTGAGAAGAAAGAAGTTAAGATGGAGAATAGAAGGATGGAAAGGGAGGAGCGAGGGCAGCTTTAAGAGAGCCACAAGGCAAAGCTAGAGCCTTAGGCAAAGACAAACAAGAAGACAGGACTCTATGCCTATTGATATGCACAAGCAGGGACCATCCACTGGTCTACAGCAGAGACAAAGGGAGAAAAGGCAAAGAAAGATGCTCAGCAATCGAGTCCATATGTGTCTGTGACTGGACACAGTGGCTGGCTCAATATGGTGTTACTTCTTTGTTGCTTTCACAGCCAGTTTATAGTCAGTCCCGTGCCTCTTACAGTTAACATGCTTTTAAAAATCACATACATATTTAAAAATTATGAAATTGCTGTAGAAAATAACATAATTTTTGGCACAATATTGGTCATATCAGTGTTAAAAGATCATTGTTTGAATACATATTTCTATACTATGCTTTACCCCTCTGCACTGAGAGGTTAATAACAGGATAGGTGTAAATAGCTGTCCTGATCCCGCAATATATTAGGCATATGATGAGTGTGCTTGATGCAGGTTAAAATTCTGGGCCTCATTTAAACTGCATGAGGTCTTTGGAAGCCTAAAGACAAGCATGCGTAAGGAAAAGACCGAAACATGAAGGGCTGTTTAAAGCCTTATTGTCCCTTCTCTGTCCCCTACGGCCTGTTACAGCACCCCCACCAAGCCAACAGTCCTTCGCCTCCTTTCTGCATCCAGTGTCCCCTCCCACATGGCAGGGACACCTCCCCAGTGTTTGTAATCCCAGGAGAAACACTTAAGGTTCACAGCGGGTGTTCATCAAAACCATCTGCCTGAGACGAGAGTGAGAGAGAAGGCAAAGGAGGCAGAGGCAAGGACCGAGGAGCTTGCCTGTTCTGGTACAGATGTTGGTCAAACTAATACGATCAATTAACACCATTACACGCTCTGCAAGCAGCCTTTTTATCATCATCATAGCATCATCAACACTCACACTGAGAAGCCCCACCACAATGGCCCTTTTTGGAAAGCTAGTTATAACCAGATGTGGAGAGCAAATTGCTGCTACTATTATATTTTCATCATTAAGCAATTATAATGACAGAATTTATATATAAATACATTAAAAACTTGTCTGTTAACATTTATCTGGGGAAAATAAAAACACAAACACAAAAATAAAATAAGGCTAAAGTATAACTTCATATGTAATAAACAGAGCCACAACTTCCAGCCAAAACGTGTGTGAATGTTTAGAGGTACAGCTGAAGTATTGTGTTTATACCCATTAATACACTGAGAAACAGTTCAATCTAAAACTCACTGTAGAAGTGAACACTGTAGTTGTGTCCTTAGGCAAGGCACTTTTCTCACCTTGCTTAATATGAATGCAGTGTGAGCTTTGAGTTTTGAAAGGTGGATTTTAAATTCAGTGCATTTTTATATTTTTTCTGTAACTCAGTACTCAAGTTTTATTTGATTTTTGTACTCTTTGAGTAATTTTGTACTCACTTTGAGTAATTTCCCTACCAAGACATAAAAAAAATACTTGACAGAACCAGAGGTCACATGCCCTTAGAGAGGTTTTTTTTGCCTCTCCACTGACAGGACGCTTCCTGCTGTGAATAATATATGATGCTAGTTTGTGTTTTCCAGTGAAGAGGGTTAACAAGGAAAAAAATAAATGCATAATTACAAGTTGTTGAAAATTACCGAAGGGAGGGGGAGACGCTTACATAAACAAGTATTACAAAGATGGAGATGACTTACAGAAGACTTCCAATGAAAAACTAAATCTTTAATAAGCTACAGAATGTACTGGATAGGCAGTGTCTTCCTAGCTTCATAACTAAATCAAACAGTCACTCATTTACACTGCGTCCCAGTCTGTATAAAGTCAGGAGAATTGGAGAATGACACAGACTCCGGGAGTGAAGAGAAGAGGGGGGTGTACTGAGGCGCAGCTGTGAGAGTAATTATGTGCTCAGAAATGTGATCATTTGTGATGAATAATGAATTGATGCCTAAGATAAACTAGCACTGTTAGGCAAAAAGGACGGCTGCCGTTTTATGGGATATAAAACAACTGTAAGTGAATGATCAGTGAATATTTGGTGGGCTGTTATATGAAGTAGTAGGTTGAGGTCATACCTCCTGTATGGTTCTGGAGCCGGGGAAGTTCAGGCTGTAGTCTCTCTGTGCCTCACGATGACTGATGACCAAGAGAAAGTTCTGGTTTAATGAATCTTGTAGAGCACTGTATAAAATGACAAATGAAAAGGCAAGTATAAATTAATACATACAACAAATCATATAATGAAATCACAAAAAGGGACATCAAGTACTTTAGCAATTAAAATAACCATGTCTGATAACAGACAGGCTGAAACTTGTTAAGATGTTGTATCCTGCGGGTAGAGAGAGGGGAGCGCTCCTCTGGGGCCCTATCGCCCACTTCATTGATTGTGTCTTAACAAGCCTGGCCAGAGCAGTGCTTAACACAGCAGGCTACCACAGCCATGACCACCTGCACTGGAACAGCATGATGCCTATCAGAACATTCTCAGTGCTAACAAACCTGAGGAAAAATGTCCCTAATAATAATGAATTAATCACAAATAAAAAAAAAAAAATCTCTCATCAAAAATATCTGCATAGGAATTTTTTTTCTCTTAACCTCAACCTTTAAGCTGTCATATTTTATTTATCGAAATGTAAAAATCACAAATGGTAAAATACAAGAATACAAATTTTACATAACACTGGAATCACTGGGGATAATTTGGAGGAGACAACTTTTGGATGCTTTATTTACAATAAGCTGTGAGGTTAAGTAGCGTTTTGAGAAAACTCTTGGTTTGTGAGACTGAATATCAATAGGAGGCTTAGGGGCCGAAGCAGCCACTTAATCAGGGCTCAGAACCCAAGGAGAGCAGGAACAGTGGAGAGAACCAGAGGGATGGGGGTATTAATATGTAGCACACATATTAATTATGCAATCACACTCTTAATCTGCGCAGATCTGGACGAGCTTATGTTAACAGAAGCTCAAATTTACTGTAATGACAGCATATTTACATTGACTAAAACTACGAAATCAATATGTAAATGTAATGTTTGTTGTAGCTAACTGAAGAAGATTGGAAATGTGTGGAGAGGAAAGGCTGGATGCATATGTAATGGGCTGAGTGGCAGAAGAAGAATGATGTGTGAGAGCAGAAAGGGTAAGGACACATAAATAAAGATCTATCTAATATCATGATTATGTTTGGACACAGTCCTGAGTTACTGCTTGCAGGAAACAGGCTTCTAACTCAACAATGGTAAGAGTAAACTGAATGGAAGAGCTACACTGTCCTGTGAAATCATCAGTCATACGGCTATGCAGGTGAGATACACTTCACCACTTAATACTAAATACTATAGCCAGCATGACATTATATAGCTTGATAAAAACAAAAAATGAAAAACTATGCAGGAAGAATTTATATTCCATACATCTGGACTGGTCAGCCACACCTTACTGGAATGATGGGGTTAACAAGAAAGAATGTCATTTAACTTTAAGGGCAAAGAAAATTGAGCTTTTTGGAGGGGAAGAGAACAGGCTAAACAGATTGGTTTCATTCTGAGGTAAGTCTGTCGCCTAAGCTGCAAGTCCCCACGGCGCAGAGCAGACTCTAGACCTTATTAAACTAGCAGTGCCAGACACAAGCGCACACACAATGTGACATGTGCCTGCTAAACACAAATACCCATACACATTGTTCCCAGTGCAACACCATAGTCACCAAAAACAACCCAGTAAGGGCTAAATATGCATAAGCAGCTCCACACAAGGTTCTCTTACCTCCGCCACATTTTGCACCCACAACACAGCAGAAAGAAGCGAAAGCGTTCATGAGCTGCCTTGTTTTGGTCTGCCATCTTTATAATCATCCTATGTCTTTCCTTATCTATTAACCTTGCTTTAGCCTAAGTGCTAGTTAGCATCAGGAAGCTACAGCAATGGCTGACACAGTGATATCCAAGACATGGGAAAGAGATAACAACACAAAAGCTAATGAATAATTTTGCTATTTCAAATTAAGTTTAAATTAGAATAACCTTTCGTTGGCAAACATGCTTGCCCTGAGCGAGTGAGGAGAGCAAATGAAGAAAAAAACTGACTGCATTGAAATATTCATCAGGACCTTATCATTTATGCAAGGGATTAGGTCCTCCTCAACACCCGCTTGTATTCACAGGCAGTCATCAATATGGCCACAGACTAAAGTCTTTGGCTTAAAACCCTGTGATTGAACATCAGTATTTGTACTGTAAGAATATTTTCTCAGAGTCATTAAATTTTCTGTAGTAGTAGTAGTAGTAGTAGTAGTAGTAGTAGTAGTAGTAGTAGTAGTAGTAGTAGTAGTAGTAGTAGTAGTAGTAGTAGTAGTAGTAGTAGTAGTAGTAGTAGTAATAGGGATAAAATGCCTATTTAATCTGTTGACTTTGTTTCTTGTGCAGTAGAAGCCAGATCTGAGAGAGCAATGTCAAGATGGGGATGTCAAGATGATTTAGTTAATCAATAATTGTGATTATTCAGATCAAAATATTTATACATTATATTTTTATATTTATATTTTCTGATCATGACAATAAAAAAAATATATAAAATAAAACAACCTTGTGTATTTTATAAGCAAATTTAAATAATTTTTATTCAGTAAATGGTCCAGAAACCTAAACCTAAATGCAAAGTGATTATTTTGTTTGTCTGTGTCACATAACATAAAATGAAGGATTTCACTGTTCCATCATGCTGCCAATAATGATCTGTAGTTTCTTCTTACAATAATCATTCAATTTCAGATACAAATAATCAGAATCATGGCCATTTATATTATATAAATGTGAAATCTCAGTATAATTACTTAAAAACATTACCATGTAAAATTATACTGTGCATTTAAAAGCAATTATTTTTTACTACAGCATAAGGATATAATTACTAAAGCTTAAATCAATGTTATGTGAGCATGATTGGATAAAAATGAATTCAATTAAAGTTAAGTATAACTTGGTAAATAAAAGAAATTACATTAGCATGCGTTAATCTAGATATATGGAGTGTTTATTTATGTTGCAGCCTGGTAGCTTGTCTGGTCCCTCGACAGAAGCCTGTACCCCCCATTATTGTGAAGATATGTGTGACCCATCTTAACACCTTACACCAAAACAGAAATGCACACTTATTGAAATAACACATAACACACTGCAAATTCAAAGGAGACCACCCACTGTATTTAGACCAAAATTTCCCCCCAAAAAATAGCAGGCAGAGAATAATGAGGTCCTAACACCTAAAATGATATCGATAGCACTTGATGAAAATGGCTGTGTCGCTGCTAAAAGACACAGCAGGAAGTGACGGAGTGAGGAGACAGTAAGAGCGGGTGGAGAGACGCTGGGCAGATGAGGGCCATTAGCTGCCAACACAATATCACGACCACTTATTGCCCGGCAAAGCAGCCCACCACCACTGGACTCAACAGTAAATGTGTGGTGCCCATTTTAGGACTAGGCAACTAATGCAATTTATTTGAATAAAGAACTACTTGTTTGCAGATGGTAATAACTGGCTTTTTTTTTACTGACCGGTCTACAGCCAGTTATCCTAAAAGCATGTGGTTTGGATTGACATTCAGACGTTAGAGAAATAAAATTGAGAATTTTGTGTGCTAAATGGCACTTAAGTTAATTTGTCTTAGTTTGTGAACATTAACATTAAATATATCAAATTTAATGGGTAATTGAGAGAGATAAAAATGAGGGGGAACAGGCCATAACTTAACATACCACCCCCATCAAGTTTAACTGAAAACATGTTTAGTATGAGAGACATGAGGCAAGCACAGAATAAATAATTATAAAATCTACATGAATCTTCAGTGAATATAAAGAATAAATGATTAAAGAATGTTGAAGAAAATCATACATTTATTGAAATTGGTGTATAATTTTAAATATTTGTAATTAATAATAATTAAATAATTCTAGAAAATAATTAAATAATTCTAGAAAATAAATAAACTATTCCTCTGTGCACCTATTTGATTTAATACATATAGCAGTTGTGCATTCCAAGTCCCACAAAACTCATAAAGCCAGTGTTGTTTGGGCCCCTGTAACTTAATTTTAAACTTGAAATTGTACCGACTGCCATTTTAACCCATTTTTTAGAATAAAGGAATATGATTTGCAGCAGATTAACCATGAATTAGAAAATAAATTAAATGTAAATGAGTAGAGATCAAAACAGCTGAGTAATAACTACAACAGCTGCTGCTGTATTGGCTCACATAACAAAGGGCATTATTATTTACACATTGTACAGAGAATGTTATGGAGGATGCTCTTTTCAAAATGTCACAACAGAAATGTGAGAAAATGAAAATGTACCAGGTCAGTAGTCTCATAGACATCACAATGAAGAAGTGTCTGAGTCCAGTCTACTGAAGGCAACCACTTACATTTAATCACCTGCTGCCACCTGATGTTCACAACACATCATTACACTCACAAGCCAACAGTTGGTATTGTTGTTATTGGTTGAAAAGGGTATGTGATAAATAGAATAAATATAACTGTGGCTTTGAGGCTGTGGCTGTTACCTGTTTGTACTGGTACTGGCTGCAGGAGCAATGTCAGGGGTCAGGACATAGAGGCTGTTGTTCTTGGGCAGGTGTAAACTCCTCAACACGGTCTAATACAGAAACACAGATTTTAATTTTAACTTTCAGATGTAATGTTAGATGAATACTGTTACAATATTTAACTTACACTGTCAGATACATCCCCACTTTTCCAGCCTTTCAGTTGCATTTTAGACACTGGTATCCCAAGTTCTGACTCAAGAATCTGTTTGATGTCACCTGTAAGTTACAGGAAAAATATAGCATAACATAGCACAAACTTTTCAATTCTACTACCAATGTGAATGCATCTGCATTGGAAAGGTTCAGATTATTTGGCTCACCGACTGTACTAGCTTCCTCTACAACAAGCTCCACAGAGCGCTGCCGGTACTCCACCCGAAAGTGGAGCATTCGAGACTGCCGTTCTACAATGTGTCGTGAGGAGACATTGAGGGGACAAAATGCTGAGGCAGACGATGGAGGAGAGGATGAAGACGAAGAGGAGGAGGGTGGTGGTGGTGGCACAGCTCCTCTAGCTTCTGCTTCTGCGGCTTCTGATTGGCTGACAGGTCCAAAAATGTTGGCTTGACTTGCCTGACTGGAATAAGTACTGTAAAATATAAACAACAAAATGTTTACATGTTTGATCTTAGAGGGCCTAGTTTTGTAATGACCAAAACATTACTACTGGAAGAAAATTCTCTATAAGCCTCACAAAGAAAGGACAGGACATAACTTGCAGCTTCATCATTGAACAGAGGCAAGTGCTCAACCAACGTCTAATAACGTCCAACAGGCGTAAACTTAGGCACCAAAAATACTCTTAAATCATAAAAATATATGTATTTTTAAAAAGTTCATCACAGCATTCTAATCTTTATAGTATTACACTGACCTGGAGGTCAGGTCAGAATTCTATGGTAGAATTTGCTATTTAACTGTCAGATTGACCTGGTTTAACATCTGTAATTACTGGGCCTACCCACATGAAACAAATACTGTCACAAAGTTGTTTAAAGATAATGGATATTAGGTTTTCACATTAGCTTCACAGAGCGGTCATTATACAACACCAAAGTCATCTATCAGTTTGTCAAGCATTTAAAGGCATAAGATTCTTGATATGGTATGGTATGGTATGTTTGAGCCAATCCCTAACAAATATATAAGGTTTGACATTTATGGATAAAAAAATGTGGATAATACTTCCAAAAACAGTGAATTTCCAATAGAGTTTCCAAAGTGTGCACTGGCTTAACATTAGGTTAACTGAAAACTCTGAGACGTGACAACACAATCCCCATCTCTATATGAATGTTACTAACTATAACTTTCTAATAACAAAATGCTTTGACAAAAGTGGACAGTAGTGATGCATTTTTGTCTACTTTTGGCTTAGTTTTCAATTGGCATCAGCTAAAACCACATCATCGGAGTCTGTTTACTGGGCAATGGTGACACATACCAGTGCCAGGCACTTAGTAAATGTGTTAGCTGTTGGTAATGCTGCCAGGCAGCCTCCATTCATGCCAATCTGTACCCTTATAAATGCCCAGAGATATTCTCATGACCCAAAACGACTTCACAGTGCAGAAGCTTGAACTCAAATTAATTGAAGAATGAAACAAAATAATGGTTTGATACACATCTCCAGAACTTAAGGCTTGTCTCAAGGGAGGGCAATCATTTGACAAACTTTTGGTAAGACACAAAAAATGTAAGTAAGATTGTTGAAGATGTTAGAAAAAAAAAAAAAGAAAGTGGAGAAAAACAAAAGAAAAATATGAAGCAGGCAAGTTATTTATATTTCATATATCTTAATTCATACCATGTGGCCATACCGACTTGTTGTGGCCATACCGGCTTGTCAAAGCCTGATTCTGTCAGATCTCAGAAGCTAAGCAAGGCCAGGCCTAGTTAGTACTTGGATGGGAGACCACTGGGAAAATCAGGTGCCACAGTGAGGTGTTGTGTCCATAGGCAAGGCACTTCACACACATTGCCTAGTATGAAAGTGGTGTGTGCGTTGAGTGATGGTGGTGGTTGGAGGGGCTGATAGCGCAGATTGACAGCCTCACTTCCGTCAGTCTGCCCCAGGGCAGCTGTGGCTACAATAGTAGCTTACCACCACCAGGTATGGAGTGAATGACTAATGCTCTGTAAACCGTCTTTGAGGGTCCAAAAAAGTGTTATATAAAACTGATGCATTATTATTATTATTATTATTATTAAACAGAAAGGGGATTTCAATACAGTAAATTTAAAGCCATAATTTGAATTAAAATATAAAGAGCCATTTGCACTGAACCGACAGACAACTGGTGCAGGCAATCATTTTCACAGCTATTGGTTTAGGCATCTCACTTATGGTTAGGTAACACCATATCTGTGCTTCAAGAACAAGATTTCCCTGCCCCACCAATCTACTACTGCATCATTGAACAGTGAATTTAGTTTTTCTCAAAGACCAACTGTAACTTAGATGTTCTAGCAGACCTGCATCATACTGGCATAACAGGGACATGCCAGAGGAGAAAGAAGGGCTCCTTCACGAGAATAACACAGCTTCAGGATGTGCAGAGGTGTCAAAAACCAAATGGCTGTGTGGAAATTGCGCATCTTCCTGCAAACAAGGGCCCTCACCTGTGGGCTAATGACTGGGCCTTTCATAAAGTTCTTTGAGATTGAAATGTTCTCATGAAATAATCCATTAGTTTGGAAGTACTGTAGGTGCCATAAGAAACTGATAAGAATTTTATGCAGATGCCTCATGGAGGTCCTGCCTTCAAGGCAGTAGAGAATGTCTGTCCACTGATCCAAACTTAGGAGTTTCAATGTCCTTAGGCAAGACATTTAACAGTGTCTGCATTGGGTGAGTGGTTCCTTGATCTAAAGTGCTCAATAGAGACTGAATTCTATAAAATAGGACAATTAACCATAAGTCTCTTAGCAATTCAATAACATTGGTACATGTTATTTTTCATTTAATTCAATACTTATTTAATTAAAATAACATTACCTTTGCAAAATTCCATTTTCTTGTGGTATCACTCCATTGATTGCTGCCTGTAATAAGAGTAAAAAAATTAAAGTATTTCGTTTTTGAGGAAAGAAACGGAAGCACTTTGTGTTTTCTCTCAACTGGGAATAATTTTTAAGATTTCTTGGTTTTCTGTTCTGTTGTTGTGATGCTTTTCCTAATCAGCTTTAAATATTTCCAATGACGTTCCGCCTTTCAAGAGCCATTCCAGATTGATAAATGTGTAGAACTCAAATTAGTGCTACACACATATCAATCTGCCATTAGCCAAGTTATGGATAATAATTTTGAGAACCAAAACACAAAATGTTAAATATCTGTTATATTTATTGAATAAATCTATGTTATAATTGTTACTGGACAATTTGATTGTGCTATTTACTTGGATTAGAAAATTCTACATATACTATACCAAGTAAGCTGGGTAAAAAAAATATGACAGGAAAATACACACACTGATCATAACAATGGCCAACTCAGACAAAGCCTTTGTTTAAATCCAACTCGATTGTTGTTGAAATGCAGGTGTCATCAGAAGTTATTTTTGCCTAGTAAGTTAAAAAAAATACAATTACAAGCTCGAAGTTACCACTGCACTCATCTACGGAATATTCTGCATTGTTAGTTGAAGAACTTTCTATGAGAAACATCACAACAGTTCACATGTGCATGAGATTCTAAAATTTCACTCAGTCTTGCACTGTTTGCATTGAGCTATGAAATTATTACTGATCAAACCCCAAGCACTTACCACTAAGTCCCAGTTATTAAGCTCTAATAGTGTGATTGCCTCTGCAATGTTGTCAATCCCAGTGCAAGCCTGCAAAAATAAGACATAAACATTAAAGGTACTGCTGTGTGCACTTGTCCAGATTCAAAAACAACTACACAATCTTAGAGGTTGCAATATATCACATCAGAGAGCCTTTTTGGATTATTGCATCCTAGTTCAAATTTATGATCTGGGAACCCAAATTGAGGAACTCTTTCTGTTGTTTGATGAGATTGTCAGTTTGAAATCCAAAACAAACTGTAATAGTGAGTTAAGGCTATAACTAACAATTATTTTAATAGTCAACTAGTCAGCAGTCATTTTAAAATGTGTTAACTAATCAAAGCATTTTCATTTTCATTTCTACTATGCACTGAGATTAGTTAAACTAATTTCAAACCCAAATTAGGTTGAAATAAGGTGACTATACACTTCTAGATAAGACAGAATTGTTTATTATTTTTGACATTTAGATTTAGTAATTATTATAATTTTGGAATGTGTTTTAAACTCTATTGTCCAGTTAATGATTACAGTTAAAAGTGTTAAAAGTGAACACATATATGTTACATGTGAACATGATACACAGTTGCCCAGTCGACTGGATTATTTCCATTAATCATTGCAGACCTACTTGAAATAATTCCTCAAATCCAAGAACATAGCAATGTTTATGAAATATTTCAGAAAAATCCGGATACAGTACATTTCATATTGCAAAAACAGTAATTGCTATACCAGACAGTAGTATTCAAAAAGATAAACTAGGAATTGTCTTCTTCTGGTTTATCTTACACATTTTGAACAGAAAACGTTATTTCCAGTTAGAACAAGTCTAGTCATATTTGCGACAGAAAAAAAATACAGGTTTCTGTCTCTCAAGGACTGATTCCTTGATATCCCAGTCATGTAAACAACTTGAGAAGTCTTTTTCCGCTGTATCTTGAATAAGTAAATACGATATACGACACAAATCCCATGTTTTGTACTTTAAAAAGCTGTTGTAACTGTAAATAAAACCTACTGTTAGATTACTGTTAGAATAATCTGATGACCTACAGTACAGTACAATTTTCGTTTAGCAAGCTGTCAGTATGTTAGCTTCGAGGGGTTAGCTACCCCCGGCTCATGTCTGCTGATACGGTGCATCAGGTTCGTCTGTTCTGCTTAGCAGAACTTTGTTTTGATTGTTGTTGAAATCGGTTTACTACACCCACTCTTAACTATATATGCATTGGGAAACAGACCTGAAAGTCAGCCAAAATCATTTCCCTGTCCATGTTGCTATCGCCGCTTTCGGAGGCCATGGCAATGACTGGCTAAATACAATCCGTCCACTGCTTCACGTCGTTTCTTGCCTCACAGAGGGGCACAACTCTTAAAATACTTCCCTATAACGTGTTGACAAGACAGGGTTGACAGACCAAACACTATATAGATATCTAAACGGTGTACGCACAATTAAAATGTACAAATCTACAAAAGTAACGTTATAGTCTTCAGTTATCTCGTATCATTATTGTGAACGATTCCATTGCTTTACGGCTGGCGTAAAGAAGGAACAAATGTTGTAAAACGATGTCGTGAACCGCTTAGTTTACTTTTGTTTTGAGAGACCTTTATGGGCCAATAAAACCACAATTGCTGCATGACAAATTAATAAACTATTGTGTAATTATAATTAGTGGATATCCTTTCTTTTCTCAAAAAACTAGCTTGAACCCTTGTATTCTAAAAAAAAGACTGATATAAAATAATGAACAAGAACTTATATGCACTGTAGTCTAGAGTTACTGCTTAATTAATTCAAACCTTATAGATTTACTGTGCAAACATGTGCAAACTACATTATTACAATATTATTACTCATTTTGTACATAATCTATGCCAGTTGGATGCAGTTTTCCTTGGTCAGGTTTCTAAATAATAGCTATAGTCTAATTCTGCATAGGCTCATTACTTACAAATAGTTTAGCGATAATTTGCCTTGCGGATGTACTCCAGCAGCAGCTTTTGCTTGAAAATACTGTCAAACGTGTTTGTTCTCATTTCTACCGCTAAGCGGCGCTATTATAACGGGAATGGCTGTCAGATGCGTGGTTAGGCCACGGCTTCGACAGTATCATTTTAGCAAAAGCCATCCAAGCCGACGAGCCCGCCTATTGTCAGCTTTTATCCAATCAATGTCTCCAGACTCATTTTGGTAAGACTTTCAAAAATGTATGAAGAGGGACAGGCTCCACTTCCTACATTAACCAACGCAGTCATTAGTTTTGATTGTTCGTCTTAAATAGACCAGATGTCTGCATTTTTAAGGCACACTCGGGACACTGTATGATACGAGCGCCTTTTTTGCGTTCATAGCTGTATGGGAGTATGGTAGGTATCATTATTTTTTATTCCAATGTCGTATCAAGTCGTAGACTTATTCTTCTTTAGAGCTTGGATTACTTTAGAAGTCTAGAGGACACCAATCTTTATAGAGAGCTATTAGGTTGATAGTAAGCTATTATGCTGATGAGTCCGCCTACATAATGGGCCTGGGTCATAGGGCTAAGTAGCCTAAGTTTGAGTTGGTCCGTGTTAAGGTATTCTGGATAGGTCTGTGCGTCTTATATAAGTTTAAGGCTATGTACGGTGTCACAACTGCGTTGGATATTTGCATGTTTTGGAATCTAAATTGAAAAACTCAGCTCCTAAGACGAGTTTGGATAGCAACAGTCAGTTTACTCTAAGGCCAATGCAGTTAATGGAATTTTAATTGAGATTCAGTCATTTATGATCGTCTGTAATAGCCTATGTGTAGGTTGCCTGGCTTTCATTCTACTTTTTACTTGTTAGGTTTGGTTGGCCAGGCAAGTAATCTTTTTAATCGAGGTCCACAGTCAATCTTGTGAGTATAAAGCCTGTGGTTTGAAGCAGAGTTTAGACTTTGGTGGAATACATAGGACTATTTTAGATAAAAAATATGTCTTGTTTACATTTAGGAAATTGATAATTTGAAACCTATTTTTGAAGACAAAATAAAATAAAGTGATCAATTGTGATCAATGAGGAAGAAAATAAATAATTATTTATACTAATTGCACAGCCTTAATAGCTCAAGACCATAGAAGACCATATATGCTCAAGACAGTCCAGGTAAGGAAATGTGAAGAATTCTTTATTATCTTATTTCTTGAACTCACAACAGGCTAACCTAGTAGACCCAGTAGATGGGTAGGCTATAACTGTATATTAAGTAGTAATAGCTGTAGGCCTAAGAAACTTCTGTTAGTTTGCTTATATCTCAGATTTTGATTGAAAGGCATTGTTGCCTTTTGTGTTAGGTAGCATTTCTAAAATAACACAGTTAGATTAATTCCCAGTCCTTTGGGTTAGAAAACATGATAGGCCCATCTGAGAGCATGTGACAGACTGAGGGAGGTCCTCACAACTGCCACTCTGCAATAGCCTATTCCTCCATTTTACCCGTTTCTGCTAAACACCACACCTTAACCTTTGTGACTTTATCTTTTCCCACAAATGGAACAAAAATCTCTTGCAGATGAGCTTTGCAATGCCTCTGCCAAAGGAAATCTTTATGAAGTCTTGTTGTGTCTTAAAAGAGGGGCAGCAATAAATGGACTAAACAGCTACAACAGAACTGCACTACAGGTCAGTAAATGTAATTTTTTCCAGAGTGAAGGCTATTATATGTACAGCCTACATTCGACTGAAATTTGCAATTCTAAAATATTAAAGGCTGGCCTACTCTGCTTTACCATGTGCTCTTAACTTCCTCATTATCCATTTTGGTAACTATAGGCCCCAAATGTAGGTTTTAAAATATAAAGAAAAACAAAGCAAATTATGGAAAGTCTCTGTGGCATTTTTTTTATAAACTAAATGTTAACAACAAAAAACGTGGCAACCCAAAAACTGATGGGTCTTAACTAACTCATTTTATAAGTAAAGCATCTATAGGCCTATTTATCTGGATAGGTAATATTGCTGTCTGATATGTATTAAATATATATTTTACTTTGTCTCTATAAGTTGCAGTTGGAAAAAAATTAATTGATACATTTTATAATCCTTTATTTATTACCAGCTGTTTTAATTTATTTTTAAATGCCATATGGGTCTCGGTGTCCCATTTTGCACTTACTTTGGGAAGAAGTCTAACTGTGTTATTGATGCTTAATAATAATAATAATAATAATTATTAATAATTATTATTATTATTATTATTATTATTATTATTGTTGTTGTTATTATTATTATTATTATTATTATTGTTATTATTATTATTATTTGTTGTTGTTGTTCCAATAAGATTCAACATTTATTTTATTAAAAGGCCTACATTTTTCATTTTTGCATAGGCTACTCAGATTAGACCAGCTGAATCTGAATCTCTGCAGAGTAGGCGTGGTGCTGCGCTTGAGGCCTCTTTCTTTTTATCTGCGCTTCACTTATTTAGGCCTTTTGTCTTCGTGCAGGTGGCGATGTTGGGAAACTCAAAATTGGTCGGAGCACTTCTCGACCGAGGGGCAGATCCCACTGTGCGCGACCCCATCTTCGGCCTCACTGTATTACATGACGCTGCGCGTGAGGGCTTTGAGGACACTGTGCGCGTGCTGCTGGACCACGGTGCAGACGTGAACGTGACAGATGATAGAGGCTACCTCCCGCTGCATTTGGCTGACATGTACGGTCACAAAAGTGTTGTCAAGCTGTTAAACAGACGCACTGCGCTTCCACAAAGCACGGATGGGTAGGGACTCACAGCGACATAACTGGCTCAGATAGGCCCTAGGCCCATAGCCTAACAGTGACGACCCCGCTTCATTCAACCGCAAATGATACTACGACAACATTTAGCTATAGATGTATATACTATATAGAGTCGCAAAATCGTACACAAAACAGATTAACTATAGGACCCTTTTCTTGTCCCGAATGGGTAATGATTGCAGCTACAATATACGATTCAATCCTGGGCTTATTAGGCCTACATAACAGGCTTCTAACAACTACCTTTACCTTTTTTTATTGTGTTGATTTTAATGTGACCCTCTTTGGTCACCTTAATGGTAAATGGTTCTATAAATAAAGTTTGATTGATTCATTTACCTTTTCAGTGACAAGTGACTCTAGCGTTGCCTGGGATCCAGAACACGCACTTCATACAATGACAGGCAGAAAGTAAATAGCCTAAATGTCCTGTTTATTTTAATGATTAAAAGTATGGCTGATAGGCTACAATACGCATAAGCATGTGTGCAACGCGGTTTTATGAGCAGTGCTTAGCAAATTGATCTATAGAAATAGGAAAAGGTAAGACATTTTTGTAACACAATTTAAATGACACCCCAATACTTGTGCAAAGTGAATAAGCCTAAAGAAGCAATAACCCGTTAAATATGAACCAGTAAGTGTTCGACCCAGCAAACACTTAACGTAATTTATAACGTTTTTAAAACTTTAGATTTCCGTCTCCAGTCTCCACGGCCTGTGGCTCAGCGCCCAGAGGGTGGAGCCCTGTTGGGATAGGCCGGAGAGGAGCGGTAGGAGGGCTTACTGTATTCCTTTATATAAACATTTGGCCTGTTATTTCTCAAACGACTGTCATATCATTGGGAAAGGCAATAATAACAAGGCTAACAACTCATAAGTGCTATGTAACTATTTACCATGCATGTAACACGAATAAATCAATACACTTTGTGCTGCATTGTTAATTTATTTTTGTCTGTTGTACATATCATACATATACCATATTTACACTTAAAAGTAAACAAGCATTCAAAACACACAACTCTACATTCATTCAATCCTACTTTGACAAAAAAAAAAAAAAAAATCTCAAAAATTTGGATTTAAGGGGATATTTAATAGTTCCTTTGTTTTCCAATCTACCAAGGAAGAAAGCTGCATTTCAATTGTAATATATTTGTATATAATGCAAATTCCAATCTTGAAATTATGGCAGCTGTCATTAGGTTGCATTTACAAATAATATAAGGCCAAGGAAGCTCCACCAGTGATGGAGAAACAGGAAATAATTTGCTGAGGAAATTTGAGTACTGTGCAAAAGTGAAAGGTGTTGGCATCCACCTCAAATATTCACAAACTCGGTCACACAACAATACAGAAAGCTCACACACTCACAACAGTAACCACTACAGGGTTTCTACCATTTAAGGTCACACTCACTGCAGAGCACTCATGGCATGATTACTTGTATCAGTTCTTACCAACATGCCAAAGTGGACTGGCAGAAGAAATACGGTATTACGACAATTATACTTTGTGCTTTTGTTGTAAAGTGGACAATAAACAGAACAGAAAGTTTAAAGCGAGAAGTTAAAAATGTTTAGAAACTTTAAGACAGATAAACAACCAATGTGACCTGACTTTTACAGCACTGATAATGTCGCTTGTTCTAATATTTTATAAATGGCAAAGACACAAAGTAAAAGCAAATGCATCAAAAGTAAGGAAATTATGGGTTTGTCTCCAAATTTCTTTTTTCCTTGGCAGTCATTTTCCACCTAATTATTCCCAGATTTGTTTAGTGAAAATGTTGATTTAAATGATGATTTTGCATAGGAAATAAAATGCATAATAACAACGCAAAGCCCAATAAAAAAGATTGTTAAAAGTTGTTGGGTAAAGATGATTGTTTGATTTTTTTATCCAAAAAAATCTATGCATATAAAGGGAGACAAAAGATACAAGGCAGATTGGCTCCCACAGCCTATTTCACTAAGGGTAATTTAAGACTTCGCACTACTATTATTTTACAACTGTACTGTATGTCTTAGCAGCCATTGGTTGGCCTTGTATAACTTAAGGTGACAAAGAAATATCGGTGAAAGAAAATTTTGATTTTCTTTTCCCAAAATCTAAGTGGAAATTTTGCAAGTGCTTAAAGTTTACAGCATAAATAGTTTTACTCAGAGCACCTCTTGGAAATAAACCATAACAGTAAATGCATACCCTTTACGTGGTGTAGTCCCTCATATGTACGGTATAAGTGCATGTAAATTGTTGTGACTTTTTTAAAATGCTTTTGCCACTACTCTGCAAAAACATCTTAGGCTTTAAGATACACACCACAATATTACCAAAACTAAAGCACTCACTCATCTGCATCTACTGTGTTTGTGTTGCTGGTAAACACAAGAAAGCCCTTATGCTGATTTACAAATACAAACTAAACATTTCACAAATCAACAAACTAATTATAAAGACAGCAAGAGGCAGTCCATGCGCTGGTAACACAGAGGCCTGCACAAAGGTTTGGTTGTGTCTCCATAGCCCATCAGTGGTCAAATATTTGCATCGAAAGCAAGCTGTTAGACGCCCAGCCAGGCCTCTGTGCACATCATATAACAAGCAACTGCAAAATCAGGTATGCTTCAAATGAACCAGATATCATGTTAGTTTTATAAATAATTAAATACTAAGAGCAATGGATGGAGGAATATGTGCTACTGTGTGATTGTGTGGTTTAAATTTAAGTACAAAACAATACAAGTCTAGAATAAAACAGCATTTTCTTCATCTCATTTCTTCATCTGACAGATCCTTCTGAATCTAATCCTAATGTTAAATCCTGTCCAGCAGGTCAACGAAGGAACATGGAGCATGTCCACATACACAGTCACCAAGAGAAATAAGCACCCTAAAATTAGACCTACTTTGAAAAGTCCACTTCACAGCTAAAAGATCCACATTATGAAAGTGGGTGGAATGCGTGTGTAGTTTAATGTTGTGTCCTGACGAGCCACTGATACAGTAAAGGCTGGCACACAGTGTGGCCAAGTGGGTCAGTTGGTCTCATAGGAGGACAGCAGAGCGGCGTCCACAGGCTCCATACAGGAAGGGCAGGTAAAAGACCTCATCAGCCAGTCATCTATACAGTCCATGTGATAAATGTGCATGCAGGGCAGGAACCGAATCGGGTCTCCATACACAAAGTCCATCATACAAATCACACACCTGTGCAGAAGAGACACTCATTAGACAGTAATGATATACATTTAAACACAATGCTTTACATCTTATAGTTCAAACTCTCAGCCTTGGCATTTCCTTCAGTATAATAGTATAATTCCACTAGAACTCACAGTATTGTATACTGAAGACTAGCATAGGACACTGCCAGGCACAGTTAATTTATGTCAAGTTAAAAAGAAATGTTTTATAAGACAGGATATCAGGATCTTAAGCCATGAATGTCAATTAATATATGTGAATATAACATAATTGCTCAGAACAATAGATGGATAGATAAAACCTTTATTGATAACTTGAAGGGGAAATTCAGGTATCGCACCCTATCCCAGGGGCACCTTTAAGAAAAACAATATAGCATAAACATGAGAGAAGGAGGAAAAAAAAAAAGACACAAACTCCAGATCATGCTCCTGTGGGGAGCATAATGTTGGGTCAGGACACAAAAAAATACCTCCGTAACATAAGCACATGATCAAACACAGTACAACATGACGACTTACAAGGGGAGGGGGTGTGCATAATTAGGCAAGTTGTATTTATAAGAATTAATTTTATAACTACAAACTACGACAGTGCCCTCAGTCAATCCAAAATGTTAATAATCCTCAAATCTGAACCTGAAAAAAATATAAATAAAATATAAATATCTATGATCAGTATAGCCACCCTTCTTCTCAATGGTCATAAGCTTTCCTTTCATGGAATACATAGTGGAGTACTTAAAAATAAAATCGTGGTCCTCTTGAAAGATGCAAACATCATCCTGCACCGCTTGAGGAAAGTGTCTTCTAAAAACTCAGTAGTTTTTGGAATTCATGTTTGTCCATCTTCAACCCAAAAATGTCCAACAAGCTCATCTTTAATAATACCAGCCCTTACCAGTACCCTAATCCTACCCTCCACCTTACTGGTGTCTGAGTCGAAGTGAAGATCTGTGCCCATTACTGATCCAGCCACGAGTCCATCCATCTAGTCTGTCAAGAGTCACAGAATAAAACCTTTGAAAAATCTGTCTTCAGATATTTCTTGGCCCATACTCGACATTTCAGCTTATGTTTCTTGTTCAGTAATGGTCGGGTTTCAGCCTACCTTACCTTGGCCATGTCTCTGAGCACTGAACACTCTGTACTTCCAGGCACTCCGGGTAGGTTGCAGTTCTGGAATATTACAGAGCTGAAGTACAATGGTTCCCTGGTAGCTTCATGTTTGATTCTTCTCAAATATCTTGCAGTTAATTTGTGTCTTTTTTCTCAACACATTTCTTGCGACATTGTTGACTATTTGCAACAAAACATTTGATGATTTTGCGATCATTTCCAAATTTCTTTGTAATATGAAGAGCACTGCATCCCTCTGAAAGACTTTTTTACACTTTTTGACTTTTCAGAGTAAGTTCAATCTCTTTTTAGGCCTGTTTTGCTTGAGGAAAAGAAGCTGCCCACCCTCCCTCTTTAGACAAATACACATCACATGGTATGCTCAAATCCAATAAGAATTCAAGTTTATACAGTCTGGAGTTGAAGAATATGCATAAAAATCATGATATGGTTAAAATACTCATTTGCCTAATCATTGTCCACACAGTGTAGATAAAAGAATATATTAACTGTATATTAACTGCAAGAATCTAGTCTTTATAACATACTGACACAGTAGGACAGAAATGACAAAGCCTTTATACTCACTCTCGAATCTTTTTCTCAGAGCTGTCCCGTCCGGGGTCATACACGCCTTTCGGGAGGTGCTGGATGAGGCCGATGCGCTGGGCAATGCGAACCTGCTCCTCTTCAGTCAGTTGTGTGGCCAGTCGAGCCTGGCTGGGTGTCGGATGATACACAGGTACGTGGATTTGCTCCTGTATAAAAAGGAACACACAAAAACATTAACATAAAATGGACAAGTAAGTGAACACCACACCTACAGTCATACAATATGAGGCTTTCTGCTATTATAGTCCATATTGGACAGAAGACTACGATCATGAATAGAGATGCCTTAATAATTCAGTTAATCGGTTACGTCATCTCGGTATACTTCAAAAAAGAACACCTAAATGTGAAGTGCTTTTTATTTGTATAAGTCACATTAATGTAACTTTATAATTTAGAAAGGTTGATTTTTACAAAGCTGGTTGCAAACAAACAGCAATGTATTAGACAATGTGGATAAAATTGAAATAAAGAATCCAGTGTCCACCTGGTCATGTCAGTAATTGGGAGTAATCGTTAAATCGTGACATTTCTTCTCACAATAATCGTAACATACTGACTTCTTGGTTGTCTAGGAACAACTTTTGTAATTTGTTATAAATTGTGGCATTTCTACAAGGCAAAAATATAACTTTAAATATTTAAAAACTAAAACTGCTTATAATGCTATACAATACACTAAATCACTTCTTCAATATAAAGATAGAAATAAAAGGCTAACCATCCCTTTTTCAACACGCACAAGTCAAAATCCTAGAACATTCACGAGCAATAACGAAAGGGGCAAAACTAACTTTTGAAAGTGAAACTAAAACCACTTAAAAAAGAAAAAAGTCAATGTAAAGAAACCAAAATTATTAAACTGACTAAGATAGTTGCAATATTAAGATCTGAATGAGTCAAGGGTACAACTACTAAATCACAGCTTACCTGACTATATAGATGTAAATGCAAAATAATTCTGCTTTTAAATTAATTATTGTGCATTTTACTGTAATTTCTTAAACAATAAAAGCAATTATTAAGTATAATTCAGTAGACTAGATTTATAGTGTCACACAACATTGACACCGGTCTAACCAGGCAATCTTTCTAAGTACTTCCTTCCTCTTTTTGCTTTATACACTACACTACAACAGGAGCCTGTCATGGTTAAGCACACTCTTATTAGACCCCAACTGTTTTATTGGCATTCATGCAAGTCCTGAAAAAGGATTTCTCTAACTGTTAAAAATAAGATATTAATTTACTACATTTGAACGTAGAAACCTTAAGCCTTTGTTAGATATTTCATTTGAATTTGCTCCTAAGTATGTAACACAGCTGGGCTACTAAAGCTTTGGATCAGCTGAATAGCTCCACCCCTGACAGCCACTGCCCTTGCTGGTGCCTATGGAGGGAAATAAAGGCTCTCTACGACTATAACAAGTTTCCAATTGTGAATCGTGCATTGGTCAGCAGTGCAATTGTCAACGTCTCTTTTTTTGCCATGCATTGCTCTACAGCAAGTGCTCATTTCGTAATCCCAGAGTGACCACAGGCCGGGGCCAGTGCCAGAGACAGTGCATGTGTGGACACTAACAGACAGTACATTGGCAGGAGGCCAGTGACTTCCTATACTGCACAACAGTTAGGTGTTTTCAATTTCATAGAGTTAACCTAGCCCTGAGTCAATCACCATGGTAACTCACTCTGAACCTAACATTGTACATAGCAGGTTTTATTCCTCTAACCCAAAGTTTAACCTGAGTCTGCTCCTGAAGGAGAGCTCTGATTGGTCAGTTCACATTCCCACTCCCAGAAGTATAGGATGGTATACCCTTTGTTTCAATTAGTAATTTATAACTGGGCTTCAAAATTGTATTGTAAAATCTACAGATAAAAACAGACTTAACATAATTTAGTTGCCAACACATGACATGACAGCCTCTCTTGATTAAAGAATGAGGTGAAAAACAGCTGTCAGAACTATGTGGGGTCAGTGACACACAGGTGTGCCTACATGACTACAATAGAAGAATAAGTGAAATGATTTAAACAATCTTACTTTACTAGGAGAATGTGAGAGAAAAGTGGACCTTTGAACACAACAAAGAGGATTAGCCATGAAAGTACAGGGTCAGTGTGTTTCAGCCTATGTTGATCCTGTACATAGCTGATCTCTTGCATAACAAACAAAAAATAATTAACAGAACAATTTAACAACAGCATGTATTTGTTCTTATAAAACCAACACATATTTTCTAGGTAGACAATTTGGACTTAATACTACACCTGATACATCATTGTACATGTGTAAATATATGTAGGTGGCACACAAATATTTAGTTTTTATTCTTTAAAATAGAAAACTACCTATCATTTATTAGGCTGGATTCATGTGGTCCTTGGAGCTCATCAATAAAATCAACTTGAACCTCCACCTTAAGTTGCTATATTATCAGGAGCTTCATGCTCAGCCAGGCACAGTCCAAAGGAGCAATGTTGGGCCATGCTCCCGTGTTCAAGCACAAGGGTGTCCATCAGTGCATGTGGCACCAGACACCGTAGGTTGAAAGTTGATGATCAACTTTGTCATTGTGTCATCTGACCTTCGACCGTGTGTCTTGGACACTCGGGTGAAGAGAGGGGCAGAGCTGTCATCCAACCACCACTGGTGGTGAGTGGTGTCCGATGGCAGAGGAGGAAGTCAGAAAGACCTGGCAAGCCCAACTGTATCATGAGGGTCTGCTGATAGAGCGATCTGTCAGGAGAACCTTCAGCTCACACCTCCGGGAAGCTGGAAAGCTTCTTCCAGACCCTGGGGGAGGCTAGGGAGATGTGGAGTCTGAGTGGACCATGTTCTCAGCCTCTATTTTCTATGCCGCTCGGGGCACTGAAGCCCGATAGTCGATCCTCTGATGCAGGAGCAGTAGTTTTTGTCCTAGAAGAGGAAACACTGGACTAGCTCCATACCCTTCACCACGTGTTTGAGGGTTCATGGAAGTAGTGTGCTTGGTACTATGGGGTCTGGCACCCTTTGCCAAGGATTGATCAGCCCTTGGAGCAGGAGGCAGTACGTCAGACCAGTTCCAAGACCTGTTTTTAAGATCGCGTATACAAGTGGTTGAGTTTCCTCCGCAAGGTGTATGAGTGCTCCGTTAGAGTTAGGGTCACACAGGAGGAGCTTGGAGTAGAGCCACTGCTCCTCCACATAGAGAGAAGCCAGGTGAGGTGGCTTGAGCATTCGGTCATGTTGTGCTCGATTCTGTCCCCTAAACTTCTAAACTTTTATTCAAAGAGCTAAATTGTGTAAAATAGACAAATAAGCTAATTTTCTGCTCCTCAAAGTGGGTGACGTCAAGTGCGACCTGGGTCAGACGTTTTTGGCCCGAGTTCTCTACTCGTTTTTCTGACTTGTGCTTGTACATTTTCCTGATTTCACATTAATTGTTATCAACTTCACAGTTCCGACCTGTTAACACGCATTTAGTAAACCCGCCCGGAGATGGTCAGATGCAGTTTGTTGAGTCAAATTTAGGTTACCTCATAAGGGGGCGGCGGCTCCTGGTCTGGGTCGGCACCGTCCCCGTAGCTGGCCCGGTCCGACTGAGACTCGTGAAGTAAAGAGATGTCATCGGAGGTGGGAGATTTCAGACAGTTTCCCATCTCCTTCCTCGGCCGAGAAACGATGTTCCTTGGCGGTACACGGTACTCTGTAGTTTCAGAGGCCACTTAGTGGTGCGTCGCGGCGCGGTCAAGCGTCAACGCCGCGGGCGTCAGACGCCAGAGTTCAACAATCTAAACTTTCGGCGAAATCCGCCGCGCGTCAACGAGTTTCAAGCGTCTGCCTCAAATGAAGACGCGTCCAACTAGAGGCGTTTTGTGTGATTGTGACGCCGCGATCTGAACGCAGCATGAGACGAGATGTCCATCCGCAGCCAACCCTCCCCTCCTCCTTACCCCGAAGACGAGAGAGCTGCTTAGTAAAACAACATCCTCGACAAACAGCTAGCCACACAAAGACCTAGCTTACTGCTAACACAGCTAACATCGGCAGCAACTTGGCTATCAGGAATAAAACGTAAACAATCAGAGACAAGTGTAGATCTTTAGGATATAGGAGCTGAGGTGAGTCTCCGTCAAAATGACAAAGCGAGCTGCAGGTTTTGCAGAAGGTTTTACAGACTAGCCCCTCTGTCTGTCAGGGACTTTCCAGTGCAGAGTGCAGCAGCTGCTGGGCAACGACAAAGGAGGTGATGTAGTAGCGACACGAAGCCCCGCCCCACCACAACAAGGACCAATCAGAAGCCATAAAATCAAGGAAATGCCTACGTTCAGCCAATCACATTCATGCTGACGTTCTGTTTGCTAAAAACATAAACACAAAGCGAAATCCATAAAAAATGAGGCTTTAGTGTTGCACTTTTCCTTATTTCACGATCAGTTAGAGCAGGAAATGTAGCAGTTCTTATTTAGCACTTATCGTTTTCATTATGTTTATAAGTAAATTATAATAGCATATCAAAACAGTCTTTTGACATGCTGCTCACAGTATGTTTGGCTTTTTTTTTTGTGAGCAGAGAACATGCAGAGCAAAGATCAGTGCTTGCGAATGATGTTGAATGTGACTGTACGTGGATTAAAGCACAACACCTACTGTTTTGAATTAGTTGGTGGGGTTTTCATATTATATCAGCCAACTTAAATGGTTTAGAAACATTCACCTATGTTAAGGAATACCATTATGTTCTGTGGGAGAAGACACGATTGAATATGTGGAACATAATCTAGAATGCCACTATATTTTGCTCGTTGGAGTTTTTTTTTTTTTTTTTTTTTTTTTTTACAAATGGAGACTAGGGAGACCATATAAAAAGAAACAGATAAGAGAATTTGAAAAAATCTGAAATAGCTTTTGAGCATATGCTAAGACATTTGACACAATAGTCTATTTCCACAAGCACAAATAATAATAATTACATTTTGGGTAAAACGGAAGTACATATCTATACACAGATTGTTGCAGAGACAGTAACTGTTGTCATCAAATGGTCTTTTCCAGTCTGTATCCACAGCACAGACTGAAGCTGCTAAACATGAATGTTGAAGGTGAAGTACTGATGGAGGCACAAAGCAGGAGGAGAAAAAGGAGTAGACTGCCTTTCTGAAAGACACATTCTTCTGTCCTCTTAAAATAGGACAACATCATAAAACTGCAATTTACATTATACAGTATATACATAATGTATGTATAAGCACAACTCTCACTAGTGGATGCTGATAAACAAAGAGCAGTGCAAAACAAAGTTATGTTCTGAAAAGTCTTTCCTAAAAATGATTTAATGATTTGTAACTTAATTTAATAAACACAATGTATTTTTATGCAAAGGTGACACATGTAAACTATGGTAACATGATCATGTTGTGTATTTTCCACTGCCTGTATTTTTATCTTCAATATTATCTTAAATAAATCTTAACTTAAATTATTGGTGTCCACTATAGACATTTAGTTGACCGCAGAAGTTGGTTGAATTAGACTACATCATTACAGATGTGGTTCTTTGCATAAATAAACCTTGTAACTGGTTTAAATACAAGCACAAAAATTGCCTATTGCCTATACTGTCTATATCAGTGATTCCCAACTTAAGGGTTTAACCCCCAAAGACAGCATTAAAGTTTTAGTGTCTGTTTTAAAAAGTCCAAAGTTTCAACTACACTACAAAAATTACAATAAAGAATGGGGAATTAAAATTGCAACAAAAATATTTAGTTGTGAATTTGAACATGTGCAATACTGTGTCATTTTAATGCAGCATTAATATAAGGAATTCTTCTTATCACAGAAAACACATGATATGAATAAGATTCAACATTTCTGCTCACTAACACTGACTGTCAAGATTTCACAGACTTTTCCAGATTACTCTAGGTTATTGTAAAATGTTTTTGTTCCAAGCATTGTTTGAACCAATGATATTCCTATAAAGAGCTTTATTTAGAATACAGTTGGTTCTCTGACAGCACAATGATATTTTGTATTTTCTCAAACCCCCCAGGATGTCACAAAAGTTGGGAACCACTGATCTATACCATAACATATGGCTAAGTGAAGCTAATATCAGAGCAATGTGGCAATGTGCTGTAAATGCATCAAAGCTGCATAAAGCTTTGTAGATAGTACAACAGGCCTGACATAATTCCTTGTCCTAATGTCTCTTGTGATAAAGATGCACATGTCAGAAGTCACTTTCTGATCTAGAGCACCCCCCACTGTCTATTATGGGCTACAAATCCCATGAGTTCCATTTTCCATAATGCCCCTAGCTTTTTGCAAAGCAGCTTGAATACGGAAGTGTGTCCGTGACTCCATTGAGTAGTTTTTGTAATTTTGCCTGAAAAAGAAAAAAATATTATACAAGTAAATGATAAACAAATAATCATGACTATTTTTAATAACCACAAACAAGCAACACTCACTTAGCTGTTTCTAAGAGTTTGATGGCTTCATTATTTCTACCTTGCTCTAAACAAAGCAGACCGTGCTCCAGCAGGGCATTTGGAACCAGGTAATGGTCATACTTTATTTGAGACTCACTGCAGATTAAAAATACAGAAGAAAGCAAATAAGATTATGAAATGCCACTATCTCAAGATCTCACAAGGCAATACTAAACACAATGAGTTCAACTGTTTTAAAATTGCAGGTGTTTGTTGCACAATAAAAAAAAAAGAAAGAAAGAAACAGGAAGTGGCTTACTTGCAGAGGACAAGGGTAAAGTAATGTTCTGCTTCCTCCTGATGACCCAGGTGCTTTAGACACAATCCTTTCAGGAGGCTTAGTAAACACTGATCATCTATAGTGAACTCAGTTCCTGTTTTTAATGAATGTAATTGAGTTTGATTAAAATGATTAAAACACAGTAAAAGTTAGGCACTGTGTAAATTGTGCTCACTTGGGCTGCTTTCAAGTTTAGCGTGTGCCTCATGCAGTGTTTTCAACATTCCTTCAGTCAAGTCCTTGTGTTTTCCAATGACTGTGTAGCCATTCCAGATGTACATCATCTCCTATAAGCATCAGACACCAGTCAGCAAGCACCAGTCAACTGCATTTGTACTTGTGAAATGATAAACCATAAGCCAAAGCCAAACATCATATACAAATAAAGCGCATTGCATAACATCAATTTTACTGACCAGGGGTGCAGCAGGAAGAGGAACAGGGTTTTCTGCAAGGTAACGACGAGCTTTCCTAATGGCAAACTTCTCTGTTGGTAATGACTTCCCAGCTATTTTTTGCTTCAAGTTTGGAACCTGTCTAAAATCCCAATATTAAACCATGTTAGCAAAAAGTGTAATATGCACATTTATACCAGTAGTACGGTAGATTATATAAGGAAAATTCAGGTAGTGCACACTTAGTTCCAAATAGTTATTGTGGTGATAGCTTTTATTCAGCTGTAATTTTACCTAAACAAAGCAACTTCAGTCTCTCCAAAAGTGAGGCAATCCTCCTCACTCAGCATACTGAGGTAGGCAGCCTTCATGAAGGCATAGGTGGCCTAAGTAAAGACAAAGAAGTTAAAGTTAAAACATGCATATGTATTACGTCACACCATTTGGACATGTGGTGACCACCTGTTGCTTTTTTGGTTGTTCTGCACACATTTAAGCTCTTATACCACTTATTTATGAATTTTAGAGTGTTTCATTTGAATTGCACAAAATGGTGAAATTTTTTTACTTTATTGTTCTCATAGTGAAATTTGTATTCTGTAAATGGCCCATTTAATGTGCCAATGACATGTTGGACTACTCATTCTACTAAAGCACAATTAAGTGCATTAAATTTAAGATTTAGTTAAAAATTGTATAATTATTTTCCCACTTTGGCAATTTTTTAGTTTTAAAATTGTACTTCCTGGTTGGAAATCTTAACATCACGATTTGGAAACTGTTACTGTTGCATAGGAACCATGCTATACAGTGATCTAAAACTCATTATGTACACAGAAATTATTATTTAACAAATAAATTGTGTGTGTGATGTCATCCATATGGAACTGTCTAAGAGAGAACTCTTTACTTTCTATAATTTTCAACATATTTTTCAACTTTTCTTCACAAATTTCTTCATCAAAACCTGCCATATGCATTTTAATGCTATTGGGACAACATGTTAGGAGCAGGAGATCCAGATCCTGAGCTAGGCTTACACTACTATTACCTATTGAGCATGTTTTGGGTTCTTGGATCAACCAAACTTGACTTACCTTGGACCAACAGTTTTCTTTACTGAGAAGGTCAGCATAGAAATAAGCCATCTTCCAGTGTCTCTTGTATGTAAAGCACCACATGAGCTCCCAATAGCACATGTGGTGAAACTGCTTCCATTGTTGCTGAGCTTCACAGCACTCCTCAAAACGCTTAATAGCCTGAGATTTAAGGAAAAAAAGAGAGCTGAAAACTGTGAGTAAAATTAACACATTCACTAAGAACATGGTTGTTTTTACTTACAGCATCCAGGTTGCCTTTAATCTCCTCTATTCGACCAGCAAAGAACAGAATATTGACCCCTATAAAAAAAACACACACTTTTTATATTAATACTTTATTGATACACAAAAAATGTAAATGGCAATAATAAATTCAAAGTAAGTAGCAAAAATAGCAAGAGACTGATGTCAAATAAGGCATAATTATATAAATTCATATGTACAAGTAAAAATAAAATCTAGAAATATAGTCATACAAATAAATCTCAGCTATAAATAAGTGGTCATAAGGAGAAACAGTACAGCAAAAGAACTGTATACAGTAAAAGAAAAGTATAAACCTCAGCCATATTGAAAAAATAATTTAAAATGTTAAATATTTAAGTGTACATACCTTTGGATATTTTTCAAGATATGGCTGCAACAGTTTTTCTGCATCTTCAACATCCCCTTCTCCAGTTCCTAAAAAGGATAATAATATTAGCTGTTGTGGCTGACTGTATTGACTGCCATGAAGTGTGACATTTCCCACCTAATATGAAGCTCATAAAGGTGTGATAGCAGAGAAGCAGCATGTTGCACAAGAAAGACCTAAAGGTGTTTTCTGAAGAGCCTTCCTGAAGCTGTTGGAGACCAAACTCCTGCATGAAGACACCAAGCATGTTTATAGGACAACAATTACACAAGTTCAAAGAGATTCATTTCAGTCTTCCAATGTTATATCCAAATAACAATCACTCAACTCCTCAATGATTGTAGCAACTCACTGGACAGTTTGGACTAATAAGGTCTTAGAAGTACATCACTGCTTTTGATAGTGTGTAGTCACAATATACACCTATTAAAACTACTATTACTAATGTCTTTGAATATTTCAATATGAAAGTTTAAATCATATAAAACATATTTCTGAATAAATAAATAAAATACAGCTAATCACAGAAGCTAATGATGAGCCCTGGGAGGTGTATTTAATCAAAACAATCTTAATTTACCTAAAAATGTAAATACACATATAATACACCTATTACTATGAGAATAATTGAGGAGTATTTGCATTATCAAAGTTAAAATCACATATTTCTGGTACCATATTTCTTCTCACCTTGTTACCTGAAAAACCAACAAACTCCAAAAGCTTTAGAGTCCGTGTGGGTAACATAGAAATCATCTGTAAAAAAGTGAAACCCAGTCAAAATGAAACCTAACTTGAGATAAACAGAACTTAGCTTGCATTCAAAGAACAGATCAAATCTTGACAATTGTAACATTAATGTGCCTTTCTATGGGAATTTGAAAATATATATTTACTCACTATATTATAGAATGAAATATAGCCAGCATTTAACTTACCAAGTTAAATGCCCCAACACCAAGTTTAACACCTCCCTCAAAATGGCCGTGGTTGTCTGCCTGAGTGTATCCAGTGGATTGCAGGACTGTATGAAGCTCCCTGAGAAAAAAAAAACAAAAAACAATAATAATAATAATAATAATAATAATAAATCAACACAAATAAACACAAAATAAATCACACAAAATTGCTCTAAAAAGTCAAGTACTTTACAGCAAGAGGTCAGAGTCTTACTTGTATGTCTGGTAGCTGTTTCTCACTTTAATTCCACCTTTAATAAAACTGATCATGTTTTCATCCTACACAATAACAGTGAATATGATTATTATTAATTTCATGTTTTTTCCTAATGTAAAAGCTGTGAATTGTTACTGACCTGAAGAAAGGTGAGTGCTGCCCTCTGGAGGAGACATTCAGCATAGCACACCTCTGCATGGAGTTCCTCTATGATTGAAATTATACACAATGGTCACACATTTAAAAAACAGGGATACACAACCTCTGCTGTTCACACTGTTCAACATCGCCACTTACAGATTATGTACAGAGGAAATACCTTTACTTACCCTCTGTGAAGGTCTTAGAAAAACTAGATTTTTTGCGATGCCTAAAATACAAAACAATAAATAAATACGTAAATAATATAAAAGAATTTATGACTAATGGTCGGCAGTGCATCAGTCAATATTTCTATACCATTTCCTTTTTTTGGTAACATGCAGCTTTAGCATAATGCTACTGACAAATGATGAGTGTGCATTAAATAATTGGATTAACAGTTTTTATCAATGTCTCAGTATTCCCTTTTGCAAATTTCATTTGGCAAATTAATTTTAATTGTGTATTCTTATTATGGTGAAAATACTAATTGGATTACTGTACATTAAAGGTCCTATATTATGTAAAAATGACTCTTCTGAGCTTTAAGCCACATTATAATGTTGTTAACTCCTCAAAAACATACACCTCAAAAACCAACACCTGGGGAGGTGGTTTGTTTCATTCACACATTTTTGAGTAACTCTGAATTATTGGGCTGTCCATCTCCAAAATTCAAAATGCTTTTTTCCACCTTGTGATGCTATAAAGCGGCAGTTTTCAAGTTAACAACTCCTTTTACCAAATCATTCTAATGAAGGTGCATGGAGTTTAAAAACACATTGGAGCACTCCCTGTATTACCACATGACATTACAAGGTGGAACCGAGTGTTTTCTGATTGAGAAAATAACTCTAATATGCCTAAATATGCAGGATTTGTGGTTAAACATGTATGAATGAAACAATACACAGCACCTGGTATGTTTCTGATGAGGAAATAACATTATAACGGTGATCCGAAAACAGCGTAAAATGGGCCCCTTTTACTATGGGACAACTGAAAATGCACAGAAAGGTTTAAGATGTCACCTTTGGCAGATAGCCTGAGCCTCCTTCATGGTGTTTCCAGCAGTAAGGATGTGCTGAGGGTCAAATGTCATCATGGCTTGCATTTCTAGGATTGTGGCATAGGTCAGAGAGTGGTACATGCTGTCTTTGGTTCTGCATAAATGAAAACCACAATTAGTTAGAATATAATATGGTATGCATTGCTGCAGACATATATGAGGAATACAATGCCAACAAATGACCTTGTAAACATTGTCCCAATAACAATAGACCTTTACATCAGGACTAAGCAGGTGTGACTTTGAACTTGAAAGCAAAACCACTCCTCTACAGTTGACTAATAACTCAGTAGGTGTGTTTCATAAGTATTTTCTGAAAGTTTCAAAAGCAGCGTCCTGACTTGGTGTCCCAGATTGTGCTCACTTGTTCTCATACTTAATAAACATGTTCTTCTGGTTACACAACATTATTAAAGCTTCATGCTATTTTTAAAAGAGAAATAAACACCACAAACACAGATGTACACCTCAGATTTGTAAAATCTGGATTTGGAAAACTCCTTAAAATGTGGTAATTTTACAACATAATAAAACTGCTTTTAATTTGTACAGTGACCCACAAGGAGAAACTATAAAAGAAATATGAAACACAGATTTCTCTGTCTATGCTTTGGGTTGGGTGTCTGTACGCTGTGTGCTCAAGAAATAACATAAAATAGAGTTCTACACTTTCTGACTTCAGTATGTGGTCTTGACAGGATTTTCCATGATGCAGGGGTGGAGTTATATGCACATGTTTAAACACACCTGCCCTCACCTCTTCACCTACACTCACACACACACACAAAAAAAAGAAAAAAATATAAAAAATAAAATACAGCTAATCATAGAAATGATTCATGAGCCCTGGGAAGTATATTTAATCAAAACAATCTTAATTTGCATTACCTGAACATACATACACACATATATTACACTTATTACAGTGAGAATAATAGAGGATTACTTGATGAAGGCATCATGTTTGAACAAAGGGCTGGTATATAAAACTACGCCTATTAGGTACGACTAAGAAACTCATTTCCATGAAGCAAGTTTGTGGAGTAAAGTGAAAAGGCTTTGTCCAGAACAACGTCACAAACAGTTACTCAAGCTCAGGCACTGGGAGCAAAGATGACACTATAGCTCACAGTTTATTACATAATAATATAAAGCCTAAGGCTAACTATATTATATGTGAAGATACAGTGAGTTTCACTGTGTGTGAACTGTACATGCCATTGTCATTGTAAAATTCACTTTGAATTGACCTAGACTGGCACATCTAGAACCAATTCATACAACTCTAACTTGAGATAACTTGAGATATTGATTTGATTTATCAGATAAAAAATAACATGATACAATGCCAACATGCAGCATTATCATCACGTATTTGTTTCAAAGAAGAAAGAATAAAGAAAAGTATTAACGTGTGGAGGCAGGGTTTAATATCAAACTGGAGGAAAAGTCAATAGGAGTTTTTACCTTTCCAAACTGACGCTATTTAAATTCATTTAACAATAACAACAACAAAAAAGTCAGTAGCTTTTTCAGACAAATGAGAATACAGCATTAAATATAATAATAAATATCTTGTATTAATGTTTTGCTTTTTTTGATGCATGAAATTGATGGGCCCACTTGTACCTGGATCGGAGTCTTTCCTGGGCCTCCTCAAATTCATTTCTAAGGAATAGATCCAGGGCAGCCATGCAGTCCTCCAGCGCCAGAGAAAGGTCTGACCGAGAACACCTGCACACACAGGAAAACAACAGGTCAATGTCTATACAGTCTATTTAATAGCGTTCTCTGTTACACCTCTCTCAAGAATAAGCTAAAAAGCTGACACATAACAATTAAAATTCACTACAGCCTGCAAGAAAGCCAGATCATACTATCCATACTATAATAAATACAAACTGACAACACAAGTTTAATTATTCTATTGGAAAAAAACTCCCAAAAAAACAAAAAAAAACCCACTTTGTTGTTTTGCCCTCTTCAAGCCATATGACCCTCACGTGACAGGGTATACGTGCCAGTCCTTGTGTTCTCATCACTCCCCTGGATGACAAGCTTTTGTTTTGTAAGCCTGTTTTGCTTTTTGGTGCAACAATTTGAGAAACTCAATGTTCTCAATAAGATTAATGGGGTAAAGAATAGATTTGGTTGATAGTCAGATACTAAAGACAGACATTGGGGTATATTTTCACATTAACTGACTTATTTTTATTCAGTCATTGTTTGTGCAATTGTGCTTGTTAAAAATGTATGGACATACAAGCTCTTCATTTCCTGTTGCTACTAATCTAACCAAATAAACAACAAAAGTCTAGCCTAAATCTGTGTATCACTAAAGAAAAGAGCTGGCTCTCCAAGTGTCATATAACAGGACAACCCCGGGTGTAAACTAGGGCTTAACCATTTCAAAAATTGGACTATGTCCTTTCCATTGTAGGTCTAAACAAAAAATAAACCAAAGGAGGATAAAACAGTGGTCTAAATTAGGCTAACCCACATACTGAAGAGTCCAAGTAACACCTGAACCACAGTTTGAGAAACACTGGCCTTGTTTATTCCATGTTTATAATGATAAATTGATTAAAAAATAAATAAATTATGGAAGACATTAAAATCCATCACTGCCTGGTCCATGTATATTTCAGCTGTAGTCAAATAAAAATAAAGGAATGGATGGAGTAATCAAGTATTTCTTTTTTATCATTATTATTTTTAAGTCTATTTTAAGCCTATATTGTTTGCCTGACGAAGGCCTAGTGCCGAAACGTTGCACAGTTTGTCCTAATAAATTTCACAGTTTGCAAGTAAGACGGTGTGCGGGATTTTTCTGTATGTTCTGGGGCTGCTCCCTCTCCTCCAACGCACCCGTCTCTAGTAGTTGATGTGCGAGGCTCTCATTCTCTCAAGCCTATATTGTGCAAAATAAAATTGACTCTACTGAGCTGTAAGCCATGTTACAAACTTAGAGTTGCGTTTTGATCATTCACACGTTTGAGTAACTCTTTATTACTAGTCTTTCTACATCTCTAAAGCTCAGAATGCTCTATTTCACCATGTGATGTCATAAACCGCTAGTTTTCAAGTTAACCGTTACTTTTTACCTTTAGTCCAGTAGAAATGGGCAATTACAGGATTGAAATCATCCAAATGATTCTAGTGAAGGTGTATGGAGTTTAAAAATGCATTGGGGCATTTCCTGTATGACCACATGACATCACAAGGTTGAACAGAGTGTCTTCATTTTGAGGGAAGAACTAAACTTAAATATGCATGATTTGTGTGAACATGTGTGAATGAAACAAAATACAACTCCAGGAATGATAGACAAATGGCCAAAAGGTTTTACCCAAGCAAGGATATTAACTAAGTAAAAAGTATGGTGTGAAAAAATACTAATAGTCTAATAGTCTAATAGTAGTAGGCTACATTTCTTCAACCAAGCACTCAGGTTGATGTAATTCACTAGTACCCAACTCATGTTGTTGTGACATATACACGGTATAATATTCACTTGACATTTGGAAACACAGTAGGTAGACATCATTACACACACACACGCACGCATACATGCACACACACACCCATGCACACACGCACACACACTGGCTTTCTATGCTTCTTGGGGACATTACATTGACTTATTTATTATTTATTTCCCTGTAGACTGATTCTAACCTTAACCATAGTCACTGCTTTCCTAATCGTAACATAACCCATATCTGAACTGCTATTGATCTAATGATAAAGGATTTACGTCATATGGCCTGATTTTTATCCTCATAGTGAGACAGGTCCACGTGAACAGAGTGTTAGTCCCCACAATGTTATAAATGTCCACCCACGCTGACGCAGCTCCAGCTAATGACATGCGGGTGACTGCTGTGTTCACCATATGACCTGCAGCCAGTTCTGCTTCCTGATAACAACAGGGACTCAGGCCACTGTCAGTCCACTGGGCAAACCACTAAAGAAGAGCTCTTCACACACTAATCATGCCGTGTCATGACTACAACTAATTGTGCTAAACCACTTTTGTTCAGACTAAGATCTATAAAAGGTAAAATAAAGCACATTAAATTGAGTATGTTTTCAGATGTAAAACATAACAAATGGTATGTCTAGTTCTGCAAATGTTAATGTCATTGATTTCAAGGATATTGCAGCGAAGTCACATGTACAGCAGTCCCTCAGTGGTTAGGGAGGGAATCTGACCACTCTTGAGACTCTGTTTTTCAAGAGACCAATGGAGCGATTTATATCACCAACTATTAAACAAATAATTAACTGGATTGGCTTATAACACTATTTATTAATTAATCACATCTTTGGCACATTATAGAAGCTTTTCTAACCTATAATCTTAAAAGATATCTAAGAAGAGTAAGAACGTAAGAAAGTAACAGTGCCTATTACAGATCAGGAGAGGAGAACTGTATTGAATTGTGATCTATAATGAAGGGGAATTAAAAGCAACAATGGAGGTTGTCTATTAGGGTCAGGATGCACATACCACAAATTGTCAAGCCAAGCTACTTAATTTAAAGTCAGCAAGTCTGAATTGTGGCATTGGTTTCACACAAGAGATACTCCACAGAGATGAGTATTGTCACTGAAGCAAATGCACACACACACAGAGATGCATAAAGCCTTAGAGAGCACACAACCAGCACAGATATATGGACCATTAGCTATGTTTACATGCACATGAAAACCTGAACTTTATCTGATTTCTGGAGTTCTCTGATTATTGTTATATAGTTATATTTGATGTGAGTAGTCTAATGTCTTTCTGATTGCTCACAGGTTTTGACAAGGGCAAAGAATGCAAAATAGTATTATTAAAGATTGAAAGAGTTAAAATTTAAAATTCTTTGTACATAATCCATTAATTAACTGATATGTGTTTCTTGCGCTTATAAGCAAAGAACAAAGATCATATCTAATTTTTGGGTAATCTGATTATTCCAGTTATCTGCTTTTTACTGGCCATGTAAATGGACCCACTGTAGGGCTCACGGGTGACGAAGCATTAGTTTACGCACACTTCCGTACACAGCTTTGAGTCAATGATGTAACAAGATTTAGCTATAATAGCAAACATGTTCATAATGGGCCTGAACAAGTTTGTCCACATGCCTTAAGTGTCAGTAATAGCAAGGCAGGAATACAATGAATCCATAACAAACTGAGCATGCTGGAATAAACAAAGGCATATATACAGTAGTTAGGTGTCTTACCCATTGGTTAGAGTCTCTTCCTCTCCTGACATTTTCATCTGGCTAGTGTGGTGATGTGCAAGTGTGACACAGAGAGAAACACAGTAAAGATAAGGAGAAAATAGCAGAAGTTAATGCAGCCTTTCTTTTAACAGCGCAGTGTAATGATCCGGATCTCTGTCTATGTAGCAGCAGCAACTACAGCAGCAGCAGCAAGAAGCAAGAGTGAGGGAGAGAGAGAGGGAGAGGAGGAGGTAGCAGCAAATACATCGTGTCTTAATAAGATCGGGATGACTATCACACATGGGTGGGGAAACACATAAGAGTCTCTGTGTCCCACCTCTTCCGATCATCAGCCCCTCAAACCATAAACTCAAGCCCGCCTCCCAAAAAGCCATAGGCGGGGCTTAAATCATCACATATGCCCTGAGGTTAGAAAGTAATAAGCCAAAAATAAGTCTGGGAAAGACATATATCATCTTTGTTTCTCCTCACAGATTTTTTATTTAGCTGAGATATATTTGGATTACTGTATTTCTATATCTTATTTTTCATGTACATATACATTTTATATAATTATGCCTTGTTTGACACCAGTCTCTTGCTATTTTTGCTACTTATTTTGAATTTATTATTATAATTCATATTTTTGCTCTTTATTATAATATATTGTGATGTGTTAGCCACTATGTCTAAATAATTTCCCTTGTGCATCAATAAAGTTTATCTAAGTCTAAGTCTTGTATTATACCTTAGACACAAATAGTACACATGGAATTCAGTCAATATAAAAGAGTATAGAAATGGTTTACTCATAGTTGTATTTTGAGTATTCATGTAGGATTGAGTAATCCTGCATTGGCCTCCTGTATTGTCCTCTTGTGGTTTGAGTGCTCAGAAAATATTTGTTTTTGCCCACCCCCTACCTCCAACCACTGCTCTACTTGCATGAGTGCGATTATTCAAAGCATCCAGGCTCAAGATCTTACATATTGAGTTTTAAAAAGATTTTAAAAAAACAAAAAAACGAATAAAAATCCACTGCATGCTCTGGTGAAATACTACTAGACAGAGTATTTCAGTTGTGCACTTTTGAGTCAATGGGCTGTTTTTTGTTTTTGTTTTGTTTTTGATGATTTATATTCATACTTCACAATTAACAAAATGTAAAATAATCATCTACATAATGCTATAGTTTAATACAATATCAGACAGTAACGGTAAACATGAGGCTGTGTAAGAGATACATATATGATAATAGCATGTAATACAAAGTAGAAATTACATTTTTTTTATTTATAGCGTGCTGTTCTAAAAGGCAAACACACTCTAGTCAGTTTTCCAATTAGGGACACATTTGTTTATTGTGAATGTTTCAAAGTGTCATGCATACACAGAGTCACAAACACTGTTAGTTACAGTGCTAGTACCATCATGTGACTGACCGTATACAAAACAAGGACTTAGATAATCCTGTAACTTATAGGTTTATTTGGGACAGGCCATATGACAGTTAAGTTAAATATTAGAGTCACTGTAAAGTTTAATTCAAGCTCCAGACTCTTGTATTTGTAAGGATATTTTTTCTGTGGGACACAGTGGGAGGAGAAGCATAATCCAATTTGGTACACTGCTGTCCTTGTTGGGGATAATTTTGTTTGAGTCATCAGATACAGCAACTCGTCATATCCTAGAAAACACTCTTTAATCTCTTTAGTATAACAAACACAATGAGAAATAAGGCAGTCATTTTTAACACTGAGCTGTGGTTAATCAAAATGCTTTCTGAAGTGTTAAAGACATTACTTTTTTCTTGTCTGTGTAGAGAGAATGACTGTACAGTTTATTAATCGTCAAAGTAAAAAAATTCAGAGCTATTTATTACCCTCATTTACACTGTTAATATAAAATGGTGCTATAAGCTCATACAAGTCAATTGTACATATGTCTCTAAAAACAGACAAATTATATGAGGTTTAACATTTTGCTAGTCTAAATGTATAGAATATATTTTCATTTTCATTCTATGTATACAAAATCTAGAACCATTATCACTAATTGTCATGCACATTTACAAGAAGGGTAAAGGGTCTTGCCCAAAGACACATAGACAACCATCATCATAGTTTCTGCAACCCTACTATGTAGGTGGACAATAAATCAGTACCTGTATAATGTCTAATAACACATAACTTCCCATTATGGGAGTTACAAATAAATAACTAAATAAAAGAAGTTGATGTCCTCTTATTATTTTAGTGATGTTAACATGACTTTTAGATATGTACAGAGTGAGGGAACATAGTGTCTTACCCATTGACTGTATTGGTTGATACCAGAGCATCTTGATTATCCGGGAGCTGTAACCTGAAACACAGAGACAAAATATGGGTCTGTTAAAAGAAAAGGCCCATCTCAGGAGGCACCAAACAGCTGAAAGCACAGCTATTGTTAGAGGAACATGATCGTGAGAGCCATACAAACTTACACAATATATAGTGGAGACTCCCATTGATAATGCTGACATTATTTTTGCAGATAACAATCACTTTTTTTGTATGAGAAATTAAATACAAAAACATATACCTGAAGTCTGTGATGATAGGATCCATATCTGGACTGTTTATAACTGCCAACCTGAACCAGAAAGTAAAAGAGAACAGAAGTCACATGACACAGCAACTTGTGCACGCGTCATTACAAGTATAAATGTGAAAATTATTTTGTTTTCTCTGTAGACTATTTAAAAAAAGAGTAAAAAGTGTACAAGGCACAATGCTATCATACCGGCTCGGGGAGTTACGGCCTTCAGTGATGTCTTGAGCTTCTTTGGCATCCCTAATAAGAGGTCAGAGGTCATTGTGACAAGTTAATGTAAAGACACATCTCATGAAGGTGAGAAGAAGACAGTGGAAAATGGGCAGCGGACATTAACATTTATATAATTCAGTAGTTAAAAATAGGAAGAAAAATAGGAGAGGAAGAAAAAGAAGATAAAATAATGTGGAAATAGAATTCAAAATAGAATGATAAAAATTGAAGACCCATGATGTACTAATAATGTGCTGATTATGAGGCTACATTAGACCTGTTATTGCAAGTAATTACACTAGTAATTATACTAGTAATTACACTAGTATATAAGTATAGCGCAACACTGGTTGACAGTCCAGCGCTGATTTTAATGGCTGTCAAGTACTTACTTGTTCGCGTCTCTTTTCTTTACGCTACGTCTCCAGTTGATAAAACTCATTCCACCGCGTTGTTCTCGGGTAAAAAGGCGCAAAAACCCGGTTAGAGACTGTCACTTTACACCACGGGCATAGAAAAAGACAGTCAGTCAAACTAGCAGCACAAACTAAGATTACATTGAGACGAATAAGCAGAAAGAGCCGGTCCTTCCTCCTTCCTGACGCGCGAAGGTGTGTTGCGCTCATCTCCATAACAATGACTTTCCAATTTAAATGTACAGGAATGTAGACGCTGTGTGCGACTTCTACAAGGCCCTAAAGCCCGACAATTCAGATTACAAGAGCCAACTGATACGTACACCTCCAAGGCTACGTCCACACGACAACGCTCCTGGATTTTTTTCTTTGCTGGTTGAAAAAAAAAATCGCGTCCACATAAGTGCCGGATCAGTAAATATTCAGTCCACACGACAAAGGAGCACTGAGTGAAAACGATGTAATACATCTGCCACACCTGTATATGGCACTGTTAACAATGATAATAATTTTAATGATGCATATCTCATCACCATTAAACTTTAAGGTAATTTAGCCTATTTTAGATGTATCCCAGAAATATTGCCGTTTCGTTTTGCAAAAGTTAAACGTAAGTCACAGAAAAACCCATATATTCCATTGATTCATGTCCTTTAGTCCGACAGAAGCTGAAGCACATCAGCTGAACCAAATCAGTGCACAATAGCGAGCTGTTTTATAAACACGTAGTTTATGCTAATTAGCCATACGGTTTTAAGTTTCGTTTCTGTAAAACGTAAACAAATATGTACAAAGCTGTGTGGATAGGGAAGGCTTGCTGATACTGAAACAACGTGTCTGGATGGACGCAGATCGTTTCTGATACGGCAATATGCGGATTTGTAGCGCTAACAGCAGGAGCGGCTCCGTAGGTTACACCTGTCCCATTTTGGCAACGCTTTTGTGGTCTGTGGAGGCTAGTTCAAGGGGCTACAGACTTCGCTGCATCAGAGGACCCTGGCGATGACGGGATCGTGACGTCATCGTTTTTCAAAAGCTGCGGTTTGCTCTTCCACACGAAAACGCGACGCCGGCGTTCTTAGTTTTCTCCACTCTGGTTCTCGATCACGATCACGGGTTCACGATCCCGTCATCGCCAGGGTCCAGCGAAGGCTGCAGCCCTCGAACCAGCCTCCACAGACCGCAAGAGCGTTGCCAAAATGGGACAGGTGTAGCCTATGGAGCTGCTCCTATCACCCAGCAACCGAGACACGCACTAATGCGAATACGGATCAGTAGCAAAGACTACGTTTATACTGAAAGGAATCCGCGTATCACCGTATCAGAAACAATCTGCGTCCATCCAGACAGTTGTTTCTGTATCCGCAAGCCTGCCCTGTCCACCCAGCTTTGTACATATTTGTTTACGTTTTACAGAAACGAAACTTAAAACCGCATGGCTAATTAGCATCAACTATGCGCTCAAAAACAGCTTGCTGTTGTGCGCTGATGCGGTTCAGCTTCTGTCGGACTAAAGGACACTACTCAGTGGAATATATGGCAGTGGAATATATGGGTTCTTTCTGTGACTTGTTTAACTTTTGCAAAACAAAACGGCTATATTTCTGGGATACATCTAAAATAGGCTAAATTACCTTAAAGTTTAATGGTGATGAGATATGCATTATTAAATATTACTATCATCAACAGCGCCACATACAGGTGTGGCAGATGTGCTCCGTTGTTGTGTGGACCTGAATATTTACTGATCTGGCATGTGTGTGGAGGCAAATCTTTTTCAACCCGCAAAAAAAAAAATCCAGGAGCGTTGTCGTGTGGACGTAGCCTTAGAGTGTTTTTGTATTTCATGCCTCAGGATACAAAGCTAACACAAGTTAGTTAACACAAAATAAGATAATAAAAACAGAGTTGAGACCTGTTGCAAACTATTGGTTTAATATTTATTTACTGTCATTTAGCATTACATAATCTGACGAAATTTGATCATTTCTCTTACATGTTAGAAAATACAAAATAAAACAATTTTAAAAAGCCTTTATGGATAAGCCTAAATTTAAGTGGTTCTGATTTCTATTAAGACAATCTACAAAAGAAATAAAAGCAGAAAGGCCATAAAATGCAGTATGAAAAGAGTCATGGACAGGCATGCATCATTTCATCAGAAAAATGGGGCCAAGGCATTCCCTTCAAAAACTTTCACAGTGCAGCACTAGACATACATTGGTAACCTTAAAGTTGTGCAAATGAATTCCAAGGTTGAACATTTGGCTTAATGCTGACTATTGTAGAGTAAAATATAATTTATAAGAAAAATTATACCTTAACCAGAATACGTGACTGAAATCTGTGAACTACCCCACAAGAATGTCATAACTGCGGTATCATATCTGTATGTTAAAAGGGACTGCAGTATTCCACAATAGATAAACAAATTAAAAAATGATCTGCATTTACCAACACGTGGCAGCACAAAATATAAAAAAATGCAAAATATAAATGACATACTTTGAAGCCTTGTCCATATTTGAAATATTACATGCAATTTACATAGAAAAGGCCCTCTAGTTAAAGGTGTAAAAATGAACATACACATTCTTTAGTTGCATGTAGGACTTAAATCTGTACAGGTTGTTTTTTAATGACCGAATGAAAAAAGTTATGTAACATTTCTAACTCTTATTTTGTCTAGAGGTCAAATGTACATAGTAGACTAGAAATAAGGTAGAAAAAATATTTTAATAAAGTGTAGCATTAAGATTAGTGTAAAACTAGAGAGGCTTGTGATAAAGGCCATTTAAATGTTTAAATAAATACATTCGGACAAAGTAATGAGGAAACAATGCAACCTCTCCAAATCCATATTCACTGCATGGCTTTTCAACTACCCATCCTTTAAAACCAAATACACCACTGTGGTCTGCTGCTCTGGATGAAAAGCGTTGAAAAACAATACTGCGTTGAAACTGGACAGACAACAGTCATGGAAGATAGATGATGCATTTGTTCCCATACAGTCTCTTCATGGGGTCCGCTGTTGAATTAGTCCATTATATAATCCCCACTTTGCTTTGGTGCTTTCTGCTCAGGGCCGGGCTGTGCTGTGCTGTGCCCTCCTGGGACAGTGAAGAGGAGTGGGGTTCTGGAGAGGGACGATGGGATACTCACGACAGTTCAGACTTGCTGAGTGCGATGGCTAGTTCCAGGTCTTCTTGTTCCTGTTGTGTTAGCCTTGCGAGACGCTCCTTTTCCTCCCTTTCGCTCTCGCGCTTTGCCCACTCGATCATGTCTTCTTCTGTTGGATACTGCCCAGTGATTTTATAGATCCAGAGAGATCAAGGCACAGGCATATGAAAGGCAAGGGAGAAAAGAGACAACACAAATAGAAGACATATATAGTTACAAGATTCGAGATTAAATCAATTCCAGATAAATTTAAAAATGAATATGATTAATAAGAATGTAACACAGGCTTTGTTATTTTAAGAAATTTATGATTTTTTTTGTTGTTGTTTTGATTAAGTGTATGCCACCAGCAGGATGTAAGCAGTTGGAGACCAATGACATGCCCCAAAATCTGAAAAGAGTAAATTATATTGTAGACATAAAATTCACAATGGAAATTAGAGCATAGCTAGCCGTATCTACAACAGCATGCATAATGACCACACAATCTGCGACGGGAAAGGACATGCACTCCTAACTACAGGGAAACATCTAAATGCTTATAGAAGTAAGTGAAATAGGAAAGCTAATAACAGCACTGCGAAAACATGCCATGACTAAAAGAACGAACACATAAAACTGTAAATCTGCTCTTTCAAAAGCAAAAATATAGAAGCCGGAGAAAGAGCCCTTGATTTAACTCTTTATTGAGACTTGACAGAGAGGTGGAGACAAGAGAGGGTACAGGTTTCTCAGTAACACACATGACAAGACAAGGGCTAAGACTGGTGATGATGGTGATGATGGAAAAGGCAGACAGATGGACAGCGATACAGGAGTTCATATGGAGAAAAATGAATCAGCATGACAGAATGTAGACAGAGTATAGTACTGCATGTGGTAATGAGCAGCAGCTTCAACAAAACAAGGACATGCACATGCAAGTCAAATAATATTGAATATGTCCCTATTAAAGCTGCTTAAAAATATTTTATCCCAGCTGCAAATACAGTACATATTTGTTACAATTGTGTGGTTGAATAATACCAAAATATAAGCTGTTTTCATTTACATTTACTGCCAAGGGTATACTGCATCTCAAACTTGATAATTCATAATTTGTGTAATTTCTTAAAAAGATACAGGGTTGATTAAATATCATTCTGGAAAATTGTACTTTGTTCCAAGTAATAGATACACAAACAGTACATGGAAAAATATAAAGTTACAAAAGGCTAGTTTAGTTCATTGTGAGAAGTGAGTAGTTTCGGCTTTCAACGGATGGCAGTAAATTGAGAGCTATATATGAAAACTGTGAGTTTGGTGTTTGGTAAAGAAATGTAGAGGAGAGGGCGTGATTACTCTGAGTCAAGTGATGCTGAGGAAGTAGGGGAGTGGGAGGTGCTCACTTTATCAAAGCTGGCAAAACGGTCAGCGTCTCGAACGTTGTGACGAGGAGGGGAAGAGGGGGCGAAGGGGTCAGCTAACGGATCCTTGGCAGGCAGGGAAGAGGAGGAGGAGGAAGAGGAGAAGTCGCTCGAAGACTGTGGGAGGAAATGCCCTCGTCGATGGAAAGAGTCTGAAGACTCTGTTCTGGAGATGGAAGATCTCTTACCTGAGCACAAGCACCAGGATGTGAAATTCAAGTACATTACACAGACCTGCTGTGAATGTATGAAATAAAGATCTCATCTATACTGACCTGGGGGCGGGGGAGGAGGTCGCGTTGGTGTGCCAGTTTTAGGAGGAAGAGCTGGGGGCACATCGGTGCTGTCCTCTTGGAATATATTCTTGTTGTTAATGCCAAAATCTTCACCGTTAGACTAAAGAAAATATAACAGTACTATAATACCGAAATTACAGACAGACAAATGAGCAACTGAATTTCAAATTATACCTTGGCCAAGGCACTAAAGTCTGCAAAACCACCTCCAAAAGACTCATTACCAAATACAGCTGCAAAAGGATCTGTAAACAGACAAATTACAAGAAATGACCAAGTGTAATATGCATTATGGTCAACAGGTGGTACCAAATCATACCTGGGTCAGAACAAGTGCTTACTGAAGTACCACCTGGAGCAAAGGGGTCATTGGCTGTCGCAGTATCCTTCTGAAATATGTAAGAATATAAATCAACAACACAACTAGTGCACCAGATTAAGGCCTCCAGTTAAATCTGAAGTAACGTTACCTCATTATTACATGTCATCACCATCTCATACATATCCACTTACCACAGTCAAATCAGAAGTACGTGGGGAAGAGCTGAAGGGGTCAGACTTGCCGTCGTGAGACCCAAAAGGATCTGCGTCTTTAAGGGCGTTCACTTTCCCTCCAAACAGGTCGGGGTCAGGGTCACTGTTCTCTGTGGAGCTAAATGGATCTGGGGTTGTCATGGTTGGATTTGTCGGTTTTGAGCTGAAGGGGTCTGAACTAGCAGGAGGGGGGACTGGTACATCACTTTTCTTTGCAGCAAACAGGTCTGGTTCTGGTGCATTGGTATCAGACGTAAATGGGTCAGCTGATCCAGAGAAAGGGTCTCCCGAGGCAAATGGGACACTTGAGGACTGAGTAAAGAATGAGTCTGCAGCAAAAGGATCCGTGCCTTTAAACGGGTCTCCTCCAAACGGATCTACATTTAAACAAGAAGGAGATGATGAGAAGATGATGAACAGTTAAAAACATTTTTGTTTCAAAAAGCATATATATAATTGGTGATCTGTGTTTTTATTATTTTATGTGATTTTAAACTGACTGGAGCACTTAGAGATTTGTTTTTTCAAATGTAAAGTGCAACATCTATCCATCCATCCATTTTCTTCCATTCATCCGGGGCTGGGTCATGAGGGCAGCAGCCTAATCCTATCTGATGTCAGTTAATCATTTCAAAATATATTATGATCTACTTTATTTTGCCTCCAGTTGCCTCAGTTCTAGAATTTAGAAAATTCTGATGCCTTGGGATTTTAAAGGGCCTTTCCTACAAATACCAAATTACCTGCAACATCTGCTTTTCCAAATGGATCATCTTTGAAAGGATCATCTACAGAAAAATGAAACAAATTTGAATGTTGGATAATGTAAAAAGAACTACACACAAAAAAAATGACACCAACGGTCAGTAAAGGGGTCTGATCCAAAGAAGTCCATCTCAGGCAGAGGAGGTGGGTTAGTTTGTGGTGGTGCAGTACCCTGGGGCAGTGGAGGGGGCGTGGTCTGGGGTGGAGCTGTACTCTCGGGCAGAGGAGGGGATGTGGCCTGTGGTGGGGGGGCAGTGCTGGTGGGCAGTGGTGAAGAGGCTGTTGGTACAGTCTCTGGAGCATCTGAATCTTCTTTGCTCTCTGGCTCAGAGGGTTCATCCTAGGGAAAAAATGTAATCTTTAAAATGAGATTCAATACAAGCAAATGTTATGTAAAAAGTATTGTATAATATAACATGTACATTTGTTGTTACTGTTGGTGAACTGGCTTTGGGCAAATCATCATCTTCAACTACTTCAAGTGAGACCTCAGGCGTAGAACTACTTTGTTCCTGAACATTTAAACGTGTGTTTAATCCATAGTTTAAAAAACAGCTTTTATATACATGTATAGTGTTACCTTTTCTGTATCCCAGGGTTTTGCAAGGCTTGCGAGACTTGAAAAATTATTGTATATATCTGATGAGGCTAGACTGGTGTAGAGATCATCTAATGGATCTGGTTTACTCTTTTCTTCTTCTGGACTAGATTCCTCTTTACTTTCTTCTTCCACTGCTTCACTGACTTCAGTTGGATCTGCCATAATATTAGAGTTAACCACTGGTGACTCCACCTTCAGGTCCTTGGGCTGGTCATCCTCCAGTAGGTCCTTGTGAAAAGGATCTGCCTGATGCATGTCTGCTGTGGGGCCAGCTCCATTCACCAACACTGGCACTGGAGAGCTATCTTCAAGAGCTCTCTTCCAACTGAGCTGAGCAGTGACTGAGCGCTCCTCCATCTGAAGGTCATTCAGTTTCTGCTGAACCTAACAAATGATACCAATTGAGATGGCTAAACTTATGCACAGATTTTAATCTTCAGACACAAACGGACCTGTCCCACTTGTGTGAAAGAGTCCCTCACAGACTCCTGCAAAGGCGTCAGCTGCTCTTTAGCTGCCTGGACCTTCTCCTGTAGCTTTCGACTTTCTTCCTGCAGAGCAAGAAGTTCCTCTCTAGCCTGAACCAGCTCCTCTTCAAACTGGCAGATCCTCAGCTCCTGCTCCTCATGCTCAGACTGCAGTGAAGAGATCTAGAAAAATGAAATTTCAATGCGGCCAATAGATACTTGGTAAGGGCTTAAGTAAGAGAGAATAGAGACAAATACCAATTGGTGCTCCTGGCTTGTTTGCTGGCGAATATGAGACAACTGCTCCTCCAGGGACAACTTCTGCTGGTCTAGCTCCTCCAGTGCCTCTTGGACCTTCTGCCGCTGTGTTTGGAGTCGTGTCAATTCTTCTGTCTCCTTGGCAATCTCATCTTGTAAGTCCTACACACCCAAAGCAAAATTTGTAATGGCCGATGACTTAACCATCTGCTTATTAGATTTTTCCTCCAATGTTTTTTAATACAAATCACAACTGCACTCTGTATTTAGATAGAAGCAGCAATTAACACAAGTTTCACATTATAATGAAATATAAATTTATTTTTAATAAAGATACATTTAAAAAAATAAAATCTTACCTGAACCTCACTTGTTCGCTGTCTGATAGCTTCCTCTTTTTCCTTGATTTCCTCCTCCACTGTGCTCTTCTCTCTGAATGTCCAACAAAAAAGACAGGTGTATTTAGCCAATTCAGGCAGCAAAGGCAAAGCTAGTAATCCTAACCTAACATCCCTGAACAAGTCACAGCTCCCTCTCCTTTTTGAAATTAAAATAATGCACATTTATAGAAAACACTATATGTTCCAGTTTCACTCCCCTTACTTGGACTTGGATCTTAGCAGCAATGGGAAAAACAGTCACTGAAGCAACATGAAACAGAAATGTTCTGAATGAGTCTGGTGATACTTCAAGAACTTAAAAACTATGCAGGATTTCAAACTATAATTTTTGTGTGTGTGTATATGTGTGTGTGTGTGTGTGTGTGTGTGACATCCATAAGAATCTTAAGGATATTAGAAATTTGAAAGTTAGTAAGTCCATACCTTTGTAATTCAACAATCTCATTACTGAGAGAATCCAACTCTTTGATAGCGGAGAAGTCAGCTGCCAAATTATTCTGAAATAAAAGGATATAAAAAAATGTGGTGACATTTGAAAATGGTGAATAAACATTTAAGCATGAAGAGCATAATAAGGGACTTCTTGAGTCTATCTACAACGGCTATAGTCGATTAAATAAATTGCTGGTCAAATACTGACATGCACTGAGCACTGATTGACTAAAAGCGGATGTGGCTTAGTGCTTGCAAAAGCTTACTGTGGATTCTCCTTTCTGCTGATCTATGTAAATAAATCCTTATAACCCTAATGAAATAAATTTGTAAACAAATTAAAGGACTAAACCAGTAGTACCTGTTTTATATTCTGCCTGTCTGAGGGAGGGATCATCTCTGGAGACAGACTCTGGGGAGGCTCCAAACCTTTTGTCAGTTTCTGGTTGATCAGATGAAGCGCCAATGCAAACTGTTCTCGCGTCAGTTTTCCTACATCGCCAATGTCGCACAGTTCCCTGTGAACACAGACAGACATCAGCTTTACATAAGAGCAATGATTTTCACCTCAGGCAGTCCCTGTTGTTGACTGCACTGGGCATAAGCTCAGTCATTATTGAAGAGCAAGCATCAGCTTAACACCCATGCAATGGCCAATAGTCAATACTGTTTGATTGCTTTGGAGGCTGCGTTGGAGGGGTATTCAAATCTCTGTCAACAACAACAATGCATGAATTTATTAATACATTTTATGAAGTGTTTACCTAATATGACCTTGCAGGTAAAACAATAAGAGCATCTGATATTATAAGATATGTATAATGACAAAACATACCAAATTCGAGCCAGTGTGGCAGATGGCAGCCCTGTCTTCAAAAATATATCTCTAACTTCCGGTCCAGACACTAGTCCATCCATATCAGAATCTGTTTTTGTGAACAGTTCATCGTACTTTGCTTTGTCTGCTGGAGACACCACCCACTGAAAGAGGAAAAGTTTAGATTAGTTACTGAATCAAACATGGAAGCCCACCAATTCACCTACCTTCCCAATTCCTCGTCCCTTCTTTTTTTTAAACACACAAGGAACTCGTAAATTTGCAATCATTATAAAGTTGTGCAGCTCTATTTAAAGTAATCCCAAATGGTGCAGAGCTGTACTCACAGGAGCGGCTGCTGGAGTTTGGACAGGAGATGGGGCAGGAGCTGACACTGGGACAGGTTTAGGGGGGTGGGGCAGAGTCTTGGAATGGGAGGAGCTTCTGTCTTTAGCCGAGGGCGGTGATGGCAGCAGAGGCATCACAGGGGGCACAGAGGGCTTTTTTCTCTTTGAGGGTGGTACTAGGGGAGGTGGGAGGGACATAGGAACTGGCTCGCCTTCTAACGCTCTGTACACTAGATACATTGCCTGGAGGAGGGCACAAGACAACAAAATAACAAAAAACAAACAAAAAAAAGTTACCAGCAAAGTATCCTGTGGTCAACTTCGAAAGAGCTTTGCAAATATCTGACACATAAAAGGAAGTGTGAAGAATACATTGTAGGTCCAAAATTTAAATTAAAACAAACAGTGCATGGTGATTAATGAAATACCAAAACAAGTCATTCTTACCACAGAAAATTCATCCCTGTCCAACATGCCGTCTCTGTCGATGTCACTAAGCTCCCAAACCTATCAAACAGTAGATATAACACAGTCAAGCAGGGTTGGGCGGTATCCAAATTTTGATACCGTGATACCATCTCAGGATTTTACCAGGGTATACGGTATTAGCGTATTACCAAAACATCAGCGTTTACGTGTGTAACCTCGCAAAACCACAGCCGCGCATCAAAGCGAGAGCGGCTCCACCGGGAGCTGCAGCAGGACGTACATGCGCAGCACTGCCTCTGTGTTTGTCAATGGGAAAGACGATCAAACTTGACTGAGCATGTTTAGCCGCTCGTATCAGGTCCACAGTGAAACTAACAGCTGAACAGACTTATATTTACCTTCTGCACAGGCTGACCATGGCAAACGCCAAGATTTCAAAAGTACATTTTAAAGCACTAATTAACAGTATTTCTGGACCTGGACTCACAGTCAGCCGCAACATCCTCTGTCAGAAAAAAAAAAAACATATATTCCCCTGAAAAAACATATATTCCACTGAGTCGTGTCCTTTGGTCCGACAAAAGTTGAACTGCATCAGCAGCACAAGAAGGGAGCTGTTTTTATCAGCGCTAACAGATCATGCAAATTAGCCATGTGGTTATAAGTTTCATTTCTGTAAAACGTAAAGAAATGTGCACCTGAAGCTAAAATGTTGCCAAACTGCAGAAGTTCTAGTATTTTTGGGAGGGACCAACTCTCTTGCAGCCAGACTTGCCATCTTGTCTTGGTCTCCCTTTTGAGCGTCACGTGACAGCGGAACAAAACTAATTGAACGTCATCTCCCCAAGAACCATTATAGACACTAATAGATTTAAATCGTGATCACATTAAATTGAAAATACAACCACATATTAATTTGTGCTGAGTAAACAAATTTAGATATCAGTAAATTATAAGATTATATTAGGTCCTTGTGGGCTGCAGATTTTTTTTATGACATAATGAAACTGATACTGTTGCTATTTTTGATACCGCAATATACTGTAATACCGTATTACCACCCAACCCTACAGTCAAGCATTCAAAGTTTCATAGAGTAGAATTTTTGTTCTTCTGATTTTGCTGTAAATCCTTAATTCTATGTTGAACGGAGACTCACCCTTCCCAGGATGTCTACAGGCAGTTTGGAGTTAAGCAGCACAGGCTTCACTTTATCTCCAGTTAGCATCCCTGATACAGGGCCGAGGCTGTCGAAGATGGCGTCAAACTTCATCTTCTCCTCAGGCTACCAAAAATAAATACATTGTAATAGGATTGAAGAAAGTTGGAAATGTCCACTAGACATTATAGAATAACAACAAGAATATATATACTGCTAAAAAAAAAAAATTAAAGGAACACTTTGAAAACACATCAGATCTTAATGTGAGAAAAAAAATATGTTAGCTATCTATACCCATATGGACAGGGCAATATCTTACCAACAAAACGATGCCACCTCCTTTAATTGAAATAAAATTAAAAAGTCTACATCTACAGAGGGCTTTATTTTATAGACACCCTGAAAATAAAACTGATATAATGATGTGGCAGGCTAGTCCATTTTGCCAAAATTTAATTCCTGCAACTCAAAATGCTTCTCAGTATCTTCTGTGGCCCCCACCTGCTTGTATGCATGTTTGACAATGTTATAGCACACTCCTGATGAGATGACGGATGGTGTCTTATGGGATGTCCTCCCAGATCTGTGTAAGGGCGTCACTGAGCTCGTGTAGGGTCTGAGGAGCAACCTCGCGGTGTCATAATGTCCCAGAGGCAAACATAATATCCCAGAGGTGTTCTCTCGGATTAGGTGATCGTGAGGGCCATTGAACTGTATCAATTCCTTCATCCTCAAGCTACTGCCTGCATGCTCTTGTCACATGAGGCCAGGCATTGTTGTGCATCAGTAGGAACTCAGGACCTACTGCACCAGCACAGGGTTTGACAATGGGTTGAAGGACTGCCGTTTTCTAGCCGGTAGAGGTCTGTGTGTCCCTCCATGGATATGCCTCCCCAGACCATTAGTGACCCACCACCAAACCGCTCATGCTGAACCATGTTAGAGGCAGCATAGTGTCCTCCTTGTCTTCTTCTTCTAGACTCTTTCATGTCTATCACAGGTGCCCAGGGTGAAAATGCTCTCATCTGTGAAAAGGACAGGCCACCAGTGGCAGACTTGCCAATTATGGTGTTGTCTAGCAAATGCCAACCAACCTCCGTGGTGCTGGGTGGTGAGTACAGGGCCCACTACAGGGCGTCAGTCTCAAGCCACCCTCTGATTGATTGACAGAGACATTCACACCAGTGGTCTGCTGGAGGTTATTCTCTAAAGCAGTGCTCGAGCTGTTCCTCCTTGCACAAAGGAGCAGATATGGGTAATGCTGGTTGTTTGAGGACCTTCTACTGCCCTTTCCAGCTCTCCGAAAGTATCTCCTCCATGTTCTGGAGATTATGAGATTCTGGAGATTAAATCTCTTTGCAATGTCACATCTGGATGTGCCATCCTTGAGAAGTAGCACAATCTGTGCAACTTCTGTGAAGTTAGGGAATCGCCTCGTACTCCCAGTAGTGATAATCATTCTAGCCAAAAACCAGCCAACAAAGACCAAGAGGGAGAAACTTAAAATGGCCTCCATATCCAAAACCAGTTTTATGTGTTGTCTCATTGTTGCCACTCTAGTGCACCTGTTGTTCATTTCCATTAAAAGAGGAGTGTGTCTAATATATTTGTGTATATATTTTATATATTTATATTTATTTAACAAAAAAACGTATTGAATTTTTGAAGTGGCTCACCTTCACTACCCAGGGATAATCACCAGGCACTCCTCCAGCTAACAGTGGGCTACTTGTGTCGTGCTAAACATAAAAATATATTTATACTTTGCCTCAAAATTTGTCAACACTTAGCCATTAGCATCTCAGTTTCATTATTCAAATGTACTCACAAATTTAGGGGGAGGAACAGCCACATTAAGGCTCTTGAGTGCCACCTCCAGGCCATTCTGGGCACAGGCTACTAAGCGTAAAGCTACAAAGAATTGCTAGAACAGAAAGAACACACAGAATTACAAGAAACCGCAAAGTGTCTGTGTCTTTGAGCATGTAATCTAAAGATACCTGTTTATTAAGGGCCCCCTTGCGTTCAGAGTCTGCCAAATCCCAAATCTAATGAGACAAACACAGATTAAGACACTAAATGAGATATAATAAATAGTAATGAGTTTATATGCTCACCTTCCCTAAAACTAGGTCTGCTAAGCCTGACCTCTTCAGGAAAACAGCAGCATCAGGTGCTACCACTCGGCCACTGTTTGTTGGATCCACCTGCACACAAGCACCATGTAAATGTGTTAAATCTATTCCATAGCACCTTATATGAACAATGTCTTCTATCATGTGAAAAGTAAAAAAAATTCACAAATCTCCACTGATGTGTTCCCAAATACACCCACTAAATATAAAAAGTCCAGATGATTATTTCCTAATAAACAAAATGTAAACTCAAATTGGCCGTATTAAGTGTTTTAGGACTCCAGGAAACCATGTTAAGGGCCATCACCTGAGAAAACATGCAAGTAGATCTCTTCGAGAGTGCACCGACTACCACACAAAGCCATTTTAGTGCTGTGGGCGACTTGGACTGACCAGTAGTTATGAAGGTTTTTTTTCCTGGATAGGTTTGATGAGCTCAGGAAAAACAATCCATTTTAACTGTAAAGGCTAGTATTATTAATTCATGGAGGTACTACTTGCTTTACAGGACATGAACTGCAGGAGAGAAAACAGATCTCAACAACTCTACAGGCAGTAACAGGCTCTAAATTATCAATTTTACACTCAGTAATGTTTACCACATACGAGTACAAACAGGGGATTTACAATGATATAAACAGTTAGTTTTGTTGGCATTGTGTTCACTGTCATGAAGAGAAAATTGTCATAGGCTATGCACTGGATACAGAGTTAGTAAGACATACATACCTGTCTGTAATATTTGTCATAGATGGGATTGCCACTGGAGAGCTGTAGGAAACAAGAAATTCTTATATATTGGAAAATAAACACTTGGTCAATAATATTTTTATAATTTTTTCAAGTGTAAAGAAAAAACTTATTTAACTTTAATAACCATAAAGGTTTGGTTCACAGCTGCATTTCATTACCCGGACGCTACCCAGTCACTATCCTGTTTCCTCTTTAAAGAACATCTCAGTTGACTAAACAGGAAATAAATCAGCATTTCCTGTAGTATGTTCTTGAGCTATAGATTTAACAGCACAGATACACTGAATAAGAATAGGAGTGGACACTATTATTTGCACAGTGAATTATAGAGGGCAGCTATTGAGCAATGTGTAATGCCGTATTGTTATGTCAACCTGAAAATAATTACACAGAGAAAAACAAAACTTTCTGCTAGTTTGGATACAGCAGTCCTTGGTGTAGTAATAGTCACAACTTTAATTTCATTTTTAAACAAACTAAAAGGAGAGATAGTATTGGTCTAACGGCCAACTCTGTCAACTGTCAATTTATAGGAAGATAACTGCACAAACACTTATCTCACAGAGTGGACTATTGTGACTATGGCAGTTGGTGGTTCACCCCAGCACAGTGCTCATTGTACTGTGAAACTATAACGCCTGACAGGGCAGTGTCCCGAGCAACATGGATTCATATAGTATAAGGTTATGATGTCAATGTGTGCTACTGCTGCTGCTGGACAGCTCACTTCTGTTGTTATAGGCAACAGTGGCTCAGGTAACAGGTCTCTGACTAAAGTTGCTTAATACCACTAAATCACTCATTTATTTTGCAAACACACACATGCAGCTGCTATGGTGAAGGAAGTTACAAGTACACAGTTTCTGTCCGTCTTCCACTTCCTCTTCTAACTGTCCAATAAAGTTGCAAATCATTAGATAGATTTGCTATGCTCCGTGCAAAAAACAAAAACAGACAGCATCTTTAAAGGTCAGAGGCACTGTCACTTGTTTGTGTCGAGCAATAGCGCCAAATGTTAGTGACCAAACACTGGCAAACAACAAGCTGAAAAGCAACAGAGGCATTTCCACCGCAGTGTTGCACTAATAAACTCAAATTCACTGAATGAATACAGGTGAAATGTTGGCACAGATCACCAGCGTAGACATGACAGCAGAGCCATAACATAATCACACATGGGATCTCTTATTACCATTTCACTACACAGCAAACGAGGAGCACACGGCAAGGCACGGAACAGACACTAAACCAGACCGCCGGCGAGAGGAACTCCACGGCTTTAAACAGTGGTCACTTGTCAAAATATAGTGTATAATAGTGTGTCTGAAACAGGCTAATGTCCCACACAAACTAGCTGTTAGCTAGCATGCTAGCTAGCTACGCCCTTACGCAGTCCGAAGAGATTAGACAGAAACTTTTCCCAGTCACAGAAGGACTTGAGTGAAAAGGGGACAGAGAGCAGGGGTAGGCCCCGTGCGCTTAGGCCCTGTCCATCCAACATTAAAAATAACTTCACGCTACACAGACTAGCAGTACAGAGCTCGTGAAATGGTTAGATTTGAGTTATAAGCCAGTGTTACCTGAGTAAGAGACAGAGCGGCAGCCATAGTGTTTCTGTTTCCCACTGGCTCCAGGCTGCGCCGCTGCTGCTGCACACAGAGGCCGTTCCGAAACACGGCACTGGATCTGACCTGGACTCAGCCCAGCAGGAACGAACTACTGCTGTGTGATCCCAAACCACACCACGAAAACTACACCACAGGGGTCACATCGTGCAGACTTACAACATAAAATAGTGCTGTAAAGTAGTTCACAGTAACCCGTATCGTTTACTCTGAAGATTAGCTGGTCCGCAAAATACAACACCTCAAATGACATCTTTCCGGTTGTTTTTATTGAGTCTTTTAGTACACAGCAGTCTGAAATTACCCCTTCAATTACTATTAGTACAAAATGTGGATTTACAAAAAATCTATGTTATGCAACAGTGATAGAGTGAGGACAAGAAATCAAGTACATGGATGGAAGCTTTGCTGCTACTGGGGTGAACTTGCATTTTAGCTTGAGTACATTATTTTAAAACACACAATACAAAGTGGAGTAGTGGTAACTAGACAGTACAAACAAACTAGCAAATAAATTCACCCTCAGTAATGTATTACCACAGAATCACAAAGAAAACAGTATAAACAGCATGGTTTTACAACAGTGTTACCATGCCACAAAGTATAATTTAAAAACAAAAACATGAACGGATTTGAGACAAAATTAAAATACAAGGCAAATAGAAAAAAAGCAAACACATGAGGTATAAAACAAAAACAAAAAAACATGTGCATTTCACAGATGTGTATGTCACCATACATACAAAATAAATCTGATAGATATAACATTTTCAGCCAGCCAATTCATCCTTGAAGTCAATAATAATAATAATAATAATAATAATAATAATCCTTTTTCAACTTCCCTGGCATTGTAAACAACTAAAAAAATCAAATCCCACCCACATCAGGGGTCCATCACAATTGTCCCACCTGCACCTGCAGAATGGCTACGTGACACAGGCAATTAGGTTCTCTCTGCAGTAGTTCCTACAGTTTATAATTCATCTTTGAGTGGAGAATCTGTGCTGTCTTCCTCCTCTTCCTCATCTTCATCTTCATCCCTCTCCTCCTCTTCTTCTTCCTCTTCCTCCTCCTCTTCCTCCTTCTCCTCATCTTCCTCTGCTGCCTCCTTTGCCTCTTCACGCTTCTTCTTATCCTCCTCTTCACGCATCTTCCTCTCTTCCTCCTCCTGTTTTTCCTTCATTTTCTTCTCTGCATCCTAAGACCAAAAAAGGCAATTATGCATACTTTCAAATTATTGAAAATTAAAAATATGGAATTTAACTTCCCGTTTATGGGCAACATTTCACCTTTCAGAATACTTATTTTGTATTTAATTCTTAATTGCTATGGCAACACTGCTAAATTGTCATGACTATGAAACACATAGATATGTGTAATTTAAAAACAGTAAAGCTGTATATGCAAAGACTTGACTTACCCTTGTTTTATCCCATGTTTCAGTGCCCACTTCCTCTGCCAGTTTAGGATCATTAGTAATCAGAAAGTTGTCAAAGATGGTCCCCGACTTAACCTGCAAAACATTATTCAATCTTGTATAAAAAATATCACACTAAATGTATTCATTTTATTAACAATGAAAAAAATCAACAGCTAATAAATGTATAGTTTTTAATGCATTTTTGACAGCATTGTTTTATACCTGCCATAAGTCAAGTCCAATCACACCAATGCTGTCATACTTGTAGATCTCAGGGTCAGCTGTATACTCTGGGTTGTCAACCTCTGGGTGAATCCATTTGCCCTTGTATGCTGGGTTGTCAATCTCCCTGGGTTTCCACTCACCCTACAGACAGCCACCGAAGACCAAGGAATTAATTAAAGCAAACTGCTCAGTTAATCAATAAATCATTTGAAAATGGATGCCTTAATCAATACAAGTTAATCATTTACTTTATAATCAGGGTTGGTGACCATAGGTGGCTCCCATTCTCCATCCATTTCATCATCCCAGTCATCAGGTTTTTTGGCATCTGGGTCAGGGATATTCTCAGGTTTGTCCCAATCCTGACAAATGTAACAAAAACAGGTGATGTGAGGGGCGGCAGTAGCTCAGTTGGTAGAGCATTCGCCCACTGATCTGGTGGTTTGATTCCAGCTCTCGACATGAACATCACAGGTTGAGCGGTCAGATCCACTGACCCACAGGTTGGCTGGTGTGATTCCAGCTCCCACAGATGAATGCTGCTGTTGTGTCCTTGGGCAAGACACTTAACCCACTTTGCCCACAGTGTCTGCGTACACGTGTGTGTGAATGGGTGAGTGGTTCCTTGTTGTAAAGTGCTTTGAGTGCCTTAGAAAAATGTGACCATTTATATATTTAAAGAATGGACAGTATCCTGGCAGTTGCACAAATTGAAAGTTCCACATTTACTAACCTCAGGTTTCTTATCATCAGGGTCGGGAATCTTTTCCCTGTCATCCCAGTCCTCAGGTTTCTTGGCGTCAGGATCCTTGATCTTTTTGGGAGGCAGGAAGTCCCAGTCATCCTCAAGACTGCCAGACTCTGCCTTCTTATTGTCAATTTTGATCACATAGGTGTTGTCAGGGTTTACGATCAGTGTATAAAGGTGGGTATATTCATCATCCTAGGAGAAAGAAAATGGTACTCTTAAGGAAGAATATTCTTTCTAGTTCTTGTGCTACAATTGTAGTATATAACAATATTTTAAGACAGTATAATTAATCCATTAGAAATTAGGTTTGGAGGTATCAGCAACCATATGTTCATTGAAAACATACAGATTATAAAATATTTATCTTTGTATGCTTTGGCAAACAGAATGTTGATTACTTGGTTTTGGATTTAGCACATTACCTTACATCTGATATCTTTGTTTATGAGATGATTCTTCCCTTTGTAGTTGAATATGACATGCACTTTCTTTGTACCAGGACCACAAATATCAGGACCTAAGTAAAGGTAATGAAAGTTTATTTGATAAGCCACAAAACAGCATTTGTACAAACAATGTATATGACTATCATAATACAGTACTTTATTATTAATAGCAATTGCAATTACATCTTACCAAACATGATGTTGTAAGTAGAGTCTCCATGCATTTCCTCCTGGTTAAGGCCAGAGGGGAACAGTTTGATGTAGCCTCCACCACAGTCAATGCTCTGCTCGTGTTTTACAGTGAATTGAATGACAAGAGGCTGGCCCTTGTTACTGAAGTCATCGAAACGTGATGACAAGGCATAAAACCGAGCGTCCTGGCTTGTCTGTAAACCTATGGAATAAGGACAGAGAAGAAAATCATAATTTTATATTTTTTAATGTATATATAATATAATATAATATAATATACACACACACATATATATATATATATATATATATATATATATATATATATATATATACGTTTATTATTCTTAATTTCAAAGCTTTCATGAGTTATTAGCAGTTTATAACTGATTTTCTTGTGAAAATGGACATCGAAGAACACTAGAATGAGGCGTGTAACTTGAATTTTAAGATGATGCTCACCCTTATCCTTCTCTGCATCACCATAAAATTTCCCTGCAGTCAGTACAAACTTCCCATAGTCACTCTTGTGTTTGGATTCCACCCAGCGACTCTTCCAAGCATCTACACAGCAAGATTGAGTTAGATCCACAGTTTAATCACAGGACACATGCTGCTGCTGCTACTGCCGCTACTGCTGCTTTTCAAGGTTCTTGCAGTTCAGCACAGATGGTTTAGGTCGAGCTGCAGAAGCAAGCCCTTAAGAGGAGGCTAAAGACATCATGTATTTTGGTGGGGGTTTCTCTGGGTTTGATATAAATGACCGAAGGGGGAGAAAAAGAAAAAAAAAAAAAAAAAGAGTAGGGGGATGGGGTGCTAGACATGGCATGAGAGCTGAAGAGCTCTCATGTATATAAAAAGAGAGAACTGTTGAAATGTACTAGATAAATTATATATAACAGCAAAACATAATAATCATTTACACCTTCGGGATCCCATGTTTTAATCAAAGACCAACACGACAGATGTAAGCTGTGGCTTATTGATCAATGCACATTCATTGAAACAATGGTTGATACTAAAACACACATTGATGCACATTGATGTATAGCTATATTTTTGGTGCAAGGAACTTACCCCCATCCTCAAATTGCTCTCGGAAATAGACGGTGGATTCAGATAGAACAGATGCGGCCGACACGGCCAGCAAAATTAGCGACAGGGTCGTCATCGGAATAAATTGGAGTACCCTAACGACTGAAAAAAAAACAAAAAACTACTCCTCACAAAAGGGCAGGCAGGTTTAATAACAGTACTCATAAAGGAGTGGTGTTGACTGGAAGCGCCTTTCTTTTACAGTAGCGGAGATGCTGAGACACCGCCACTGCTCTCCTGTCGGCTCAGAACAGATGTCTGATTTTGATTGGCTCACGGCCCTACAGTGTAATACGGAAGCGCAGCACATGTTAGCCAATCAAATGCAAGATCTGGAGACAAGCACTTTCTAGGGCCAATCACAAAAGATCTTTCGTAGCGAAGCAGTAAGGAGATCTTCATGTATTTTGATGTGTTTTCAAAGCGCTTACGGTGAAAAAAAAAAGTTTTTTTCTTTATTTCCATTCACTCTTGACAAAATTAATTCTTTCTAACTGAGTATCTTGACACAGTCCATACACAAAATAAAATAAAAGCCAACTCTTACCTTTAAAATAAATAGAATCAGTACAAGAACATAAAACACGTTCACACACAATTTCTATGTACTAATAACAGTGTTTGTGAAAAAAATATGGTACAAATATGTCAATTATATTAACTCAAAACAAAGACATGTAACATGCTGTATGACACAAGAAAGGTTCCCTCGACAATAAAGTCTTCAAACAAAATACAATCAAAATACTTAACGGAGGTTAAAAGCATCTAAGCCATCTTGGGTCATGAAGTTTCTAGTATGACCTTAGAACATTTTAGATATGTCAAATATTTTACACAATATAAATAATTACAATGTAACAGGAATTTGTTTGTGTTTTATATTCTGTAATGAGCAATGAGAAACAAAAAATAAAATAAAATAAAATAACAATAATGTGGCAATACAAAAGCAATCAAAAATTCTCCTTCCAAAACCTTGCAGCACGCCGCTCTGTCTTTCTGTCTAGGCCTACTCCTCAAGGGATATTCTCTTTTTGCCTACACTCATTATTGCACAATGAGTGATTTTCTTCTTAACACACATACTGTGTGTATTCCACTCTTAGTAGGACCTGAATCGTAGACACCAGTGGTGTCATAGAGGTATTATATAATGCACAAACACAAGAGGACATACCTTCCTTTGACAGCAGGTAAGTCTCCTCTCTGCTTTTTAACACCATGCCTTTTTCTATGGTAGAAAAAAGTTAATTCGCTGCGGTATAGATTTGCAACCCTGTGCTGAAAAAAGTCTCTCTTCCTTTGGTACATATAACATGGCTTTAGCAACTTCATCCAGTGTGTCTTCATCAGCGTCAAGGCCTCGAGCTGCAAAGGCATCCCTTGCACAAAGCTTGATGTGGCGATACTCCAAAGGAAGGAACGGCACATAGAAATCAATCAAATGCCCAGACATTAGCTCGCTCTGAGCAAAACCACCTAAAAGGAAGACAGTTAGTAATTAGTAATAAAGAATGAAAAGGATTAGATCTGGTTGTCATGTACGTACCCTCAGACTCTATTGTTTCAGCTCGAAGCCGGTGCTCCAGGTCTTCCATCCCAATGTCTTCTCGATTTTGTCCAGAATGCCAAAAGTCCAGAGCAACATCATTTATTGCTGCACCACCGATATTACTGTGAAGACATCAATCTATCATTTCAGCAAGAGACTTTTACTTGTTTCGTATGAAGTTATGACAAGTGCTGGGTGACAAATCAAAAATGGCAACCCTCTTTGCAAGGAAGTTAAGACTGAATGTGTAGTAGTCTGAATAAAGTACAGAAATTGTCCACAATCAATTCTTGAATAGGTTATGCTGCGGTTAATTGGACGTTGCCCATTATATATAATAAAATATTACTTTTAAAAGACAAACCAACCTGAGAAAGAGGAATATCGCTCTGCGGTAACTCACGCCATCCACATTGTCATAATGATCCATAAAGGGTTTAATGGCATCAATCAACCCCGGATGAAGTTTCTCGGCTTCATCAAAGATAAACAAAGTTTGAGGACAGCGGAGCACCATGTCTCTTATCGCCTCTCGCAGTTGGCCCTAGAAAGAAAGTGCCAAGAAAATTTTACTCTGTTTTATTGGCATTGTTTTAATTTCTTTAAATTAATATTTGAAATACTCTTAAACACTGTAGCAAATTACAAATCGATGGGTATTTTATGTGATGCCAGCAGTCTATATCTTATCAGTTGGAGGTTATGCCACAGTAGTTAAAGTCTAGTCTCATTTGTGTAATAAAATAGTCAACACTGTTGAAATCTAAACAATCATTGAAAATTGCATTGCAAAACCACTATAACCTTTAACCTGAATTGCAAATGGGTAAAGTAGTTAAATAAGAAAAAAAGACATAGTTGGCAAGTCCAATAAACTAAGTCCAAGCCAAATATGTGATGTTGCAGTTCAGTAGGAGCATGATCCTGGCCAAGTCCTACCTTGTACGTGTCCACGAGTCTAGCATGGGGAAAGTGGAATGGGGCGATGAACAGTCGGACACACTCACTCTTCACCCCATCCCGGTAAAGGTTGTCTGCAATCATTCTAGCCACAAAGTTCTTGCCTGTACCAGACCAGCCATGGAATGAAAGAGTGAGTGGCTTATTGGAGTCTGGATTGTTGATAAATCCTTGGATGGCTTTAAGAACCACTGACTGGGCCAGATGTTGTCCATGAAGCTGAGTTTGAAGGTCTTTAGACAAACCTGTGTGAAGAAAAGAATTCTTAGAAAGCCAGTAGTAATTATGCTTACATGTGGACAGAGATGCGTTGTACTAATTTACTAATTTAAAAGTAATTAAAAGAACTTCTGAGTAATAGTCAAATGCCAAACTTTTACTTGTGTAATACATTTGACAGTGTAACAGTAGTTTGAGTGCTCTTCTCACTGTAATGAATTCTGTAAGTTGCAAAAGCATATATATATATATATATATATATATATATATATATATATATATATATATATATATATATATATATATATATACCTAATACAATATGCTGTGCATTGTTTTGTCTTTCCTGTTACATTAATTTCAAATTATATAGTATAGTATAATTTTTATGTATGAAGCGTGCACGTCAAATGTTAGAGGACCGTACCTGTTACATTGTTAGTTATCCTGCAGTCTCCAGATTCACAGCACTGCCCCAAGCTACAGTACCACTGATGAAGCAGGTTGACGTAGTCCTGGGGGAAACTTGCCCACAGGTCCCTTGATGGCACTGCGAAAAAATACATATACAAAGATAGCGAGATTGTAACGTTAGCCAGGTGGGCTACTCTAAAATATGGGGTAGTAATCCTAAAAAAGTGCAAGCGATACAATTTAGCAGTCTTACCTTGCTGTGTAGCATCATCTTGATTTGGCTGACACTCCCCCTCCCATATATTGCAATAAAAATAATTAAAATAATAAGTGGAAACATTAGAAATGCTATCAAAATTGAAGAAGTCCGCATTTGCAGTCCGAATACAGACCAAATGCAACAGAAGTACCAAATTCATGAGAGCAAGTGGTCTGACACGGTCCCGATGCTACTAAACAGCGTCCGGTGTCTCCTCATTTAGGCACTAGTCTGCCCCGGCCATCGCACACCCGCTTTCATGATCGGCATTTCATAATTCGAGGCGGAGAATGGATAATATATTACATTAAACACACAAACCACATATTCGAGTTTAAAGCCGTATTCATTTGTGTGCAGTTTCGCTCGTTCAAGGAGGAGGGGGAGGGGGGGAAAGGACACATCACTTCCGGTAGCGGAGCGCTTCGAAGACTTGTGTAAAATATTACCATTTTACAGTATATATATATAGATTAAAATAACTGGTGGCTCAACTAATCAGTTCATTGACACCTCCTTGTTTTTTATTAATGCAACGTGTAGTAGTTTCTCTACACCAAAGAAGCAAGTCAGTTATTGAAACCAAAGGGAGTTCACTTTAAGGACACAAAAGTTAAACTCACAGCGCTTTTAATGAAATAAATGCAATTGAAACAGTTACATTAACCACTTTATTGAATAGCAACTATATTGATCAAACATTTATTTTTTAAATAGTAATTTGACAGTTTCCACTTCAATAAAGACAGGTTTCTGGACAGGAATCCACCATCTGTAGAATTAAGAAAACATTTTAAAAACAGAACCAACCAAATTGTCCCCTTGAGTAGAGTACATGACCTCAGACAAGTTGGAAGTGCATAATCAAAGCAATTCATCTGGCAGAATCGTAACATCACTGGTCAAACATGTATGACGGCCTTTCAAGCCAGAATACGTACCAGAATTAACCTGAGTAGGTACCAACTGAAAAAGACAAACCCTGTGAGTATGGAACAGATAGATTTCAAACAAATTTCTATAATATTAATGGGTTGCTCAGTGAGTAAACTTGTCCACAGTAGCTTTCAGGTCAGACATTTGTCATACATCACTGAACCCACAACTTTACACTTTCATATTGAAATGTTCACATTGAAACTTACCATTAAAGGAGGGCCTTGGCAGCAGCACTGCGAAAGAAATATAAATTAATACCAATCACCAAACATGGTTTAAGTTCTAAAACCACCAAGAGATCAGAAACCACAAGTCTCCTCAACCAGATCAGCGACCTGATTCATAATCATCAGCTCTCAAATAAAAAAGTAGGATAATTCCATATGATTCTTACCAGAGTTGATCTTCTGGTGGATAAAGACATGCTTCAAGGCCTGACAAAACACAATACTTCAGTTTTTTTCATGTGCACTTTAAAAACCTTAAGTTTCAATTCATGACCAAGTCAGCTAGAGCTAATAAACACTCCATCGTTGTGTCAGGCTTTACCATTTTATCATCACAAGGTTGTACAGGATCAAGCATCCCAGGATAAATTTAGCACTCACCTGTACCACAGCGACTCAAGCCAACAGTACATCCAGATTGCTTGGGACCAAGGGCTGGAACCTGTGGTAAAATTGGAAACTATTAGCACACTCCAGAATGAACACTGAAAGACAAATTATAGTTAATGCATCAGATAAGAGCGAAAGACATCGTTCTTCACAGAAAATCTGCTGAACTATGCAGTCATCACTGCATCAACTGTATTTGAGAGGGGAATTTAAACTAAACTTACATCAAGAGCCAGTCATTCCTAGACACCATCTGAAATAATAATAATGAAGTTGACACCCACATTTATATCTATATAATTTAACAGTAAAAAACTAAAATACATCAGATAGGAGCGAAAGACATCGTTCTTCACAGAAGGTCTGCTGAACTATGCAGTCATCATTGTATCAGTTTGAGACGAGCAGGGGTATGGGAAAATAAATAAAGTACTAACCAAGACAAATGCCAGAGGCAGGTTCTGGGGGAAAAAAAACAAAAACAAATCAGTTCAACTCTTTCCAAGGTTTTAGTTCACAAGTACCATAATGTTCATGCATCAGATAGGAGCGAAAGACATTGTTCTTCACAGAAAATCTGCTGAACTATGCAGTCATCACTGCAGCAGGCCAAAAATACATCCCAATATGGCAATAAACTTACCTTCAAAGCCACAACGCAGTCAACCTGCAAAAGAGGACAAATTAGTACAAACCCAAAACCGCCAATCTGGACAGACTTGTGCTTTTGACATCTGGGAAAAAGTAAACTTTATAACATGCCAGAATTAACATGACCTCAGACAAGTTGGAACAGTAAAGTGTATAATCAAACGCAATTCCTCTGGCAGAATCTTCACATCACTACAAAGCATATGATGGCCCTTCATAGCAGAGCTACTCACCAGAACCAAATCAGGTATCAATCAAATCCTAAAAAAAAAAAAAAAAAAAGCAAAAGCTTGCATTAAAAATAAGGATACTCTAGTAAGAGCACTGACAATTTACCATTAAGTACATGCATCAGATAGGAGCGAAAGATATTGTTCTTCATAGAAAATCTGCTGAACTATGCAGTCATCACTACATGACCAAAAAAAAAAAAAAAAAAAATAAAATACAATGACCTTACCTTCAAGGAAAGCATTGCATTTGACCTGCAAGAGGAGAATAAATTAGTACAAATTCAAATTTGATCATTTGAGTCAAATAAAGTTTAATGGCTCAGAAAGAAAAATCCTCTTTCACATATTTTCAGAGAGATTCCCAATGATAAACAATCATCATACTCAGCATTATTATTAGTTTTGTGGAAAACTGCAGTTTCCTTACCTCAGGGGGCGCATCGTAGAGTTTGGATTTAAAAGGCATTTCATCCACCCCCAGCAGCCTGAAACAGCAGTCACCCATTAAACATGCATTGTAAAGATCATTTTAGAAAGTAACTAGCAGAGAAGCCTCAGATTTGACAATGGTGGTTGTCAGATTCGTCATCCATTGTGTCAAGAGTAGCAAATAGGGTCATCAGAGGCAAGCAAAAAGTCAATACTGCGGTCAATGTCAAAGTCAATTTTATGAACCTTGACACTTTAACAGCACCAGTCTTGACAATTTGCCCACAAATTATTTACCTGTGTAAAGATCTGTTCATTCATCTCAAAAATCAATGATTCATCAGCTGGCATCTCGACCCTAAACACAATCATTATTAAGCATAGCTCCACTAAAATAAAAATGCAGTATGTAGATACATGTCTCAGTGGGTAAAGTTGTCAGAAATCTCTTCTGTCCACTACTCTTAATATTACATCATCGACTGAAGAAAAATGTGCAGTTGTAAAACGCACCCACCTGCTGACAGTCTGTTGAGTATTCCGTCCCCACTGCAGCCTGAAAGGAAAAGAGATTTGTCACTACGGTTCGCGCAATATTTAAGATCAAAATTGGATGCATGTAAAGCCTCGTGTATCAGAAATGATCACATCACAGTTACTCAGATGTCCCTATGAAATTTCATCATTAACAACGAGGTTTAAATGCCGATCATTTAAAAACAGCTTTAAAACGATGACGTTACAGCCTGAGAAGATAAACATTGTTTAAGAATACAGAAGTCTAACTGACTTGGTGTGGCTAACTAGCAGCTAAAGCTAGCAGCTAAAGCTAGCAGCAGCAACACGTGGTGCTGGGCCTGCTTTTTGCAATAACAGCTACATTACAAGAAGCAAGGTTTAGGTCAACAGAGCAGTACAGAAAACAAATAACGTTAAGTTACTAAAGTGACAGAAAAAAAACAGACATTTAAATACTCCACCAAAAAAGTTGTATGACGCTGGCCTTCATAACTCCATGTATTTCGGGAGTGAATGAGGCAGATCAGTCGACGCTCAGCCTATTTATACCGAAATGGCGCATTGGTTTGTGGGACATGTGTCACTAGCGCCCCTCCTGCACAAACAAAGTAGTGCACAGCGGTTAGATTAAAAGTCTCCGAGACTCGGAACAAATTGTGATTTTTCAATATCTAAAAACAAAAATCACATTATTGAAATAGCCATGTCTCAATTTAAAATAAAGCAGAATCAACAACTAGAAGAATATAAAAAATATTAGATATAAGTTATGAAAAAAGTGTGAAATAAAATATGAAAGGCCACCGTACATATAATTGAAATTGTGACATAAAAATACGTCAAGACTACAACATAATTACAATTTTGCTGAAAATGATTTATTTTTGTTTCTCATCCACATATAATTGCATTTGTATTGAAACATGTGTATAAAAGAATGAATAATGGGTCAATTGAGGATAAAGTATTGCAATAAGCATGTAGAACAATGCCAATCAATGATAAAAACAAAAAGTCATTAAAATAATTGTAGACTGTAGTGAGAGTTGTTGAGCAGCACTTTTAAAACACCACAGTGCTTCTGAAGATGTCATCTTTCAAAACTGCCAGGGATTATGGGAGATTCTACACTCACATGAGTGTGACTGACATAGGTCAGTCTGCCTCCAAATTAATAAGAGAAAATGGGCTTCCTTTCTCTGTGTCTTTGGATTGGCCTTTATTTTATTTTATTATTTTTTTTGGCATAGTTGACACTACACTTGTTTGACACAATGTAATTGCATCTAGCCCTCATCTCCATAACAGCATGCTCTAGCTTTGGAATCAACACAAAGTTTTATGTGGTAAAGGCAAAAATTAAATAAAACTGAAACACAAGATGAAAAACTGGAATGATTTATAAAGATGCAAAGCCACGTCGATGTCATTGTTTGTTACACTACTGCCCAAAAGCAATGAAAATAAAAAATAATATATATTTATACTATATATCCATCAATATTTATCTATATAACAGCTGTAACTGGTTGCAGGCAAGTAGTGACATTCTCCAGGCCCTTTAAGATTCAGTCAGTTCCAATGTTATAAGGCCATCAGAAATTTTGAGGGACCAGCAGCTTTCTCTCCAGTCACCATATTCCCTGAGATGTAGATCACGGATTTATTTAAGGTTTATTTCATCTGAATATTACCAACCACACCTCTGTCCCGCTTCTTTAAAAGTGCAGGAAAATAGGACCTGCAGGTTTGTCCCATGAAGCTGAGAGGGGCTGTGAAGTTGAAGAATGAGAGCTGTTATGTTGCTCCATCTCTGCTGCAGTCGTGATGTTGACCGGTCTCTCTGATGGTGAACTGAGATTGCCAAAAGAGGCTTATTACTAATATTATGGTTGCATCCATGTCATTCACCTCCATACGTTTTACAGTCAAATGCAAAACTGTATACATTTTATCGTCAGTTTTGTCCAAGGTTTAGAAAACAATAGTTTTTTATGCCAGAGTTCTTATGAAGCCTCTGCTATATGTGCATCAATGTATGCATAAGTACAGGAGAGTCTTTAATGCCTCTGATCAGTTATTCTCTTCAGTAGAGGCTCATCGTAGACCCAGCACTCCCCGTCTTCATGGAATAACTAAAGACATATAATAAAAGGTTAATAGGAGTTTATTTTTTAAAATATATTTTCAACACACTTACTCTGGTCTCCCATTGTTGCTCATTCTCTTTTCGTTCTCTGGCTTCTGCTCTTTGTTTCTCCTCCAAACGATGTTTAGCTTCTGTCGCTGCATCGATGTCTTTCAGCTTCAAGTTTTGAGTCACATCTTTCCACAGTCTGACAAAGATTAAGATATAAAAACAATTAATCTTAACAAACTGAAAATATCACAATAAAATTTGGTATTTTTAAAAATGACTCACTTTCTCGATTCATACTCTAGCTGATCTTCTAGCTTTCTGACTTTCTTCTTGATTATACCCATCTTTTTGGTGTCAATAAAAACAGTGTTCTCCTTTAAAATTAAATAAAGTGGTTAAACATGAACAGAACAGGTGCTATAATAAAGGCCATTTGAAGTTAACATATACTGTATAAGAACCAGCAACACATTTGACTTTTATTTAACTAGGAATAAATTTAATTTTTTAGATTTTGAGATCACAAAATACATACTCCAGTTGCCCACTTGGCATACATGACTCCATTCCATTCCCCTTCAATGGAACAGAAAGACTTCTTATCATTTGGTGGGCTGCAAACAGACACCGTGTTATAATGTAGTTATCACATCTAGATATTTCCTTACACTTGATATTTCATTATTTTACAAGATCTCAGCCGTGATCCTGTGCTTTTTGCCTCCGTAGAATGGTTTTGTGTGAAATACAATGTTGGCACTGTATCCTGATTTAGAGCATGAGATGTTGCACTCTCCACCCAGCTCCACCCAAGGCACTGTCAAGATTGATCTGGACACAAATGTTATGTTAATCAAAGTGTTAAGAAAGTCACGGAACAAATTAATCCAAGTTACACACCTGCCATATCCATTTGGAAAGGTAAGAATGTAATGTTCATCATGCTCCAAACATGAAACACAACCTAGAATGATAAAATTAATTAGAAAAACATATGCCATACAACTTTAAATAATAAATAAACATTTTACACACCTTGACCAATATTGTGAACACCAATGGACATGCCAAGGAACTTAGATTTGGTCCAGATGTGAGCATTGAACTGGATCTGCCTATTTAAACACTCGGCATAAAAAGCAGAAACTAAAAGAGAGGAAAAACAAATATTAGTGTACTGTACGTTACCAATCAACAGTGAATTTAAAGCTCCAAAAATGGTCAAAAACACAAAGAGCACTCACTAGGAGGGTGGTGAGAGACCTGCTCTGCTACAAAACACACACTGTTAGAGGAAGCCCATGGGACAGGCCCATCTGAGACAGTCTCCTGCAAAAAGAAAGAAGAGAAGGTATTTACCAGAATATTGAAGAATTTAAACTGAAAGCACCATTGTATTTTTTCCCTACCATTTGTGTGGAAATCTCTTCAGTTGTCTCATTTGGCAGATCCCAATGGCAATAGAAGACCTCTCCTAAAATTGGATTGTAAGGTTTTTTGGCCACTGAGCCTTTCCTTCCTGCATGGAATGCTGACAGGTACCATTTTACAACTTGAACCATGCGCTCTCTGGGTTCTGGCTGCTCAGCAATACTAAAACAAATATGAATATACTTTATGTATTTAATGTATTTCCTTGTTTAAACTTGATAAATGATTGAGAATTTCATGATTTTACCTTACAAACAGGTCAGGATGTGCAAAAAAGTCTGCATACATTTCTAATAAAGATCTCCTTTCTAGAATAAAGGTAGGCAAGACTACCTATAAAACAAAACGGAAGCAAATATGAGGGCTCTGCAAAATCTACTGTAGTTTAATCTTGCATATCTTCAGACGAGATACCTTTGTGAGGTCCATGCCCAGTCGAACTTGAGAAAGCAAGTGCATAATGACACTCTTGTGCTCCTCCACAGACTCACCCTCACCATCATCATCGCGATCATCGTGGCTATCAAACTGGTCTGAAGACAGAACATAAACAGCTTCAAAGGCTGTTTTGACTACACTGCAGGTACATTTACATGGCCAAAAACACATCAGACACAAAGAATAGTCACACAACCAAATAATTAGATCTGAGTTGTGTGTTTACATGCACACAATAAATCTTACTTCTTCCCACTCCATTTTGTGCATCAACCTTTCATTTGTATTCATTTAATTGAGTCTTAGAATCAAATAGTACCGATTGCATTAATCTGTGTACCACTTTGTCTGTTCTGCCATGACATAGCTTGAAATAAAGATTATTATAAACAAAATACAACTGATAATCAAAACGACTTTGTGGCATGTTTCTATTAATGAGTGGATATAGTAGTATTTGGACGATAAAACACAATTCATTTTTCAATCTTTAACATTTTCCGTTTAATTTTTGTCTTTTTTGCACAATTACTCTTGTCAGTGTGTAAATGATCGGAAAGAATTCGGATTACTCATATCAAATGAAACTGTTTACGTGACATTTAAACAATCTGAGTTGAAGTCCAGATAAGAATCAGAGTTTAGGTGTGCATGTAAACACAGCCAGTGTTGAAGGCTAGGCCATTAAGATGCTGACTTTTATGTCAGTAAAGAGGTTTGTTAAGTGCTCATTAACCTGCTTCTGTGGTGCCATTGGACATTGATGAGTTGAGGGACTCTGTGGTGTTGGGTCGTTTTAATGCTGTGTCTTCATTGGTATTGGGAGAAGCAGCTTGAGGCCCTGAGGGACTGGGGACAAAACCAAGTAAAAGGAAAACAAGTCACGGACCATCTTTCTATGTTTTATGCGAAAGGCTAAGCTTTGGTAAGCCTGTCACGAGAGCAAATTTTGAAGCATGATATATTCCTAGAGATATACTGTGTTAAACAATAATACTGAAATTACTTTATGCCACTGACAAAAAACAGGCTAATCCCAGTAAACTAACTTTTAAAAAATACAGTATCATTAAAAGCCATGAGCTGCCACAAATAAATAGCAGAATTAACTACAGTCCCTGACAAAAGTCTTGTCGCTTATCCATTTTGTAGAAACAATAGCTTATAACCTGACTTTATATTAATCGACTGGTTTTAGAAATGTCTCATATGAAAGCTAAAACCCTCCCAAATTATGCTCAATATACTAAAATAAATTTGCTTCACTGAAGAAAGATTGATCATTTAATGAACCGTCACCTTATCGTGGTGGAGGGGTTTGAGTGCCCGAATGATCCCGGGAGCTATGTTGTCGGGGGCTTCATGCCCCTGGTAGGGTCACCCAAGGCAAACAGGTCCGGGGGGACGGGTCAGACGAAGAACGGTTCAGAAGCCCCTATGATGAGTGTACGAGCAAGGCCAGTTACGTCGCCCGGATTGGCGTCACCGGGGCCTCACCCTGGAGCCAGGCCTGGGGTGGGTGCTCGCCAGCGAGCGCCTGGTGGCCGAGCCTCCCCCCACGGGGCTCGGCCGGGCTCAGCCCGAAGGAGCGACGTGGGGCCGTCCTCACGTGGGCCCACCACCCGCAGGAGGATCCATATGGGGCCGGTGCAGAGAGATCGACGGCGGGGGGCCTCGGCGACCGGATCTCCGGACATGGAGACTAGCTCTGGGGACATGGAATGTCACCTCGCTGGGGGGGAAGGAGCCTGAGCTTGTGCGGGAGGTTGAGCGTTACCGACTAGATATAGTCGGCCTCACCTCCACGCACAGTTTGGGCTCTGGAACCCAACTCCTTGAGAGGGGCTGGACTCTCCATTTCTCTGGCGTTGGCCGCGGGGAGCGGCGGCGGGCTGGTGTGGGCCTGCTCATTGCCCCACAGCTCAGTCGCTGTGTGTTGGAGTTCACCCCGGTGAACGAGAGGGTCGCGTCCCTGCGCCTTCGGGTCGGGGACAGGTCTCTCACTGTGGTGTCGGCCTACGGGCCGAACAGCAGTGCTGAGTACCCGGCCTTCTTGGAGTCCTTGGGAGGGGTACTAGACAGTGCACCGACCGGGGACTCCGTTGTTCTCCTGGGGGACTTCAACGCCCACGTGGGCAACGACAGTGACACTTGGAGAGGGGTGATTGGGAGGAACGGCCTCCCCGAGTGGTGTTTTGTTATTGGACTTCTGTGCTAGTCACAGTTTGTCCATAACGAACACCATGTTCGAGCACAAGGGTGTCCATAAGTGCACGTGGCACCAGGACACCCTAGGCCGGAGGTCGATGATCGACTTTGTCGTCGTGTCATCTGATCTCCGGCCGCGTGTCTTGGACACTCGGGTGAAGAGAGGGGCTGAGCTGTCAACTGATCACCACCTGGTCGTGAGTTGGGTTCGCTGGCGGAGGAGGAAGCCGGAAAGACCTGGCAGGCCCAAGCGTGTAGTGAGGGTCTGTTGGGAACGTCTGGCGGAGCCCTCTGTCAGAGGGACCTTCAACTCGCACCTCCGGGAGGACTTCTCCCGGATTCCGGGGGAGGCTGGAGATATGGAGTCCGAGTGGGCTTCATTCTCGGCCTCTATTGTCAATGCAGCTGCTCGGAGCTGTGGGCGTAAGGTCTGTGGTGCCTGTCGCGGCGGCAACCCCAGAACCCGGTGGTGGACACCGGAAGTAAGGGATGCTGTCAAGCTGAAGGAGTCCTATCGGGCCTTGCTGGCTCGGGGGACTCCTGAGGCAGCTGACGGGTACCGGCGGGCCAAGCGTGCTGCAGCCCGTGTGGTCGCGGAGGCAAAAACTCGGAGCTGGGAGGAGTTCGGGGAGGCCATGGAGAAGGACTATCGGACGGCCTCAAAGAGATTCTGGCAAACCGTCCGGCGCCTCAGGAGGGGAAAGCAGTTCTTCACCAACACTGTTTACAGTGCGGGGGGAGAGCTGTTGACCTCGACTGGGGACGTTGTCCGGCGGTGGAAGGAATACTTTGAGGATCTCCTCAATCCCACCGTCACGTCCTCCGAGGAGGAGGCCGAGGCTGGGGACTCGGAGGCGGACTCGTCCATCACCCTGGCCGAAGTCACTGAGGTGGTTGGCAAGCTCCTTGGTGGCAAGGCTCCGGGGTTGGATGAGATCCGTCCTGAGTACCTGAAGTCTCTGGATGTTGTGGGGCTGTCTTGGCTGACACGCCTCTTCAACATCGCGTGGCGGTCGGGGACAGTACCTCTGGACTGGCAAACCGGGGTGGTGGTCCCTCTGTATAAGAAGGGGGACCGGAGGGTGTGTTCCAACTATAGGGGGATCACACTTCTCAGCCTTCCCGGTAAGGTCTATGCCAGGGTACTGGAGAGGAGAATCCGGCCGATAGTCGAACCTCGGATTCAGGAGGAGCAGTGTGGTTTTCGTCCTGGCCGTGGAACACTGGACCAGCTCTACACTCTCCATAGGGTGCTCGAGGGTTCATGGGAGTTTGCCCAACCAGTCCACATGTGTTTTGTGGATCTGGAGAAGGCATTCGACCGTGTCCCTCGTGGTGTCCTGTGGGGGGTGCTCTGGGAGTATGGGGTCCGGGGCCCTTTGCTAAAGGCTGTCCGGTCCCTGTATGACCGGAGCAGGAGCTGTGTTCGCATTGCCGGCAGTAAGTCAGACCTGTTCCCGGTGCATGTTGGACTCCGCCAGGGCTGCCCTTTGTCACCGGTTCTGTTCATTGTATTTATGGACAGAATTTCTAGGCGCAGTCAGGGGCCGGAGGGGGTCCGGTTTGGGGACCACAGGATTTCATCTCTGCTGTTTGCGGACGATGTTGTCCTGTTGGCTTCATCGAACCAGGACCTGCAATGTGCACTGGGGCGGTTTGCAGCCGAGTGTGAAGCGGCTGGGATGAAGATCAGCTCTTCCAAGTCCGAGGCCATGGTTCTCGACCGGAAAAAGGTGGTTTGCCCTCTCCGGGTGGGTGGGGAGTCTTTGCCTCAAGTGGAGGAGTTCAAGTATCTCGGGGTCTTGTTCACGAGTGAGGGAAGGACGGAACGTGAGATTGACAGGCGGATCGGTGCAGCTTCGGCAGTGATGCGGTCGCTGTATCGGACCGTTGTGGTGAAGAGGGAGCTGAGTCGAAAGGCGAAGCTCTCGATTTACCGGTCAGTCTTCGTTCCTACTCTCACCTATGGTCATGAGCTCTGGGTAGTGACCGAAAGGACGAGATCGCGGATACAAGCGTTCGAAATGAGTTTCCTCCGCAGGGTGGCTGGGCGCTCCCTTAGAGATAGGGTGAGGAGCTCAGTCACACGGGAGGAGCTCGGAGTAGAGCCGCTGCTCCTTCACGTCGAGAGGAGCCAGTTGAGGTGGCTCGGGCATCTGTTCCGGATGCCTCCTGGGCGCCTCCCTCGGGAGGTGTTCCGGGCATGTCCCGCCGGGAGGAGGCCCCGGGGAAGACCCAGGACACGCTGGAGGGACTATGTCTCTCGGCTGGCCTGGGAACGCCTCGGGGTCCCCCCGGAGGAGCTGGAGGACGTGTCTGGGGTGAAGGAAGTCTGGGAGTCCCTGCTTAGGCTGCTCCCCCCGCGACCCGGCCTCGGATAAGCGGACGAAAATGGATGGATGGATGGATGAACACAGAAAGGCCAGATTTTGGCAAGACAAAAGTTTTGTCGCCTACATAAAATTGAACAAATAATTTACTTCAAATACAAAAATATGTTGCATAACGTCAGTGAATTAAGTAGTGGTGCTGTGAGATCCATATTTAATATCTTGTATGACTTCCATGAGCTTGAAGGACTGCATCCACGCATTTTGACAATGATTCATACAATTTGTTGATGAAGTCATCAGGAATAGCAAAGAAAGCGTCTTACATGCCTCCCAGAGTTCATCAAGATTCTTTGGTTTTGCCTTCCATGCTTCCTCTTTCATTCTACCCCAGACATGCTCAATAATGTTCATGTCTGGTGACTGGACTGGCCAGTCCTGGAGCACCTTGATCTTCTTCGCCTTGAGAAACTTTGATGTAGAGATAGAAGTATGCGATGGAGCACCATCCTGCTGCAAAATTTGACCCCTTTTATGGTTGGGAATGTAAGAGGTAGCTAATACTTCTTGATATTTTAGGCTATTGATATTGCCTTCCACCCTGCAAATGTCTCGCACACCCCCATACTGATGTAACCCCAGACTATGATTTTTTCCGCCACCAAACTTAACTGTTTTCTGGATGAATCTTGGATCCATGCGGGCTCCAGTAGGTCTCCTGCAATATTTGCGGCAGCTGTGATGTAATTCAACCGAGGATTCATCTGAGAAATCCACCTTCTGCCACTTTTCCAGTGTCCATCCTTTTAGCAGGCTGTGGGCCTTGGCAAATGCCACAAGGTTTTTTAATTGCCTTTTGTTTAGTGCTGGTTTCTGTGCACTGATTTGACCATGGAGGCCATTTCGAGACAGAATTCTACAAACTGTTCTGGTTGACACAGGGACTTGAGGTGACCAGGCCTGGTGAAGCTCTGCTGCAGTGGAAAAGGGGCTGGCTTTGGATTTTCGAATCAACATACGGTCCTCCCGAGCAGTTGTCTTGCGGGGTCTGCCGGACCTGGGCTTGTCAAAAACATCTCCAGTCATTTCAGATCTTTTTCTTATTCTTTGTACTTGACGCTGAGACACATTGAAGGTGTCAGCCACCTCAGCAGTGGATCTGGTCTTCAGCCTCTTGATAATTAACGCTTTGGTCTCAGGGTGGATCTTAGACATGTTGTCAGAGGTCAAGTTGCAGTTCATGTGAAGGTCTGGTGTGTTGGGGTTCTTTTTATACATAACACCCACTAATTGACTGATCAGTAACTGATCACAGGTGAGGCTGTAATCTAGGATTGGGTGCATCATATGACAAGGCGACAAGACTTTTGTCTTGCCAAAATCTGACCTTTCTGAGTTCATTGAATGATCAATCTTTCTTCAGTGAAGCGAATTTATTTTAGTATATTGAGCATAATTTGAGAGGGTTATAGCTTTCATATGAGACATTTCTAAAACCAATCGATTAATTTAAAGTCAGGTTATAAGCTTTTGTTTCTACAAAATGGATAAGCGACAAGACTTTTGTCAGTGACTGTAATAAGTAGCCATAGAAGTTAGTCTTACATTAAGTCTTACATTAATACATAAAAATGGCAAAATCTCCCCACTATTGCAAAGAAATTGTACACATGACACATACTGAACAGTAAGTGGATATAGTAATTCTCCTAACAGGTCTAGGTTTTGGGCCAAAGCATTCACTGAGTGTGCGCATGGTTTTCAAAGTTTTACTTACTCTATGCAGTGTTTTGGTGAGGTGCTGCTCTGATAAAACTCGTCAGCATCATAAAACTCGTCTTCACTAGAAGAATAGGAGAAGTCTGGCACTGAATGTGAGGGTAAAGGGATGTGAGCCGGGGAGGTAACGCCGCTGCTTGGGACTGAAGGGCCACTCCCTAAACAAACACACATACATTTTGATAAAGTTGTAGGAAAAATATGCATGCAGACTATAAACTTTTAGGAAAGGCATTGAAATACTATGGTGTTTAAGTGCATGTTTTAGTGTGACTGCGTACAGACGCATTAAGCTGTCACAGTGATGGCCTCTTCTGCAGAACATATTGACTGTATACTTGAGTGTGCTGCAGGCCTCTATGTGCAAAGTGCAGCATTTTAATCCTGCTGAATCAGCACTGACAGAGAAGGGCCTTTAGTCACTCAGCTTTCACTTGCTTTTAAACTCTGCTATGTAATTCATTTTGTGTTAATAAATAACAGAATAAATATTGCAGTGTAGACAGTAAAAGAGGTATTACTTTTGCAGTGCACTATAAAATCCAGCTTGCAAGATAATATAATAAAGCTCATGTGGAAAGCTCAAAAAATAATCCTAGCTAGTTTCTTTAAGATTTTAGATGTAATAAACATTAAAAGCAAATATGATCAATAATAATAAAAATGTGTTTAAAAGCTAAATATAAGGAGCTTTAACCTGTGCTGTTAGGAGTAGGCGTCTGCAAACTGCCCATCACTGTAACGGATCCAACAGGTAACGTTGAGGGTCGTTGGTCTGATTTACACACCTGAGCATCTTGAGCAAAAAGGAAAAGTGTGTGAGTAAGCACTGAAGCTGCAAAACAAGTCAGCACCATTAAAAGTACAGCACAAAGAAATGCTGAGTCAGACTGAACTGTTTTTGACACAGACAGCAGACCCTTAATGCGTAATCTTCACCACGGCTTATATATTATTAGCCTACGGTCAAGTTTCACATATGCGCAGGTGAGACTGTAAAACATAGTCATCTACTTTCTTTGTCCGCTTGTTGTTTTTTTTAACAGATGGACAGACAAAAACTACTCATTCTCTTTATTCTATATTCTGTATTATGTGCATTGCAAAGATTAAACACTAGGGGGAGCAACTGTTGGCTTTCAGGACACATAAACAGTGGTCTATCCATAGGTTTTAGAATGATGAAACATCAGGACCTTATTGCCATAGTAAAATATTATATCTTTTGAATTGTGAAAAGCCCTCAAAATATCACCTATAACAGGAAGCTGAATCCCATGAATAAGCATAAATGCACTATCGTGTTTTGTAAGTGAGCAGAGGAGGGTACCAGAGGGGAGCGCTGCCTGTGTTGGCATTGTGGTGTTGACTACAGGGGCGTCCAGAGGAGGCTGGTAGATCCCATCCACAGGGTTGATGGTGCTCTAAAGAGAGAACAGAAATAACAGTGCTATTAATGAAGTGGCAGAGCACAACACAAGCGTCTCTAAACTCAAACTGACCTACACTAATATACCGCACAGTTTCGATTATAGATCATCTTACAACAAGGACACTATAACAGGATATATGCACCACACATATGGAAGACCAATTTTTTTACTGTAGGATTATCTGATATTATTGGGTTAATTAATATGCCATAAATGCCACTGCATCAACCGCATCAAGCATTGAAGTTTTATTTTATTAACTGCAGTGGGTGGCAGGCTAAATTGGAAATGCACTGATATTGTTCGACCCTTGATTTCTCTGCAGACAACACCTACAGGGACTTGGCCATTGTCAGCTCTAACCAGCTTCTCTAGCATTTTGAGCCAGTGTACATTTGCATTCAGAGACTCACACAGGACGGCCTTTAGGCACAGTATAATGAGGTTAGTGGCACCAATGACCCAGTGAAAGGGAAAGCAGCCAACAATACAAACTAAAGGAAAATCCATCGACCTCTTAGCCAACAACATGCCCTGGGGTTTTAGTCCCATCTGAAATTAGATGTGTCGATATGATGCACTTTAAACCAGCCTTATAGGGGCTAGTCTTCTGGAAAATGGTAGAATGTGTCAATTTACATCACCCAAAACAGGAATAGACAAACTATGAGTCCATTTAGGTTTTCCTTTAAAGTCTGCAGAAGTTTACCTTTGTTTATGCTATTATGAGATTTGTCAAATGGTAAACTGAAGCTTGAAGAGTGAATGTTTCTAGTTTCTTTGCCATGGACCCTACCTGGAGGACTAGGGCTTGACACATTTTGTTGAAGCTATAATCTACCATAGTAGGAACTTAGGCCATACATATGACTTGGCTTCCTCTGTCCAAAAGCAGCATCCTGTAACAACATTCTGTGTTTACATTTTCGCCTGTGTGTCTCATAAATTTAACCTTATCCGAAATTCATTGTGTAACTGAATACAAACCCATTTCCAAGCATCCTCACTGGCTCAGTTTATGTCAGTATTGATTCTGCTTCTCACTTCCAGATCTTATATTTCTCTCCAATGCCACATTGAATGGAGCCTCCTCATATGACCTGATAATGTTTATATTTAGTTGTATGTAGCGACTCTGCCACAAGGATATATATGAACCACTAGATTATAACTGATAATGTCCCCACAATGCACATGTATGAGATCTTATATCTTTCCTGTTCAATCAGATGCCAGTTTCATCTACATATGACACAAGGCCCTAACCACAGCCTTTTGCAGAAAATACAGTCATGAATAGGTCACACAGTGGAAAGAGCAGAAGGGAAAAAAAATATTCATTTACCAATATTGATTGTTCATTTACCAATAAATATACAGACTTTTTACATGCAGCAACAAAGGAGCAAACCAATCATGGCACAAGATCTTTCAGGAGATACTACAGATTTGTAGTGTACATGATTGTTGTACAGAAAATACAGCAATCACCAAAAGGTTTGACAGAGTCAATCAAACACACTGCTAGACTTTCAAAGCAGGGAGCTGCACTTACACTAGTCGCAGATGCTACAGCATAAGGGCATTTCTAAGCCAAGAGGACATTATAAGCAACATAAAGCTTATAAAAGCATGCACCATTAAATGTACATACAGAGCTTAGGTTGTAGAATAAACATAATACTGTAGGTAATGATGATGAGATTAAGTCACCGCCACTTCAGATCCACAAGCTGTTAAAGACCGTCTTGCCAATGGCATTCTCTGGCTTCATAGCGCATAGCATTTTATAGGCCATGTGCCACACACGTGACGATGATACAAGCACGACTATTTGGCTGGTACCAATTCAAATATTATGTTTCAGTGGCGGAGTGACACACGTGCTTCATTCAACTATGCAGCCTAAGTATCATACCACTCCTAACCTAGTATAATGGTCTCAGGGGCCCCTTTTCCATTAGTGCTCTGGGTTTGAATGGAAGTGAATTGAACTGAAGCGTGGGGCTTTTTGTGTACACAAAATATTATTCTAATAACTGAAAGAAAGACAATGCATTGTTAATTTAAGCATGCAAGCAACACAGAATAAATTGTTAGTAAACTGTACAAAAGTCTCTGACAAAAAGGAGAAGATAGTCCCTGACCAACCCAAGTAAGAAAAAGGTGTTCATAGACAGACCATTGCAGACCTGAGTAAGAAAGAGCATAGAGCATAGAGAAAGAGCCTGCATAAAGCTTGAATGTATTTTATAGCATGCACTAGAGATTTGTACTTCACTACAGTAAGGAGTAAATTAAGCAGGAAAAGAAAGTTAGCAGTTTGTTTGATTACATTTTTGTGATGGACAGAGGATGTCAAACTTACTATAAGTCCGTTTGCGTGTTGTTGTTCGTTACTTTGGTCCTTAAAATTTTAAGAAGACAATGTTAGACTACCTGTGTAGTATTTGTACTAAAGATAAAAAAGATCAAAGCCACTGGTGCAGAGCAAACTGGACATTTAGAAATGTAACTGTAATCAGTTCCAGTTCTTCAGCATGCACTTGTCCTGTCATCACATCACAGTGCGATATTTATCATAATTTAGGAGGTAACATTAAGGTTCAGTTTTGATTAGTCAAATGTAAACACTGTTGGCTAATGTGTGCAATTTCTATTAAACTCAAATTTACTGAAACTCTCACCTTGGCAAACACAGGAAGGTGATTGCTCACATATTTTCACAGACAAATTGGATCATGTGATGAAATGAGAACAGGACTACACCCTTATCAACCACCAACCCTGCCAGAAGCTGCGAGCAATGTACCACCCAGAAACACACAGTGCTCTGGTCCTCAAGAACAAGGGCAATAGTGAAATGAAAGATAGAATATGAAAAGACTACACTACACAGCATTACCTTGGCAATTTGCAGCAATACTATACAGTGCTTGATGGATTCTACCATACTCTGAAAGAGGAAGAGAGAAAGAGTTAAAACATACAAAACAAATTCCTCATAATAATAGGCATATTTCAATGTACTTCCAAGATTTTACTTACACACGTAGTTTCCTTTAAATTTTCTATTTTCTAGAAAAAAAAAGAAAAAAGCACAGTTAATTGTTAATTTAAAATCTAATACAAAGATAAAAAAGTGTGATACAAATTCTGCATAAAGTTGTTGTTTATTATTATGCTGTTCATTAAAAAGAATGTGGTTCGGAGCAGGCTTCATCAGAGGAATAAATCTGTCTCTTTGTGTTAGACAGGTTAAAGGATATTTCTCATAATTTTTTTCTTAAAAAGTAAAAGTAAAATTGAAAATTGAAAAATTGTGACTGATCATAATAAGGGAAAAAGTGTCTTTATATATGTTTTGTCATCTGACCCCTATGACTAATGTAACTTTTTCACAGCTATTATCAATGCTCTGTATTTAGCTCAAATGACAGTAAATGTGGTGGACAGAGAGCAGAGACTCAAGGACAGGGCCCTGCTGCCGCTACTCACTCTGCGTGATTCATCCTCTTTGCAGTCCTTGATCTTCTCATCAAACAGCTGTGTGGACACGACAGAACAGCAGATACAATGAAATGGACCACTCTGTGTTCACTCAACATTACATCAGAAAAAGGATGACAACATGGATAAATAGCAACACTGAAATAAAACCTTTTGAATCTCATGAAGCGATTTAAATTTAGCAGATGAAACACTAACAACACCAGTGACGTCAATACCTTTAACTGGTCAATCAAAATTTGGAGATAGGCATCGGCTTCAGCTAGCTTCTTGTCAAAGTCCTGGACACTGGGAACAAATCCTGTCTCTGCCTCCTGTATGTGACAAAATAGACAATACAGGTCAATAGAGCAATGCTTGACAGATAATAATGAGGTGGTTTATATAGGGTTTAACGGACTAAACAAGCAACAATCCTGACTATTTTTTAAAGAACTCTCAGTCAACTCTCTATTAACTGGTCATTTTACTTAACACAACAAAGCAGGAACAGTCTGTAACAATCTTTTCATTACATAATGTCTATTAAAAGGCAACAGTTGAATCGACACGGCAAGCTTTGATCTCAGCTGTCTGTGTTCAGCCAAATTGCCAGAACAATCAACTTTGGCTGTGAAATAAATCAGAAAGAGGAACAGGCATTGTTTCCACAGCAAGACTTCCTCGAACGTACAACAACAATCTTGAATGCATGATAAAGACGTGCAGTGTTTGAATCATCACATTTAACAGTCAGCCTTCAGTAAAGCTAAACTGAAAACACAATTATTAAATGATACAGAAATTAGTAAACCAGACCGTATTGAGCGTTTTTGTTTTGCTGCCCTGGGTCCCGATTTGAAGCTTCGAGGTTTTAGGCTGTTTTGTTCGGCTAACAGACATTCTCAGAGGAAAGTGCAGGAAAGCCATCAACATTCACACACTATCAGCAGCTGCCCCTTTTTTTTGCTCTTATAAACCTGCTAACTTTACAGAGAACAAAGTCTGTGTTAACTCAGCAAGTATTTAGTTACAGTTATAAGTAAGCTTCCTCAAAGGACCAAAGGTGGTTTCACATTTAGCAAGCCAACAGTCTATGGGTGACCAGATTGCAGCCTGTTTAAAAAAACAACTTCTATGATGATCTTCCCTTACATGTTGGAACATATGACCGAAACATGAAACCAACGTGTGACAAGAGGCTGTTTTTTTTCTCTGCAAAGATCACCTCATGTTATGGCAACACTTGATAGAGAAATGTGGAGCAGATATGTACAAAGTCAGAAGTAGCTTGGTTTAACACATCTCTTAGTACAAGTGTATTGTTAATATTATTCTGTGGCCAGCACTGTTACCATACATCTTATACATAGTAGGAATATTTCAGATCAGCTTGTAAATTCTCACATATGGGCAACCACAAAGCACCCCCACCCTTTTTGTCTCTCCTTGTCGTGTGACCCAGTTTTAAAATGCTGTGGCCCTGACAACAAACAGCAGTCTTTTTTGTGTCCCTGTGGTGCAATCAAGCATTTGTTTGAGAGTGAGAGATGTACTCACTGCTCGCGCCGCTCCAATGTACATGCTGCATTAAAGTCCGCACATGTCCCCAGTAAGCCCATGGAGTCAGCCTCTCTCTTCTGTGACTATCTACCACCGCTAGTCAAGTCAGCATTTTTCTCACCCAAAAAATCTACTTATTTAAATTTGTAAATTGTTTCAAATCTTCAGCTATGAATGTGGAAAGCCTTTAGCAGCAGTTATCAGATGAGCATTTGGTAGGAGGCAGACACAGCTAAGAGTTAATTCAGGACCCTCCCCTGATAGGAAAATCACACTTCCTCTCATGCAGGCACAGCGCAAAAAACACAAAGCAGCAGGAGGAGGAGGAGGCAATAATGGCTTAAGTGACTGGCTGAAGCGGCACAAGCAGATGTTTGGTTGTTCCAGCAAGATGTTTTTTCATTGGCTGGAGCCACATCACATGACATAATGACCAGAGAAGGCTATACTGTGATTATGAGGGAACAGAGTCTAACGGGATTTGTTAGCAACGTGCGGAGAGCTAAGAGGAAAAACGGGAGGGGCAGGGGCGTCAAGGCTGTTGTTGGTGGCGAGACGTGTGAGTGAGTGGTAGGAGGGGGAGAGGCCACAGGCTTTTTAACACAGGAGGGAGGGGTGCAAAGACTGGTCCAAGAAAATACTAGATGCAGGAAAAGGCTGGAAAAAGGTCCTCAGACTGTGCTGTATTACAGCAAAAACTTCACCCTACCAATCAGTTCAGGTTAGCGTAATTATGTCGATTCATCGCTAAAAAGTAAAGGTAGATGTCTAGTGGGGTGAATACGATCCAATACATTTTTGTCAAGTTTATAAATAAAGTATTAATGATACTATAATGCTGTTGTATATTATGACTGTTATTTAAAGGTGCACTATGTAACTTTTCTTGTAAAGGGTCCACTACTTACTTTTCTCCACATAAATATTATTGCTTTGCCTGGAATGTTCCACATTATGGGATTAAACGTATCCATGTCCAAGGAGACAAGCCGGTAAAGTTACAAAAAATATATGTTTTTCAGGGTAATTTTGAGCAATAGAAACACCCAAATGAAATATATGCAGGATAGACAAGTTTAATATGTTACTGTGGAACATTAGAAGTGACGCAATAGCATTTCTATGGAGAAAAGTTACATAAATAACAGCCATAGCCCCAATTAAACACATCAGTTTTACTCATCTTATCCTTGTCACCTGGTAAACTGCTTCTTAACATCAAAACTTGATATGAAAATAAGTGGGGACAAACTAGAGTTAACCAAACTGAAAAAGGCATGTGTGTGATGACCTACCCGGAGCTGGAGGGTGTGACGGAGGATCGTTCCCTCTAAGGCGTGGATCCACTTTTCCCGCTCATCTGCATCTCGAGCTGGGGACACAAGCACAGAACCACACCCGTGAGACGAGCTTTCTACACAAACACCATCTATAACAAAGTGCTTACATAAAATGACAATAAACTGACAGGGTACAATGGAAAGACACCTGGCTGAGGAAATTACCCAACAAAAACTGCAAGTCCACTAGCAAACCGCATAAGCAACCTACGTATACTTTTAAACAAAACAGTAATTGCCCACTCTAAGAATATAATTTGTGTTATACCAGTAGCAGTAAATAGACTTGAATAAATATATAAAGTACAGCTGGTGTCTTGTATTGTTTCATCACTTGGTTTAGAGCAGTTTTAGTGGAGTTCAAGCCATCCAATAAATGAAATCTGGAACATTTTGGGGGTTAATATTTAATGTATGCACCTTTTCTTGATTTTCTGTAGCTGAACATTTGAGCTGTGTGTCATCACATCTCAGAGAACTTTCAGGTCAGAGGAGTTTAAGATGCTAAATGCTAAATACAGCACTCATTCAAGAGTACTCTCAAAAATATAGTGTAGCTGTTTGTTTACCATTTTATATTGTTTTGCCAGGTTATCTCTAAAGACATTTTACATCTTTGATCAGTAACGTAAATTCTACTGTATCTATTATAACATCTACAACTCATTAATTATAGTAACAATGCGAGTGTTAGTGCCATTTTTATTTATTGAAGCTGTTTATAATGATATTGTTAATTTAAAAAAGTTGAATTGAATAATCCTGGTTAAGGCCATCTATATCATCATCATTCATCATTATATTTTCTTAACAATATAATAACAAATTAATGTTTATATTGGGTTAATCTTTAGTAGTAGATGCAAACCAGAGCTACAGTACAAAACTTTTTAAAAGAGCCCAAGCAAAGGCCAAACCACTCAGCTGCTCTCTCTCACTTCCCACTGAAGAACAGACAGGACAGGCCAGATTACTGCAGCTAATGCTGTTTGTTGTGTCATGAATGGAGACAGAGGCTGCTTTAGAGCTACTTAACTTAACAGGTCCAGGTGAAATTATGTTAAAAGGTTTTTCTCACTAACAGTAAGTAGACTGGTAGGGATGGCCGATAAATACAAAAATAATGCAATAAAAAAAGAGAGCTTTATCTCAATATTCTAATTTAGCTCCAAAACAATAATCGCAATATTATATTTTTTTTAGATATCGGCCACCTCATAAACTGGTAACAATTACAACCTTAAAATATAAGAAATATAACTGGTTGTCTTGAACAGTAAAAGATAAAACAGTTACAACAGAGAGTGTACTGACCTTGAACATAAAACTGTCGTTTAAAGTCGTATCTTAGCTGATATAACAGATATCAATGAAAGGCATCTCCCATAAAAAAAACAACAACAACAACACACACACATTTATATACTGGTGAAAAAAAACACTAAATAACTAAGGAGGCATTTGATATCTTCTGTATCTGAAGTCGAAACTTAGTTGTCAACTCGGTCAACAGTTGTGGAGAACTTTGCAGTAACCCAATTAGAAACATGTGGAGCTGTAACTGTCCCTCATGACTTTCTAGTTGGTTGAGATTTTGTTTTATCAAAAGTGTCACAAGTCAGTCTGATCCAAGGACTGTTTTATAAGTTACTGCATACCATTTGGGTTTTTCTACTACAAATGTAATCTCTTGGGTGTACCCCAATGTGCTCTAATGGTAAACAAAATTTTAATAATGGTCACTTAATATATATGATTTTTATAAAGTCACATATTGGAAAAATGTCTACAAATATGGCAACGGCGGGAGCATGAGCCTGTCCAATGCTGCTGGCCAGTCGACAGGATAGGAGTCAAAACACTGATGGAGAGAGCAGAGAAGAACAAGCAAAAGAGGGAAGCTAAAGGGCTATCAGGCTGCTCTGATGCACCGCCGGGGGAGAGGCTACGATGAATAATAGATGCTTCTCTAAATAGAAAAGAAAGCACAGATATGCACTAGACACACGGAACTGTTAGCAGTTAGCAGTACAGTTCAAAATACAGTTAAACTATCCTTCAGCAGAAACTGAATGTAAAAAGCATAACTATGGCTTTCACAACGGTTTAATCTGTTCTCACAAAATCCAAGCAATAAGCAGTAAAGGTCATAGCTGTTTCAAAGGATTCTTTAACTAAAATGTACAACATTTTTTTCCACTACCAAATGACCCCAAAATCATGATAATTTCCCAGAGACCAGGATAACACAATCAAAGAGGGATAATTTTACTGGAACACCTAAATCTGTGTCTCAACATCCCATGCATCATCAGAAATCCAAGCTAGCAGCTGCAGTAGCTCAAATCTCTTGTTCAGCATAAATTACTGCTAATATACTGCAGCTGAAAATGCAAGTCACTCATAAAATAAGAAAAAATTTGTATGACAAATACATTACTGCAATTGTATACGGTTTTAAACTATAGTCAAAAGTCACAGAAATAAATACTAATATTAGCACTTTGGTCTGAGTATACATTGTGAGAAAGGAAGCAAACCTAAGACCTACACATCCTATTTACAATTGTGAACCAGCTGTGACCCTCAACAAACCACTATATCTGGAGATCTGCACACCGCATCCAGCTCCACCCAAATCGCACATCCCAGAAGATAAACACTACCACACTCAGCTGCCCAGTCCAGAGCGGGCACACATGCGGACTGCAGGACATGCGCTTTCTCCTTACCCTTGCGTTTGTAGAACCACAGCATACAGCTTCGGAACACAGACATGGGACAAGGCATGGAAGAGGTGAGAGGAGCCAGGGGCCCATGGACTGTGGTTGGTGACCCCCCAAAAAGGGGTAAAGCTCGATGGTGTTAAGGGGAAATGGACACAAACGCAAGGACAGACATGGAATAAAGACAAATAGATGCTTGGTAAAGAGTCAAGACCTGATGTAGCGCTAGAATAAAAAAGGATGTCAGCGGAGTGGACTGAGCAGCTCCTTGTCAGCGAGGAAGAAGGGGTGGCAGGGCGGGAGGGGGGTGAAGCTGGAGGTAGAAGCCATGGAACAACCAGTCCCCATAGAGTGAGTGGTTGTGCAAGCGGCAGCGTGTAGCGAAAGACGAATGGCAGAAGAGACCTGAGCTCAGCCTCCAGCTCAGCACTATTTCTTTATTATTCCCAGAGGCTCTAGTGCAGACACACACAAACAGCAGCAATCTTCCTGCTTAGCCACAGTCAGGGGAAAATCTTACATGGTCCTTTTAAAACAGCCAGTATAAATTAATCTACAAAAACATCCCCCGGTCCAACTTCATGGAGCTTGGAAAAGGTCCAGAGGAAAGCAGAAAACACTCGAAGGCAAAACAGCATACTACAGCATTGTGTAAATGTTCATGCGCTTCCTGGCATTGGAGCAGACCAATCCGGGACTTAAAAGGCGGGAGGAAGAGTCAGCAAGGGAGGGAGGGATGGATGTAGAGAGAGTGAGAGAGGGAGTGAGAGAAAGAGATGGATGGTAGAAAGAAAGCCTGCAGCAAGAGGCCAACCAGCAAAAATAAAACAAGTTGGGGATTTTACCTTGAAAATGGAAGGTCTTTTGGTCCACAGTGATAGTGAATGTGCTGTCGTCCTCGTCATCAATGCCAATGACAGCACCCTGGGGAGAAGAACAGGGGATGAGGTGGTGAGACACGTCATTCTACACTGCCTCTGCCCAACACCAACTCACTGTACACTATAACAAATACCAATACTGAAGCTTATCTCAGCCTCACACTCCCCCTCTCAAAAGACTCTCCAATGAAGATATCCAGGTGGCCTCTCAAGCACATGCAGTATATGTGCAGGCTTTTGGAGCACAGGACAGACATAGGCAGGTCCAGGGGGTGGGGTTTGGGGAAAAGGAGGAGGAAAAAAGCAGGATGGGTGGAGATGTGCACACAAGCAACTAGAAGCTACCAGAGAAAGTGCCTATACTACTTCTTGTGGAATAACAACATTTTAAAAAGGTTTACTACATGTTTCTTAGTTATTAGTCCATAAAAGGCATTCTCTTTGTCTCCTGCTGTCTGGCATTGATAAGGTATATAAGAATGTGTTCATTTTCTGAAATACTTTGTGTTCCATGAAGTAAACATGTTCGAACAATGTGTTGATTTTAGTGGTAAGTGTAATAACGACTTATTCACAATCAAAAATACATGTTACAAGATGTAAAAATAGTTTCTCTTTATTTACTTTTTGATTCTGAAGCTGCTGATCCAATCAGAGGCTGAATGAGCTCAAACTGCAGATGGGCCCCATATACCACATGAGGCAGCCCACCTACACAGTGGTGCATGTATGATGTACTACAGTTTGAAAAATACATATCCTATATGCAGTATGATCTTTACATTATATAAAACAGACAGTATGAAAGTGGTTTCTATGAAAGTTCAGTTTAACTTGGATTTTGAATAAAACAGGTTATAATGCTGCCATCTAGTGATCATTATAGCACACTGGAAATACAAAGTACAGAGATGCCATCCATGGTGTGTTAAAGGATTTAGAATCAATCCACTACAGTTTACAAGCAAAAATAAAGCTTACCCGGAGTCGTACACAGCCTCTTCTGGATCCTCGCATCATCTTATCTTTTGACTGTAAAACAAAAACAGTTATAGTCAGTGATCTGTTTATTCACACCCAAGAAATCTTCACTCTGACATTAAACCCAGTGTAGCCTATGTGCAAAAAGAATGACTTTCACAAAACTAAATTGGTGTGTTTTTGTGTTCTAATTTCTGAAAACATTCTAGAAACCTAAAAATTAATTGTTTATCTAAATCTTTGGTGCCCACAGTAGAGCCCGTGGGTCAAGCTTGGCCCTCCAGTGTGTTTAATTTGGCCGATAAAGGGGCTGTGAGATTTTGATTCAATTTTGTATGGAAAAGACTGTCAGAAGGAGGACAGTCCTATCTATTTCCTAATATTTAAAGTTACTTGAATCATACATTTCATTGCAGAAAAACATTAGGTTCGGCCTCAACTCCAGGAAAAAGGGCACACCTGATCTAAACATTGTGCAAAGGCAATTGAAACAATGAAAAATACCTAATAGCAAATTTTGACCAGCATTGTCGATTGAAAAGATTTGTACTTCATGCATGTTTCCGAGTGCGTAAGTTTAGCCTCGATTACAATACTATATATATTTTTTTGTATTTTTAACCTGCTCCACTGCTTTGTTCAATGCCATTAAACATCTCCATAGCAAAGAGACAAGCACCACCACCAAGACAAGTTCCAGGGTCAGATCTGTAGAGAGGTGACCCCACCTCATAGTAAGAATACATGTTTGAGGGCTTTTTCAGGGCTTTTTTTTAAAGGAAAAAAACACCTGTAAATGGTCAAGTGCAAGGTAGAAAAGTCGAGTATCGCACTAAGAAACATTTCAGGCAAAAACGATCACCCCGCTCCCCAACATCTTGACACTTGACACTTGAACACTATAACTTGTTTGTTAGATGTTCGTAAAATGTACTTATTATACTTTTTTGTGTGAATGCTAAAAATAAAACACAGATCGTCATATAGCACCGGGTATTAGTTTGTGTAGTCATTTAGCATTTAGTTAACAAGTGATGTTGAGGAGAGTATGGTTCTATATTACTCTGGCAATGTTTATGCAAAAATACCAACATTAATTCGTAATTTTCATAAAGTCGCCACTGAATCATCTGTATTGACTGTTTTTATAGCTAACAGGCTAACATAGCGGAAGTAAACCTAATTAGATACATTTGATTGGCTTAACTGTCTCCAAGGGCTGCAGTTATTGGTGGAGCTGTGAAACATTTGCGCAAAGACACGCCCTTGTGTGCCAGCTGAGACTCCCAACTCCTGACAAATTCAAGGCCGATCCTGTTAGCGCTGGACAAGTACATCTCACTTCTAGCTTTACAGTTTATTATCAACAAAACAGAGGGAAACATACCGTATAGTATGAGAGCAGCCCAGCATTGTAGTCTAAAACAAACCAACGGTATTGCCAGCCTTTCATAACGTTAGTCCACTTGCTAAGCGGCCCCTCCATGATGGACGCCATCTTTACCACAGCCAAGAGTGGGCGGAGTCGGATATGGGCTGGTCCTACGTCAAACACGTAATAAAATCAATACGTTTTCATTTTAGACACAAATTCACATGGTAAACGCAAATCAGTTCACTAAACTGAACATGTGAAGGTTAATGTGTAAGTTAATATTTATAAAATTGTGATTTTTATAGCAATTTCCCGTTATTAATTCTTCTTTGATTTATTTATTAAATTTGATGTGTGTACTATGTAGTCTAGTTCCCTTTTGATTTCAGGATTTTTTAATAATAAAAATGGCAAAACGACACAATCATAATCAATAGTTTTATTATTTACAATAAGCTTCACACTTATAAACAGAACTTCACAGTAATGTGAGCTTTAAATAAAAACACAAAAAATATAATCTGTACAATACAAAATTTGTGAAAATCTGCCATTTTATCCCTGTTGAGATTCACATGTCACATTGTGTGTGTCCGTCTTGGATTACATTGCACTCATAAATCTGAAGAAGTGGCCTTTGGTATAATGATTTGTACACACATTCTCCAGATATCCTCTCAGAACAAAGGCATGCACATGAAAATAAACTGGAAATAAAATCTCAGATAATTTCTTCTAGTTTCTTATACAAGATCTTGATGGTATGTTTTAACAAAATGTGATTCTGAAATGTATTTTAATTGTAAAATAAAAGAAAATCTGAAACAAAAACAAGTAACAACGTACACTTTCGACAAGAATAAAATGATGTAGTAATAAACGAGCAGCTTAGATTTAGTGTTTGAACAGAAAACATCGAAGGCCACAATAAAAATGGGAAAATGGCTTTAGAAACTAGAAACTCAACATTTGTAGACAAAGTGCACCATTGGGTTTCAAGTTGGCAGCTGTACAGAAATGTTCTTGGTCTTTAGATCACAATCTCAGGGCAAAAGTTACTATGAATGCTGAAAATAGTGTACATTTTTTTGCTGTGATTGTGTTTGGTACACAAATTAACAATTTGAAAAGGCACCATGAATTCTATTGTAAATTGACCATCACAGTGAAGAAAATCAGTATATTGAGATTAGAAGACTCATTCACATGAGAATGTGTGGACCTGCATTGTTTAAATAGAACTATTCAGATGCAATATGTGTCATGGTCTATTCGAAGACTTTTCCAGTGTACATCAAAACAAGAGCTCCAACATAGATAACATTAATTTGATGGGAGGTGTGGTTTGTGTGCACAGATAGCCATAACTGTACATGTGTATTTTTTTATGCATTAAAAAACTTTCGCAGAGTTATGTAAGGTGACATTAGGCCAATAAAATAAATAAAAGTCAATCTTATAATTTATATTAAAGACACATGCACATGAAGAACTGACCTGGAAAATACATTCATAAAGCATATTTAGATCTGGATGTGTGGGCCTTAGTCTTGTACTACATTAAGCTCTCATCGGTATAACCATACATTAAACTTTTTCATCCATATGAAATAAATCATAAACCAATTTCTTTCAAATAAATCTGTAAATTTAAAATAATAATTTAAAATTCAAGTTCATACATACACATTATCCAAGAATTTCTTGGAACCACAACAATATACATTTTGCTCATGTGCTGAAGACATACTGCAGTTAATTTGTGGAGAAATCAGTACTGTGAGATAGGTCTCTGTCTGTGGTTCTAATTAGAGAATGAGGCACTGAGGCCATAACAAGGCCACAGACAAATTGTCCATATAAAAAGGACACTTAATGGATAAACCTCCCACAGAACCCTGTGCTCTTTTGCCCCAAAATGACTATAGGTCCCATTAGACAAAGTAAATGCTGAGTGCAAGTATTAGTAGACAGATGAGTTTTCTTACAGTACAGAATTTTACCCATTTATGTGGCACTTGAAACTGGATGATTTTCATAATACATTCTCCATATTGTCCTCTGGCTGACTGGATGTCATGTTTCTAATCAAGCGCACAAAAACTTCTCTGTGAACATTTTAAATATGATCTGCTCCAAATCAAAGGAAATTAACTCTAAGTGAAAACCAGTTTCCTCATAATCTGGGTAAGACACTGTACTCTGACATTCAGTCACACCAAAACACATGAGATCTGTCAAACCTTTCTCACAGAGCAGCTCTTATTGTGTGGACATAGCTTTTTTCCCCAAGTGTTGACAACATTGAAAGAGAATGTGAGATTTCAAGCAACAGTTGACAATTACTTAATGGTGAGACAAGTATCACTGTAGTATGTACAAACCAAGTGTTATTACTGGCATTTAAAGCAGATTACTGTAAACAAATAGAAAGAAAAATGTTGTACTGATTTCCCAGAGGTACATTGTGTGTTTTCAAATGTTGTCTGTTGGCTTGTATGAGCTGATTACATTACAGTCCTTGTGACTACCTCTGTACCACATCACTAATCTCTTTAATACAGCTGTGCAGGTTGTCCAGTACAGTGTTGGGCCCTACGTTATTCAAACCTCCACATCCAGACGAAGAGGCCCTCAGTTCTTGCAGGCTAAGCTCTAGCTTGCCCACTGCCTCTCGAAAGGCAAATTTGTTTCTCATTTGAGGAATGCAGTCTACATAACCTGAGCAGTAGTCTAGCAGCTGATGACCAGCATCCAGCACCTGGCCACTAGAGGGGCTTTCAGAGCTGGCATTCAAGGCGCTGCTCAGACACTCTGCACACTCCAGTAGTGCCTCGCGGCTGACCCGCTCCGGTGGGACCCTCTCTGCTTGTTGCCTGGTTCGTCGCAGTGCTACTTTGGATGAGGCTGTGGTGGTAGCTCCATTTGCCATTTTGGTGGGGGTAGTGTTGGTGGTACTTGGCACTTGTGGTGGTGGCACTGACGGTCTACCCGTCGTTGCTCCTCCAGAAGTTCGGACTGATCTTTGACTTTTTAAGGTGTCTCCATTCATTTCAACAGGAGCTGCCCCCATCTGCTCTTCCCCCTCTGCGCTGTTGGAGTGCTGCAAACTGCGCAGAGTGGGGGGTGGAGGGGGAGCACACTTGGGTTTGACCAGCCGAGGTCTGTCTCTTTCTGCCTGCTCAGACAGCAGTTTGAAACGGTTCCCCTGAGAGTCTAGACCGACAAGGTGCACATCTGCCGGGCTGTGCTTCAGTGTGGGGGATATTAATACTGGTACTTTGTGATTGTGAGTAGGTGCACTTGTTGAGTTTGATAAAGAACTTAAATTAGAAGCCTTAGAAGGAGATGACCAGCTCTGCTGCCGATCTACCCCTGCTCCAATGTTCTCTCTTCCCTCTCTAACCCTGGACAAAGTATCAGAGTCGCCCACCTCCCCTCCGGCTGCAGGTGCTCTTAGTCCTATTGCAGTACTCCTTGGTAGTAGCTTGGCTTTGGGCCTATCTCTGATTTGAGCGGTGCCCTCATCTAGTCTCTTCAGCAAAGTTTCTGATGGCCGTGCAGCACCATTCTCAGGCTGAGACGTTGTCGAGGCAGTTCTTTCCAGAGGTGGTTTTGCACTGCGGTTCCTAGGTAAAGTCAAGGCCATTCGCTCCAAATCAGGCAGCCCAGCTGACATAGAGGACGTAGAATTGGACCTAGGAAAGGGTTTAGGCCCTCCTACTAGACTAGTCCCCTCTTCTGATGATGTGGGCTTCCCTGTCCTTAAACCCAGGGTCTTTTTAATAAGTCTAGGAGTAAAAAATCCTGCTAAACCACTCCAACTGCTAACACTGGAAATGTGTGAATTAAGCCCTGCTCCAGAGGGTTTTTGTCCAAAAGCAGCGCCACAGCAGCGGGACTGTGTTGGTTCAACATGGGAGTGAGAAGGAGAGGCCGAGAAGCCACTGAGACTGTCCGACTGGGGCAGGGGAGGAGGAGCACTAAAATCAGCTGTGGGCTCATACTTCTTATGAGGCTGAGTCTCCATTTCTCTGAAAGAACTGCTCCTTTTAGGTGGGGTGGGAAGGTTCTGTTGTAGCTGAGATGAAGGGGAGGAGGAGACAGTTTTTTTCCTGATGAAGGAGCTAAAAAATCCTCCCTTGCGATCCCGAGTAAATGTGCCAATTTCTGGTCCATCCTCCAAGAGGTTGTTGGGAGATTTGTCCCTAGGCTGCTGTTTTCTTGGTAACGCGGGAGAGCTGCTTCCTCTACCGTCACTTCCCAAAATGGCAGAAGCCCAGCCTGTAACACAAAGCATGGACTTGTTTTAGTAATCGGAAAGCTCTTCAAAATAACATTTAATGGGTGTTGACAAATAAAAGTAAAAAAGAACTATCTATAAATACAGAATTGCTACATGCTTTATCATATATTTATATCTTAAAATGGACACACAGGTGCTTCCTGACATGTGTAAATAAAAACTTGACACTAAATAACTATTTGGTGGACATTATTTTAGAAAAATCATATTTCCATTTCATGGTGTATCTTTTAAACGAATCATGAAGATGTTTTGAAAATAATAAACATATATTTCTTTGTTTTCTTGTTTACTGAAAGTATATCTTTTAATGTAAGAGTAAATTTGCTTAATTGGAGATCCATTTATAGATAATAGTTTATATTCATGGGTTTTCAGCTTCCTTTTTATTGGTGACCTTTTGAAGACTTTCGATTGTTCAAAATGAAATATTTATTTTTGAATTGTTCATTTTTATGGCAACACTGCAAATTTTTCATTTTTATTGTAATATGTTTTTCTGAAACCTATAGACATGTTAAGTTATGAGAAATTACATACAGATTAACAGGTTAATTTAACACATTCAAAGAGAAAAAACTAATATACAAATATGTACACACACAGACAATAAACACAAACAAAACAAAGTTCAAATTTAATAGTGTGGTTATTCAAGTGTTCATTAGTCAAGGAAAAATATAAAACACATACAAAGACAAATCTGACCCGAATTAAATAATTTTAATAAATAACTTTACATTCCTTTAAATATTATTTGTTTTTACATTTTCTTTGATGGAGTGAAAAGTAATATTTGGGATCATTTAAATTTATAAATCTATTATGTCAAAACTATTTGGGGAATTAAGGGAAAATCATGGCTCTTCTCTTCAAACGGCGAGCTTGCCGACGCTGCAGAGTTGACTCTGAATCTGATATGCATGTAGACTCATAGAGGCTGGGGGAGACCATGTGTTTTTCTGTACCTGAGTGGCCTTGGATGCTGAGGTCAGGTCGCCCATCAAGTCCACTCTCTATGTTTTCTTTGTTCTCTGCATGTTTGAGCAGTGTTCGAGATTTGGATGGTAGCAATGGCATGTTGTGACCAAATGTTTGTAATGGTCCACAATGACCAGAGGAAGCAGTTTTACAGAGCTCCTCTGCAACTTCTACAACAGACACATTTTTTAGAAATGTAAGTAATACAGTTGTGATAAATTACTGTGTGAAACTGCAATAGCACCATCACACAAAACTCTACCTTCTGAGATGCTAGAATCGTGAAACATTGTTTCAAAAGCCTGATGGGTTTCTGCAAAAGATGGCCTGTCCAATGGACTCCACTGCCAGCCTGTGAATAGAAAATGTTCTATTAAACCATGTCATAACATTAAAGTTTTCTTTACTTAAACAAATGATAGAATGGACTTACAAGCTCGCATCAGTTCATAGACTTTAGGTGGGCATCCTTCTGGCTGTTCCATGCGATAACCTTTCTCCAGGAGATCATACACCTGAGACAGGTCAATCCCAGGGTATGGTGACATGCCGTAAGTCGCAATTTCCCAAAGTAGCACACCGAATGCTATAAAGGAATAAAACATATGTTAATAAAAATTACCTAGTTAGACCATTATTTGTGCCTTAATTAGAAAAAAAAAAAACTAACCCCAGACATCCGATTTGATGGAGAAGGTGTTGTAGGCCAAGCTTTCCGGTGCAGTCCATTTAATTGGAAACTTTGCCCCAGCATGAGCAGTGTAAGTGTCACCAGTCATCAATCTGCTCAGGCCAAAGTCTGCAACCTTTACAATGTGATTCTCACCCACCAGGCAGTTTCTTGCAGCAAGATCTCTGGAAAATTCAGAAAAAAAGTTAAAAGGAAAAGTAAGACATATTGGGTAAAACACATAGAAGCCATGTACCTGTGAATAAAGTTCTTCTTTTCCAGGTACTCCATGGCAGAGGAGATCTGTGTAGCCATGTAAAGCAGCACCACAGCATTCACTTCGTCCTTGTCACATTCTCTTAAGTAGTCAAGCAGATTCCCATGTGGCATGTACTCTGTGACAATGTAGAATGGAGGCTCCAAAGTACACACTCCTGCTCAAAAATACACAGGTGTTAAAATATTATTCCATTTGTCAATAAACAATGATTGTAAACCGTAATCTTTTTGAATACTGACCAAGAAGTTGAACAAGGTTTGGATGTTTAACCTCCTTCATAACAGCTGCTTCTTTGAGAAACTCTTCAACTTCCATGGTGTCTTCCTGTCACGGAAAAATGAATAAAATCAAGTCCAGGATAACGATGTGTATTTTTTCTACCGTCATTTAAACCTGTAAAGTTACTGCCTGCCTGTAGGTGGCAATATACTACCAATAAATATGAATAATTTCAGAGAGGGGGGAAACAGATGATTAAGAGTAGAATTTTCACTAGGGACCAAGAAAAAAAAAAAAGAGATGCAAACCTTCAGCGTTTTGACTGCAACTGTGAGGTTGTATTTCTTCCACACACCGACATACACTTCTCCATACTGGCCTCCGCCCAGCTTGTGCTTCATGGTGATGTCTGTTCGCTCCATCTCCCATTTATCATGAATGGGAGACACTCCATACACAGTAGGCTTGTTACATTTGGGTGCAGGGTAGTGCAGTGTGGTGACCAGGCCATCAGCTACAGTGGAGTGATGATGGACAAGTTCAGCCAGGGTGGCAAAGCGGCTCTCAGATGTCACATACACCTACAATTGGAGCATATGAAACAATATTTAACAAGAAAGTTAGTCAACAGAGTCCCCACAAAGTCTGAGAGTTTCACCTTTCCATCAGATGCGGTGTTGATGCGATAGTGGTAGACTCTTCCCTCATAACGAAGAGAAATGGAGAGCTGTCCAGGACTGCTTTCACTTTCTCGGACAAGGAAACTGCCATTGATTAGTGATGATAGAAGATACTCGGCTGCACTGCGAGACACAGGCCCATGGTACCAGCTGTGCTTCTCCAGGCTGTTGACGGGGGTGATATAGTTGGATGGCACCCAGCCTTGGCCATTCTTTGAGCGCACTTCACTCCATTCACCATTCTGGTTGTAGCCCAGCACTCGCAGCTTCTCACCTGAGCACAGACAGAAAATCAAAGGATTGTGTCACCTGTGTGCTCAAATGCGCTTCTGCAGCATAACAGTGTTAAACCTGTAAACATTACACTGTCACAGTGCATTAAATAAAAGAAACCAAACTCACAGTAGGAAAGCTCAGTGAGTCATGGTTTAGACATGATCCACTGAAACTACATGAAAAGCATTTCAACAATGAAGGAGTTGGATGAACCGGGATAAGAAGGGCCAATCCAGGCAAGTAGTGACTAGTATCTTAACTGTCTGACGTCAAAGATAAGCAGCAACACAATGAGTAAGAGAGGAGTGGTGAGGGAAGGTGGATCTCTACAATTACATTAGACCCTGTAAGTTAGGTAGTTATGTAGTTAGCAATCAATGGATATTCAAGTGCATTTAACAGTCTAAAAATGCCTCACACCTTAATAGCATATTCAGGTAACTAAACAATATCTAAAAGCTGTATCATGAAACAAGGCAATGCATTAAAAACAATGGTAAATGCACAATGGAAAATGGTTCCACAAACTTAAAATGATTAACTGTAAACAAAACTGTAAGATTAGAGACTATTGTGTAATGATTATGTTTGTAAAATTTGTTGCAGATATTGGAGACATATTTTAAATGACTGTGATGTACCAAAAGGGTATCTTACCTTTAGTGATGCTCAGCGTGTTGTCTCCGCTGGCGACAAAGTCATAGAGTGCTACAAAGAGATTGGGGTCGCTCTCCGCTGCCCCCAGGAGGTTCTCCTTGGAGCTCCATCGCACAGCTTCAGTCAGAGCCGCAGAGTCAAGGCCAAACGGTCGGTGGAGCACTTCTGGAAAGAAAGCAAGATAAAAAATACATAACACCTCTTGTGACTGACTGTCACAAATGTAGTTTGCAAGAGTGTTACAGCGGAGGTCAAAAAACCCTATGTACCTGTTTCTCCAGCTACATTGTTCAGACTGAATCCAGTTTTTAGATTATGGGCACTCAAAGCAGCCCAGTCTTCCTCAAAACTATTGGCCTGTAGGCACCTTAAAAGCATTACTTCAACGTTCTAACGTGGTTAGCGGTACAGCTACACAGATCAGATGGGCCTAGACTCCAGGTCAATGCACTTTGGAAGCGGAGAGCAAATGACTTATAGAGTAATGGCTACAAGGAGGAGGGGCTAAAATATGACAACAATGAGTGAAACGCTCCCCAAACATTGTGGTAACTACACACACCCACACTACATAATGGACATGCGCCAGCTGCTGCCATAGACACTGATTGCATGTCTGAACAACTGTAGTCGAGTGGGAAACAGCATTAGAAAAGGAGAACAAAACTCAGATTGTACAATGTAAAATACTAAAATGTTGAACTACAAAAGGAGCTCCATTAAAATTGCCCCAACATTAAACATAAACAAGCTGAATTTGGGGAGTCATGATTCACTCTTGCGTAAATACATAAAACGTCCTCACCTTTGTTTTGGAGTAGCATGCACTGCATAGCAGCACTGGCCGTGACCTGGCTAAGCCACAGTTCCCAATACATCCTCTGACAAACTACTATCCAACTATGTATGGAAAAGCTTTTTAAAATCTCCCATGTTAGTCTGCTCTGTCTATTTAGTAGATAAAGTGTTGAATTTTTTTTTTTTAAACCAAAAATAAACGTTGACATGAAAACCTTCCTGAACCCTGAATTTCCTCAGACAAGAATTTAAAAATCCCATGCAATGGTCCAAGCGACTTGTAGTTGTATGTAGTATGTATGAAATGAGCCCCTTCTGAAAGCAGGAGTCCCAAAGTACATGTGTGAAAGGGGAGGAGACCTGACATAAGCCTAAGGACAGCAGGGACACAGTCTGGTGAAAGATGAGATGAATGTAAATGTGTGGTTGTGGGCCACAGCAGATGGCAGTCCTTAGGGAGGACAGGTCTTATTGACCATCGTTTTCTTGTAATCAGGCTACAACTGTTTGAGCCAACTGCCTGAGCAGCTCAGATCACATTTCTGCATATCACACCCACGTCAGGGGAATGTCACAATGTGGCAGTGATTTTATGCCAGAGGTCTCAGGTTCTTGTGAAAATTAAAATTAGTTTAAACCATTGTAATAAGGCACTTGATTTTTTTTACTGAATAATTGTGAAATTACAGGCAACTATTTTAGCTAATAATTGAGAAGTCAAAAACATGTCGCCTGATGACAGAAAATCTTTTATTGCAAAGTTTTTTTTTATAAAACAGTCCCTATTTTATAGGGGGTTAGAGAGCTCATCCACCAACTGAAAATTTGGAGGAGGTTTGAGTCCCGCTTGGACAAGTGCACACAGTCAGTGTATTCAATGACAGTCGTGTGCAACGCTCTGAGCTGAACTTTAGGTTAGTGGGCAAATGCTCTAACTGAGCCACTGTGTACAACCCCAAACCTAATGGCCAATCATTAGTTGAGAAGTCTTGGTGAGGCTTGTGTGCTGAAAGCTTTGATTGAGGGAGCAGTTGGTCTGCATGAGGCATGTCGTATGCTGCCTCCAGTCTGTGCACTGTGACAGTGCAGCACATGTGTGAGGAAGAAACTGGGCCTTTGTTCCTTGGAGATGGAGGGCATGCTACGCTCAACCCCACAACAGTTGGGCAAAGGTGACCGTGGCACATGCTGATGCCAAACTACTGCAGCTGTCATCAGGAGATTCTGTCAGGCAAAGTGTACTGATCACTACAACATACAAGTCTCAGGACGAGGCAGCAGACACACCAGGCGGAGCAAGATGAACTGAAGATATGATGTTCATGGGTGACCTGTTAACTTCTACAACAAAAGTGGCTTAACTGTACAGGGTTTGCTTTATTACATAATAATAAAGTGAGGTTCAACTAAGGCTGCTTGAAGAGAAGTGAAATAATGAGCTAAACATACACAAGTGTATGTAGAAAGTAAAGCAAGATTAAATTACAATTACAATCTGTGAGCAACTTTTCATCTCAAGGAAACATGTACATGTGAATTGACCGCACTTATGAGATCACATTAAGGAACAGTATGCAGCCTGCAACCTTCTCTTACGGTTTTAAAAAATCCCACAACTGCTTTTGCCCACTTTCTCAGTATAGGGACAGGTTTCATGTGAAAGCTCAGAAATTTCAGAATTATATTACTGAGCTGTGCTACTAATGATTGGTTGCTGGTGCTTGGGTTCGGGTTTAGTATTATTGGAAACTATTATCCATGTGCTGTCAGAAGACAGCATGTAGAAGATGATGAGACTAATTTGTCTAATTGTTACATAGACAAGGCTTTTGGCTTAAGCAGAATTTCTTCATTAGATTTATTTAATTACAACATTTCTGCAACATATAAAGAACGCAAAGTGGTGGTGAAATGGAATAGATAATTCTTCTTGCGAGAGCATCACCTGTTCATTCACGCCAAAGTAAACATAATTAAGGCTCCGCGTCATGACCGAGGCAACCCTGTATGACTAAGACATTCCATAGACACAAACTGATGGAAAAGCTTGTGAATGGCCTCTGCCCCACCTCTTGACAGTTAATGCTGGTAATGGGCTCTCTTAAGTGCTTCTGCACTTCTGCCATCTTAAGTTGTGCCAAAATCAATGCTACTGTGTCAATCAAGTGTTAAGTCAGTGAAGGCTTCCAGTACGGCTGCTTGGAGAAATTTAATCTTGGTTATTATGTAACATCAATAGTTAACCTGTAGAGGCAGAAATTTTGTGTCATTGTTGTTCTTTGTAATTTTTTTGTGAATCATGTTAAATCCATTGCAGATTTGAGAAGAGGCTTTGTTCCAGATTTTGAGGGGCATAAGGAGTGCGCATATCATTTAGAAGAGGTAAATTCATAGCATTTTCAGTTACTCAGTTTTACTAACTGAATGCAGTAATAATGGTAATCCCTAAACACACTTTGAAAATTGACACAGAGGGAAAAATATATAACAATGTTTAGAACTGCTTAACTCTTAGAGGGGAGAGATATATTTTTAAAAAATACATTCTTGCTTAGGAGACATGTAAAATCGGTCGAACATAACATAAAAAATAGCAAGAGATTTTTTTTAAATCTAACATTTCTCTCCCACTATTTTTTTTAAATAAAACTGTCAACAGAATAATTCCCAACAAAAATATTTACTTTCATCAAATAATAACCCACCCCAAGTAAACAGAGAAAGAGGCTGAAAACACCATTACTTAGAAAACAGACAATGAATAGCACCTAATGCAAGACCCAAAGATCCCTGAGGATTTCACAATGAAAGCTTGTCATGGCACAAGAGACGAGGAAACTGACCGCTGCTCAAAGGAATGCTACAGAGCAGAAGACGTGCAGGTGAATGATGAGACACTCCTCAACACAAGAGCTGGTTTACTTTAGATTAAAGCCTAAGGCTAATCCTGCTGTCTGATGAGCTGGTGTGTGTGTATGTGTTTATATATATATATATATTCTGAATTTCATTATACTATTGTATAATGACAATAAAGGCTTTTAATTCTATGTATATACTTATATGTGTACATGTGTGGGTATGTGTATACTTGTATGTGTGTGTGTATGTGTATACTTGTATGTGTGTGTATGTGTGTTTGTATGTCAGCAACGGGGTGGTTAAGCTGCCCTGGGGTGTAAATTTAAGCTGCTTTACAATGACTCAGTGTAATCATCAGACTGAAGCCAAAAGATTTTATCTCGATAATGTCCTAGATAACCAGGCAGAACATTAGGGTATTCAATTTTGTATTTAAGTTATATTATCTATTGTATATAAACTGTAATATTTGGTTTATTAGTCATTAGACTAATATAGACAACTAGAATAGAGATTTAATTAGTAAGAAATACACTAAGTCCTTTGTAGAGACATCAGCACTACAGGGTGCCTCATCCTGGTGAAGATACTAAAAAACTGGGCCGCTGTCTCCTGACTTTCTACACAAACAAAGATGACCAACAAGGGAGGCTTTTGTAATTTACAGATAATATGCAATTGAGTCCAATCAACAAAGTCAACTTTGCAGTGGAAATGCAAGCAGCACAGAGTGGATCCTGGAAACAACCCAATGCCACACAAGTCTGGCACTGGCATCATTCTGCTCTTACTGCACCACATGTGGTGCCATCACAGGAGCTTTTGGCTGAGCACATTTTAAGGGTGAGGGCAGCAGACAATGCATCCATCTGCACAGCCAATCACTGAGGGTATACATTAATCCTAGCCTTTAATGAAGGAAAAGCCCAGGCCATAGTCCTGCCATTGGAACGTCAATTTAAGGAATTTTCATGTCAGTGGGAGGAGGCACTTTAATTGATAACATTTTATATTGCCTTTGTAAAAATGTGATAACATTTTATGTAAAAATCGTGATTTATATGTGTAAAATACATAATTATATTTCCTACAATACATAATGGCTGAGAAAATTATGAAACATTTGCCTGATGGGATTACTTTTGATGTGAAAAATAGGATTTGTTCATTTAATATGGCACTCGGGGTTTTATGTCTAGATTCATGGCACAGGAGCTGTGCCATGGCTCCTCCTGGTGGTTAGGTGCAGTCACTGGGATAACTGACTGCATCCTGTTGACCATTATCACCACAGTAAGCATCAAAATCTGGATAAATGGTGCTAGGTTTGATCACACGACACAGCCTCCATAGCTTGTATTATCAAACACAGGGCACAGATAAGTGGATGTGTCTTTAATCTCATTTACCTGAAGATGCAAATCAGCTTATGATGTTAGATGAGTGTCTCATTTTAAGCAACATTAACAGCTTCAACATCTATGAGTGTACGACTGACTACTGTTGCCAAAATCTGGCTAATCTTATGATCTGCCCCAATTTCAATGATCATCTGATTATCTTAAAAATAGCCTGTGTGTCACTATCTCTGTAGTGATAGGTTCTCACATTTTAAAAGGTAAAAGAATAGTGGTGTAACAATATCCAAGTCTTACGATACGATATTGTCACGGTATGAACTTCACGGTATGATATTTATTGCGATATTTTATGGAGGCTAACAAAACTGTTGCTATGTTACTTTTTCCTCTTAAAATGCCTTGACAAGACTTAATCCAAAGAACTAAGACTTAAAAGTGCTTAGAACTGCTATTTCTTCTTGTAGTCTACTCTGAAATGGAGCAAAGGATCATGGTGTATGTAGCTCCCTGTGTGTTTTTTTTTATTTTATTTTTTTATTGCTGTACTATAACTCCTAATTTAAGCAAAGAGACTTGTAATTCCATATATTGTGATGGTCCATGATATTATTGTGAGAACTTTGACGATATAATATGACAATATTTCGGTTATTGTTACAACTCTATAAAAGAAGAATACTGCAAAAATCAGTAGGTCTAAAATGATAAAACGGTTGCCAATTTGACAAGATACCTGCTGTACCAACTAGTCACAAAAGAAACCATTTTATGGGTGACCATCTGTGTTGAACTGAGGTTTCTGCATATTTTCAGGTTAGCTTAAATTTTATTTACAACTCTGTTCTTTCTGAATAGTATTGGTAGCGGGATAAATATTCAGACTCCAAAGTACAGAAAAGAGGAAGACAAGTGTTGCCACAGCAAACTAGAGCTGACTTGTTGTGATTTTTCTTTGTCTTGGAATAAAGAATTCAGCAGTAACAGTGGCAGTTATGAAGGAATTCCCAAATTTAAGGGTGAATACAATATTTGGTAATATTAACAATCATATACTCAACCAAAGTATACCAAAGCAAAGCAAATTAACATTTCCCTTACAATTATATTCCATGTTCTCCATCAAAAAGAGCTGAAATAAGTCATTATTAATGTTGTTCAGACATTTACTGAGACAAAACCCCTCAAATAGAACTACCGAGATTTATAAATCACAGAAGTTCATTAACTCAAATTGTGTAAATACTATTAATGGTATCTCTGGGTTTCAGAATGAGGAAAAACTAGGACAGTTGTCAGCCAATTTAAAACAAAATTTAAAACAAACATCCAAGAATACATTTTTAATATTATATATTTTGAATGGGGAAAAGTTCTCCAAATGCTGCATAAAAGAGGAAGTGAAATCCATGAATACCCATAGCAAGCCTGTCAAAGCAGCATGTAAAAACAGACAAAAAAAAAAAGCAGGCATGTGCGGGCAGACATCTCACCATCTCTGTCATCTATTGAAGATGTTTTGCAGAGTTGAGCCGATAACAGGAATGCAAAGGCAATACCAGAAACACAACAGCAAAGCAACAGTAACATTTCCTTTGCCACAGTGCAGCCTTGGGCTTTAGGAGTGCACACACTGTCAGACAGAGGATGCAAGTGGGCATGTAAAAACCTCTAGATATTGTAATGTGAGCATTTGATTCTATAGTGACTTAATAGGGTGGAAATGCTATCTAATGACCCAAGGCAAGTGTTGCTGCTTACCAAAGCATGTAGGCTATAATACAAACGGAACTATGACTTCCTTCCTTTAAAAATCCCTGTCATCCATTTTGGAGCATCTAACACAATTCTTATCAAATTAGAACAAAGAGAACGGAAGATGTTATAATTGACCCAAATTTGAAAACTGATAAATCATAGGATGTAACTTTAAATGTGGTTGTCCTTTCCGGGCAAGTTGTCAAGAGAAGAGGACTGTGTTAGCAGCTGCTAATCAGCAGTAAACACCAGGGTAAACACACATCAAAATAGCAGAGACTCCAAATCGACAAATCACGGTGGCTCACTTACCTGAATGAAATGTGAAGACATTGATCCCCGGATCTAGTACAGTGCCCACGGCTGACCTGCCCGGGGGTGTCACGGTGTTACTGCCGGGATCTCTGGGTCTCCTCCCGACACCACTACTCCGACTCCCTCTCCCCTGGTGCGGCTGGGACGTGTGGGGCTGCGGTGGCAATCCGGTCGAGGTGCTCTCGCCGACCCGGCCTACCTGCTGTCCCATCCCGACAGATAATGTAAAACCAAAATGCAAATACCCGTTCTGCCTCTGCTTCACATTCCCCAAAAGTAAAGCGGCCTGGCCCAAACAGTCTTGGCGATGATCCCCTCCCCAGTCTCTTCACAGGGCTAACCAGTGCTACTACCTCGTTAGCCTATTAGCCTGTTAGCAGTTCAGAGTGAAACCCACCCACCCTTCCCCGGACAATAAAAGCACAAAGTTTTCGTGGGACTCTTGTTGATTCAATTTGTATACTCCCAACGCTACTGGAGAATTTCTGAACGGTGCCACGCGAATCCTGTTCCCACTAAAGCAAACCTTTAGCAGGGTTTTGGCGTTGTCCGGCCACTACGCGCCCCCTCTGCCGCCGCCATCTTTACCGCAGAGCAGGAGATGTGTTGCACACAAGAGGGGGCTCCACATCCTCCTCCTCCACCGCTCGGTACTCTATGCACATGGATCTATCCATGCAAGGAAGGGACCTAACTACCGCTACACATTAGAGAATATTTTGTTAAAACTGACATTTAGAACCAATGAAAATCAGCATTGTTTGACAACATTTATTTTTCATAGTAATATTAATCCACAGTTAATTTAAATAACTTCATGGCTGAACAGATAAATAAATAGTAACTTCAAAAATACAAAGTATGTAGATCTGCAGTATACATCATTATGAACGTTCTCATTAAGACATAATAAACTAATACATATAGCTCACAACAAAACGTAATGAGATCGTTTAATCAAAATTCTGATATGTCTTGACATTTGTGCATATGTGGTCCATTGGTAGTTAATACACTGCCACCGTGTGGTCATATGTATTTTGAGCAAGAAGAAAATGTGGGTGAAGGTCTTTTTGTCACGCGTCAGGTAACATCTTAAGACAACAATTTATTTCAGACAAACTTTATATTGACACATTATTTTACCATTATATGGAAAGCAAGTTCCATGTGCATGGTAATCCATACAGCATTAGTTCGAAAAAATTCTTTCACCAAATGTAGTCAATATTAAAGCCAATACCATTACAGTCTTTTCACTGTAAATAATAATTTTCTGAATAGTACTTGAAATTAATATTTGTATTTAGCTGCCTTTTCATTATTGCAAAGACAAGAATAAGTAGCCCCATTTATGTGTTTAAGTGTTAGAAACCCATAATATGCATAAATAAAATAAAGAGACCTAGCTAGATTTTTGTGTAACTGTAACTTAAAACAAAGTAAAGCTGTTGATGTTTTAGTTAAACTTTTGATACACTTGATTGGTAGGTGTCTATTCATACATTCATTAATTTCTTGTGCATTATAATAAAACAACCATGTAAGAGTAAGAAAGGCTGGCTGGCATTTACTCAAGAATCCTCAGGGGTAGCAATCCAAACACAGGTTTTAGTCTGCAATTGTACCTCTCTCACAGCTCCAGGATCGCGGCTTTAATAACTCAAAGAAGGCGGGCTGTGAGACAAAACAATTACCAGGGTAAATCATTGTATTACTGTTAGATTACATGCATGACAAAAAGGCAACTGACCTCTTTCAAAGGGCAGTAGATTTGGGCGTACCACTCCTGAGAGTACAGACAGATAATGACACCCTGGCCCAAAAACAAGGAAGTCCACATGATGATGTTCCAGATGGGTCCTTTTCTTTGGTCATGTAGAATAAAGTTAAACATCACTATAAAATAACATGAAAGAAAAGAACAACGCAAGTGATTACTTTTACTGAATATTATAATGTTTAAGATTATCATTCTATTTCTTACTTCCAAAACACATGAAGAGGCAAAACAGTACAGGGTAGAAGAAGCCAAAGCAGACTGCGAGGATGTACTCATGGACCACAGCGGACACTGTGAATACAAAAAGCATGGCTCCTGCTCGAAAACGTTTCTGTGATATCTGGAAAAAAAAAAAAAAAAAACACACACACAAAACATAATAGAAAGTTTGATCCTCTAGATTTTGAGGCTGCTTGTCTTCTATGGATGTTATTTCTTTGCTATGTTTCAGTCCAAACCAATCCACTTTTTTTGTATAGCACATTTAAAAAAAACAACGTTTCCAAAGTTCTGCACAGAAAAAAGTAATAAATAATAAAGTAAAAAAATAATAAAATTAATAGACACAGGGAACCATACAACTCACACTGTGTTAAAAGCCAGAGGATAAAAGTTGGTCTTAAAACAAGAATTACAAAACTCCACTGTCGGGGCTGTTCCGATTTGGGGGGGCAGAGTGTTCCTGAGCCTAAGGCTAGCCACAGAAGGGTCCCCCCAGTGTTAAGTCTTTGGCCCTCAGACCTTAAAGCATGTGACGCAAGGGATTGTAAATCTGAATGAGATTCAAAATACGTTGTGTGGCAAGTCCATTCAAATCTTTAAAACAAACAAGAAAAGTATTTCACAATATGCCATTAAAGCTCTACATCCCTCCACGAAGACATGCAAGACGCACCAGAACAGATTTTTTTTAGGAATAAAAATATCTACCGGTAATTGAATAAATGTAACAGCAACAACAACAAAAATATAACACCATCCTGTGAAACATCCCAGGCAAACCACTGACATCTCCATAAAGACAGGTGGCAGATCCTCCACCAGAAACGTTACATAGAGTACCTTTGAACATTGCATGCTTAAATATTTAGCAAAAGTGCAAAAAAATTTTTTGTAAGGATAGCAAATATTTTGGAATTAAAATCAATACTGTGACCCAAATATAGAAACAAATATTTTACTGACCCACAGAAAGTCACGATACACATAGTAGTAAAGCCAATCATGAACCACCACGTTCCATGTGCGATAGTAATTGGCAAAAGAGGTTGAATTCCACCAGTCCTAGGACACAAAGCAAAGGGGATTATACAAAATTATAAACATAAAAGTGTGAACATATTTCCTGATTGGCAATATACACCTTGTAAAACATTCTGTCAGCAAAACAAAGCATTTCAGCGAAAGCATTCAGCCAGCAATGAAGGAAGGCAAAAAATCCCAAGAACAGAACTAATACTCCTGCAAAAGAATACCTCCACAAGTTAAGTTTATTTTATTTATAAAACATAAAAATGCATATAAATACCACTCCAGATAATTATACCTGGTAGTATTGAATTGAAGACGCATAGAACCATGGCCCGTAGGTCAAAGAACTGTAGACTGATGCTGCGAAATTGAGGAATGCACAGCCGTACAAACACATAATAGGCATAAAACAGACTGCCTAGAACCTGTTGATAAACAAATTAATATTATACCATTATACCATATATATGAGGGATAATGTTATGTTGTACCTGAAGAAACTTTGTGGCCACATAGCCCCATCTTGTCACTGGGTTCCTTTGGAGAAATGTGGTTGGATTTAAACAGTATTTTATCAGTGGTATCAATAGCAATGTTACAGTTAGATTTACCTCGGATATTTGTCTCGATAAATAAGAGTTGGAGCAAATAAGAAATACAGATAATGAGAAACCTGAGGGACCTGTGGGATGGGGCCTAAGAAAATGCACATTTGGAATTAGTTAGTATAAAAGGTGCAAGGTTTATCATTAATGTAACAATCAATTAACATACTCCCTTTATCTTTGGTCCAAGATAACACTTTTGGCACATTTTCTCTAACAAAAGAATGGACTTTCATACTCAAGCGGACCTGCAATTCAGACACATTTAAAAGTACAATACAGTATTTTGTTGTTTAATGATGGTTGATAAAAAGTGAACTACCTGTTCTAAGATAATGATGAAGCGGGACGCAGGAGGCAAATTGTTGATCACAACAACATAAGCAGGCAAAAGTCCCAGACCCAGAGCCTGGTACAGCAAGTACACAAAACCAAACAGCACAGTACAGAGCTTGGGATAACTGTAAGAACCAGTTTGACTCTGGGACCAAAAATAGAACAGTGTGTACGGCACCACAAGGACAGACAAAAACATGCAAATCCATGTGCAGACCACCAAAGGAAACTGTCCGAACGCATAAACAAGTAGGTCAAAATCCAGAACAAGTCTAGGGGAAGAAAAGACACTCAGAACACAGTATTTGTAGCATTAAGGCGAGGAAGTTCAAAAGTTGACTCAACCGCACCTGCCTTTATCCAAGAAATCCACCACTAAAGTACTGAGGATGAAGAGAATGAGCAGGGCAATGAACATGTGGTAAATGGTCCTAATGTGATTGACTTCAAACAATTCACTGAAAAATAAATGAACAAAGAACACATATTCTGTTTTAATCTCCCTAAATCAGAAGTTAAAGTTGCACAATGTAACTTTTCCGGCAGTCTGCTTTTTTTTCTGATCCATGGACATGCTATTGCTTTGTCTTGTATATTTCATGGTATAACTTGAAACTCATTTATTTTTGCATTGTTGGTGTTTTATTACTAGAAATGACCTTGCATCTTGGATTCACCTGCTTGCCTCTGTGGAGGCAGACAGATTTAATGCCATACTGTGGAACATTCCAGGCAAACCTCTCCATGGAAAGACAAGCAAGCAGCATATGGTGGCATATTATTGGATGAAAATTGTTCAACCAAACTTACTCTAAGAGAGACCGCCGACTCACAAATTGTTTTCCTTGTCCATGAGGGGGACGAAAATGCCTAAAAGCAATAGAATAAAATAATCATAATTAATATAAAGATAAAGTGATATACACATGAGTTTTGGTGGTACCGGAGTTTGTTCCTCTCCTTGTCTGATAGGGGCGGGGAGAAGACAGCAGATACTGGTGCAGGCTCTAGACTAGCAGATTCCTCAATGAGACTGTCCATAAAGTCATTGACGTGGCTGTCAAACTGACGCATCAGGTCACTTTTCAGGAACTTAGGGACACAGAAATAAAATATTTACAGATCACAAAGATAAACAAGAAACAAAATGAGATAAGCAAAAATAAAAAATTTATAAAACTAGCAAATGCCATCTTTTTAATTTTGTTTATTTCATCATTAATACAGAAAGTGCAGAGAGGCATATACAACACACAAGATAACAGTTCCCAAATAAATAAAATAAAATAAAAACTCATTGTTGTTAAAAACAAACAAACAAAAAAAACCTCCTACCTCAGCCCTTCTTTTTAGCTGTAGTTTTTTGCTTATTACGTGTTCCACTTCAATTTTTCCTATGTGCAAAATCAAAAAAGAAAAAAACACATAAAAGGTTAATAGTTAGTAGTAACAATAGTGGTTTGACATGATATGGCACACCCATATTTATATAATGACTTGAGAAACAGCACCATTAATTACTAGGCCTACAGTAAGACACTTGGCTAGTCTTAAGGTTTATACTTCAATAAAGCAAGTTTATCAGGTAAATCTAAACTATAAATAGATGTTCTTACCATTTGTTTTCAAGTAGTTTTCACCATTTTGTGGGTGTTCTGTTTGAGATCCACCATCCATGGTGTTGTTGAGGTCAGGAGAACTGGCATTTTAGGAATGGCACGACAGCGGGACCGAAGGACACTTTCTTCCTCAGTGTCCATCCTATGTCAGACCCAAAACAAACAAATGTGAAGTCCAAAAACTGAGAGTCGGCAGCATTAGACATTTACAAAAACCCCGTGTCTGGAAATAAATAAATGATAGGTAAAGGCAGCTGTTATTTTGACTGAGAATAAAGAAGAGGGATCTCAGTGATACACAATGCAAACACTGCCAGTTAAATGAGGCTCACATGACATGAGCAGGATGCTGCCTGTAGCTGTCACTTCTCTGCTAGCCGCTGCCATACCATCTGAAACTAGGATTTTGACATGCTGTCCTCTAAATCACTCTGATTACCCGATTCTGCCGCTTACATTCCACAGATTCTTAGTGACTAGTTCTAGAGCCATCTTAACAAATAAACAACTTGTTTGCGTCTCTCAATAGCCTTCACGCGAACAGACTGGCGCTGGTAGCCTACACAATTTATAACACGTAGCTTACTTCCTTCCTCGGATTTTATTCGTCGTTGTTGTCTGGACTAAAAAGTGCGTCTGTCCTGGGTGATCGTGTGCGATGCGTGCCTAAAATGTGCAGCAGCGACATCAATGTGAGTTTGAGAGCAGCACATATAGACTGTAAGGCTGCACACCTTCTCCATTGTATAAAACTGAGGAGAGCACGCGCCTCGCGCTGATTGGCCTCGTGTCTCTCCTCCTTTTGACGTCACTGGAGAGCGTTGGACTCAAGACCATGGAGCTATTAAAATAACAGCTCAAGACTCACTCATCAACTTTGATCTATTGTGTCTAGTCCTCGAGAAGGTCAATAAAGGAGTAAAGGCTATTGTATATTTTATAATAGGTATTTTACTTAGTCTTATTGTTAACAAATAGAAACTATTTATTGTCACGGATTTGTTTTTTCTTTGCGCTGTACAGGAGCCATTCAGTCCACAAATGGGGCACTGAGGAGTTTTCATGATGCTGGTGCCTTGGATATTACCACAAATTCCGCAGGCTGTTTGATTAGCTTTGCTTCAGTCATTTACTCTGAGGACTTTGGAGAGCTTTGTACATTTGACTCTGCCCGTTTCCTTCATGTTGATGTCATAGGGGACTTCTTTTATTTATAATAAGAGCCATGCAAACTTGGGAACACACTTTGTGGGCCTAGCAAAGTACCTTTAATTTCGGTCGTGTCTTGTTCTAGATACAGTTTTTATGTATGTTTGCTTACCAGAGTCAATGAAATCGAAGCGCTGTAAAATGTTTTATTTCATTTTATTGCATCTGATATAATAACACCAATCACGTGACCTAATAATGAGGTATAATGTGGCATATATTAATTAAATATCTAAATGGCTAGAAATAACATGTTGTATGAATGTATGTGTATGATTAATGAATGATATTTTATACAAAAACAGCAAAACCTTTTGGATGCATATTATTGAATAAATAAATAAACTATAAATAGAAACAGGACAATGATCACAGAAAACACAGAGGACCTAAAAGAACAGTAACATCAGTAACATTAAATAGTGCTTCACTTATTTCAAAACCAACATCTCTGACAGGAAGTAACTCCATGTCACCGTGATGAGGCTCGGTGCTCCCCACCATCCTCACAGCTAACTCAACCTAAAAAGAAAAGAAAATATTTAAAACACAATAAATTATTATTTAAGTATTATACAAGTATGTCTTACCTCACAGCCTCTGCTATTCTCAGTGATAAAGTGTGAACTTATTTCTTGGTCAGTGTTTCCGAGGATGTGAAAGACCCCGTTTAATGAATTAGTCTTGCCACCAGAGGACGGCAGATTTGTGATACAGCTGATGGTCATGTGCTGAAATGATGTGTGGCTGTGCAACCGCAGAAATCTTAACTGCACAACATCCAGTCCTGCATAATCAAACTATTAACACAAATATATTATGCTAGATACAAAGATATGTAATTTAGCAAAATGATAATGATTCTAAGTTACTTTGATTCCACCATGTTGCTGACTCAACCAGCTGACAGATCTATTTATAGACACCTTTTCTGGCCTCCATTGCATGTTTTTCTGAAAATCCAACAAACCAAGAAAAATAATACATTTTGTTAAAACTCTGAAAAGTACAAAAGCTTACAGTATTTAACCTGTGTCCGTAAAGGGTCTAAGCATGTTGTTCCTCCAGCTGTAAAGTTGCAGAACACCTTCAAAGCATCATATGGACAGCCATGGTTTGGGTCTATGAAATAGTAACCTAAAAAATAAATGCATTATTTATCTGCTATCCTAGTATGTTCTGAAAAGTATGACTCATTTTCACCATCAGTTAGATGGGGCTGCACGAGTTCTAATTCAAGGCAGGTTGCAGCTGGATTCTCTTCAGTGCCCAGTGGCCAGATGAGGGATTGATCGTTTATCTGTGACCTCTTGGGTCGTCGCCTGTGAGTCTTCAAAGATGAAGAAAGAGTAAAGGCAGTACTAATGGAACGACAGCACCACATGTACCAACCTTTTTCGGACCTTCAGTCACAGAGCCCTCTGTGGATCTTGTTTTGGGACTCATTCCAAGTCCTTGTTTTGGTTTAGGCTTTTTCAGGGTTTTTTGAGTGAACTTGTGTTTTCCACGAGCTCCGGGTTTTCCCTTTTAAGCATTTGACATAATTAAGATTTTTCTCAGTTGCTCTAAGCCAATTATAAAGTACACAGAAAAGACCAGTTTTAATTGTGCCACATCTTACAGGAGGTCCACGCATTCCCTTTAAACCTTTTGGTCCTTTGTTCCCTTCAGTACCCTTTAGTCCCTGTAACAGGCACCAGTATGTAAAATAAAAAAAAAAAAAAAACGTGTATTTTCAAATTAATGCTTATTATGTAGAATTAAACACTAGAAGCACAACAATGAGGTCTGACCTTGTTTCCACATTGTCCCTTAATTGATAAAAGAAATGAAGACAAAATGAACGCTATATTATACATGACACGCATACTGTATCTAAGAAATTGAAATGAAACATACAGGATGCCCTAGGAGCCCTGGTCGTCCTGGTGGACCGCGTGGCCCTATGTCCCCCTGTGAGCATAGGAGACTCTGAATGCCTTCTGACTTATACACCACCACTATGAATAAATAAACACAGAAACTACCTTTTTTCCTTTTTGACCCTTTGGACCCTTTACCCCCTCAGTACCGGAATTTCCCTGTAGTATAGATAGTAGATATTAGTAAATATTAGTAGAATATTTTAGCAGGAGATACAGCCATACTGATTTCACTTACTTTAAGCCCCTGAGGACCAATGGAGCCTGGTAACCCAGTGCCACCGGTTCTGCCCTGTGGGCAAACAAAGAAGAGGGGGCTTAGGGAGGACAGGATAAAAGATGCTACCCAACCCATTCTTCATAACAATTACACACATACATTATATAATTGCTAGTTACAAGAGCAGGATGAAAAACTGAAGGAGTTGTGCTTCTATTTACAGTAGTATTTTATTTTCTTACCTTTGCACCTTTCACTTTAATTTTTCCTTTTTCACCTCTAAGTCCAGGGAGGCCCTATAATCAAATTAGTTTGCGTCAGGATTAGGATGCACAAACAATATGCAAATCATGCACTATAACATGAAAACATACTTTTGGGCCAACTGGTCCTGGAGGTCCTTGGTCTCCAACTTGTCCATCTTGACCCTGAACAACATATTTAATCATACATGTACAAGTTTTTTTCCCTCTCCTTCCATGAAGATTCTGACTCATTTTCCACCTTAAATCCTTGAACACCAATGTTTCCAGAAATTCCAGGTGATCCAGGTTTGCCCTGAAATCACAAAAAGTATTAGGCCAAAATTTGGATTAGTGTGCCGAGGGCCCAATCTAATTATATTTGCATATAACGTTTATCTGTAATGAGATTTATGATGAAATTGTTATTAATTCTTGTGGTTTTATGGGAATAGAAATCTCAGGATCCCTTCACAGACTAAATTAAACCCCATGGTGGGACACTTTTTGGGCACCCCTGCTTTAGTGACTCAAACGCACTTATGAAAAACCAAAAAATCCATATGAGACTGCACAGACAAACCGGCTTTCCTCCTTTCAATAAAATTTATTTTATTATAGAGAATGGAGCTCACCATTATTCCAGGCACGCCAATTGCCCCACGAGGACCTTTGAAGCCAATGTCACCCTAAAAAGATGCAAGGATTATAAGAGTGTCTGTACAACCAAAACATTAAGGTTTCAGTCCTTTCTTACAGGATCACCTTCATTACCCTCAACACCAAGTAAACCATCCATACCAGCCAGACCCTGGGAGCACGAACATTATAATGTCAAAAATAGTATTAACATTGATTCCGGCTGGACAACTTCAACAGACAATAAGATACTTGCTGGTTTCCCTCGCTGTCCAGTTGATCCCCATTTTCCCTGTGGCCCTGCAGGTCCCTGGAAAACAATATGAAATATCAAATAGATGTTGTACATTTAAGTGACAATAGATTACAATAGCTAGATAGATTACAATTGTAGAAAAACTGATGAATTTAAGGAGCACCTGACTACAAAGATCATGGATAAATTGTTCCTAGGGGGGCTAAACTGTCCGGTGGTCATAGGAGTAATTAATTAATTCATTAATCATTGCATTTATACAGGGCCTTTCAAGATACACAATGCGCTTTACATTTCATTATTCATTCACTCGACACTAAGTGGTGGTAAGCTTCTATTGTAGCCTCAGCTGCCCTGGGGCAGACTGTCAAAAGAAAGGCTACCAATAATATGGGTGAAGTGTCTTGCCAAAGGACACAATAACAGTTTTTGTGACTAACGCCCCACTGTGGCACCTGGAATTCCCAGTGGTCTCCCATCCAAGTACTACCCAGGCCAAGCCCTGCTTAGCTTCTGAGATTTGACGGGATCAGGTTTGACAAGCTGGTATGGCCACATACTAGGACTATTCGTATTTTAATATCTGTCATATTTTAATTCAACTTTTTGTATATTTAGTAAAGAAATTAAAACCACAGTATTAATAATAAATACATGCTTTCATAAACCATGGCGTATCATACAATATCCATTTCACGTATACATCAGATTTTATTTTATTTTTTTACATGTTTTACTCACAACTTTTCCTTGAAACCCTTTCTTTCCTTTCCTTCCAGGCAGCCCACTATTCCCCTTTGGAAGACAGAAAGTTTTGAGTATCTTACAGAATATGTAAATTGTGCAATGCAATGTATTTTCATAATTAATTAAATACAATATTTGTCCTACCTTTGATCCCTGAGATCCTGTGATTCCTGATTGTCCGGGAGGGCCTCTGGGTCCAGTATGCCCCTTAACACCTGTAGGGCCTTTCAATCCCAATATCCCATATTTACCCTATTAAGAAACAAACATCAGATGACACTACAAAGTTTTATAGAAACAAGTTACCTGAACAGAAAGTAAATCAAACAAACTAAACCAGTTAATACTGTGTAAGTGTCTTATTTCTTGTATTACCAAAGTGCCTTGTTTCCCAAACTCTCCTTTTGCTCCCTTTTCCCCTTTAACATCCTAGACAAACCAAAAGCCATACACAGAGTTGTTACATCTTCTGATTATTATTAAGTATATCAGATAACCCTGGAGTGCTTATATTTTACAACCATGTTGCCTTTTCTGCCAAACAATCCTGGTTTACCCTTCTCCCCTTTACTTCCCTGAAGAGTGAAATGAAAGGACAGAGAACATTTAGCACCTAAACAGATTAAATACAAGTTAATACAACTGCAGCTGCATAAAGATAAAACAATACTTACCTTTGGTCCAGACAAACCCTTTTTACCATTAATACCTCTTTCTCCAGGTAATGCCTACAAAACATAACATAGTTATAGTTTCATTTTGATACAAACCACTTGTTCTAATAAGTCATACTGGTGGTGATGGTCCAATTTGTCCAGTAGGTCCCCTTGTTCCAATAGGACCCTGAGTCAAATTAAATATTTTATTTTTTTCATGGACAGCTTTACTTGAAAGATTTGGTCAAAGTAAATAATAACAGTTTAAGTACAGTTGCTCACAGTAATACCGATGGGACCTTTTTGTCCTTTCACACCAGGTGATCCAGTATTGCCCCCTGGGCCAAAGATCCCAGACTTCCCAGGAGAACCTCTTTGACCCTTCTCTCCCTATGTAAACCAAAACCATAACATGACAAGAATTTGTACTCAAATTACCACTATTGTATTTATTTTGTAAATTTCACCTTCAATCCAATTACTCCGTGATTCCCTCTTTCACCTGGTATACCTGTATGACCCTGTTGATCACATCACCATTGATTGTTATTGTGAAGTCATTATAATCAAAAGTATACAGTATAATATTTAGTGACACCAGTACACTTTTTCACACCTGTTTTCCTGGGAATCCTCCCATGCCTAATGGACCTTGGTTTCCTCTCTCTCCCTCTGATCCTTTTGACCCCTTTTGTCCTTTGGGGCCAATATTTCCTTTAATACCCTCAAAATTGCATTTAAAAAATACACTTAGTAATGGAACTCAAAGCCAAGTATTGAAAAAAGCATCAGATGCTTACAAACTCTCCTTTTAGTCCTGTTGGTCCCTCTTGTCCATTCAATCCAGGTAGACCCTGAAATGTTTAAAGTGTTCCAGTTCCATACAATAAAACAACAACAATAAAGCAACAATAGAATGAGTATTATGAAAGCATGAATATTAAATTAAATGCATGCTTGTTATCATCACTAATTAATCTACCTCCTCACCATCGACACCAGAAACTCCCTTTTGTCCAACAGCTCCTATGGATCCCTGAGTAAGTGGACAAAGCAAAACTATATTTAGTTGTTGAAGGTGGTGTGTGTAAATGTACAATATTTTGTGTAATAAACAAGCTGAAGTTTCATACCTTATCTCCTTTCTCACCCGATGGTCCAGGTAACCCCTGAGGTCCGTCTTTTCCCTAAATATACATGTTTAATTTGTTTGTATTTGACAATACATTATACTATTTTATTTACAACAGACTTACTGGATCCCCTTTAATCCCAGTGGGCCCTGCTTGACCTTTCAGGCCCTGGTCCCCTGAGGCACCTCGGGGCCCAACCTCACCCATCACTCCAGTATTCCCCAGCGGTCCCTACAAGTATCAGTGACTTCAATGAATGTTTATCTACATCTGAATAATAAGCACAATGCGCACATTCTTACATTAGGTCCTTGTAATCCCTGAGGGCCAGGCACGCCCATCTTCCCCTATAACACATAAAGGCATGTATGACATGAATACACAGTATGCTGCATGTAAGTGCACATAAAGGGACAGATATACAATAATAACATGTTACTCACAGAAGAACCTTCTTTTCCTGTTGAACCCTTTTCACCTTTTGTGCCCTTGACAAATGAATGCTCAGTTTTCATGTATAAACAAATACAAATCTGTAAAATTCACCTTCAGTCCATCAGTTCCTTTGAGTCCTCTGGACCCTGCTTTGCCTTTAATTCCCTAAAACAAAATCACACCAATCACCTTTGCTGTTTCTCCAGGTGTAATGTTGTATGTAACAGTCTTACTGTTACATACAGCATTACACATTACACCTTTACACCCATTACTTACTCTGACACCTGGTAGTCCAAGAGCCCCTTTATTTCCTCTACTGCCAGATTCACCCTATTGGTCAAAGGTGTAATGTTTTTAATTGTATCACAATAACCATACGTTTTGCAACCATGCTTAATGTGCTTATCTATAAATGAAATAATAAACATGTACTCACACTGCTTCCAACAGACCCCTGAAGACCAGAAGATCCTGTTTTTCCTGCAATCCCCTGAAAGAATTGAATAGGTTACAGACAGGGAAGACTAAGTAAAAAGGCTTCAATTAGATGGACCTACTTTTGCACCTGGTGGTCCATGGTCCCCATTTAAACCGTTAGTACCAGGGAAGCCCTCCGTAACAAGACAGCAGGTATTTATTTACACAGACAGCATAAACGACATGATTAATTTGAACAAAAACTTTATGCACACCAAAGTGTATTCATTGTTCCGATACTTAGATACCTGATACCTACTTGGGATCCAATAGTCCCTTCCAGCCCTTTGTTTCCTGGGTGGCCTTCTTTGCCCTGAAAAATAATAAATATAGACAAATAAATACAATGCATTAATATACATAATAATTTAAAATGTTTATTTAAAAAATTAAGAATACAAAATAATATAATAAAACCTAAATAAATTGCATACAAACCTTTAGGCCTTTAGGTCCAGTCTCTCCCCTAAGACCAGATTTCCCCTACATAATATAATATTTTGTTATATTTTGCTCATTAAAACATATACAAATAGTTCTACAACAAGCTTGGCTGATGTTGAGTTGATGTGAAAAAATATTTTTTAAATATTTTTGATTCAATAACAATTATACTTATAAAATACAGTATGTACAATATAGACAGAAACCTTAATACCAGGCTCTCCTTCAGGACCTCGGTCTCCAGATTTTCCCATCTCTCCCTGAAGCAGACAGAACAGCACTGCTTGTAATAGGTTTGGATCACATAAAAACTGTAATATTAAATTTAATATTATTTTACTCACAAGTGGACCAGGCACTCCAGTGAACCCTAATCGTCCCTCTCTTCCCTTTACAATAAAAAAAACTGTTATTATAAAATGTTTGTTGCTTAAAGGTGCACTATGTGGTTTGGTACTGTCACCTGCCTGTATCCATATTTTTATGCTATTGCTTTACCTTAAATGCTGCACAGTAAGGTATTAATGGATGATCTATCTTGCATTTATTCATCTATGCATTTCTATGGTTCAAAAATACTTTAAAAAAAAAGAACATGAATTCATACTGTGAGCGGTGTTGCCTCTCCACTGATCTGACCTGTGACTTGGCCTGGTGGTGTCACCTGCTTATGTCCATGGAGATATTTTAATGCCATACTGTGGATCATTTAATGTAAAGCAATATGACCTCCACGGAGACAAGCACATGACTCTCCATCAGAAAAGTAACATAGTGCACCTTTACATTTAAATTTCACCAGGAGTGGAAGGCAATACAGGATATGGTACTTCCTTCTTTAAAGGGAAATTCCCTGTACATTTATGTGCAAAAGGCAACAGGCAAACACCACAGAGATCATACAATAATGAACAACAGATTAGTATCAGACATACAGGGCATTTACCTTATCACCTCGAGGCCCAGTCAATCCTTGAAAACCTGTCAGCCCTCTGTCTCCCTGTAAAAGCATATTCCAAAATGTATTTGCAATAAACATGTTACTCTAATGACTCAATCTGATTTACCTTTGGTCCATCAGCCCCTTGTTTTCCTTGCTCTCCAGTACCTCCATCAATCCCCTAATAAAGGAGGATTGGTCAGTATAGGCTATATAAAAAGGCTATATAAAACTTTATCTTACACTGGATCCAGGAAGTCCTGGTGGTCCAACTGGCCCCTGAAGACCCTCGAGTCCTGGGGGTCCTCGAGCTCCTTTTTGCCCGACTTTCCCTGGAGGCCCCAGAGGCCCCTGTAGTTATTTGAGATATACATACATGTTCAAGATTCACAACACTGTTGACTGATTATGTATTTGTTACAGATATGCAAGGAAACTAACCATGTCACCCTTCAAACCTAGACTGCCCTTTTCCCCTTTTGTGGCATCAGGCCCCTGAAAGGAAAATATGCAAAATCCTTGATACTTTGTACAGTGTACAGTGCACATTACAGATCTAGAGTATGCACACAACATTAATCTGAGTTCTTCAAAATAATATTGTCATTAATCTTACGGGATCACCTGAGGGTCCCTGTTTCCCAGGATTTCCTTCTGCTCCCTGAAGTGAGACAGAAATGAATCATCAAACTGCACAGACCAACATCGGACTGAATTAGTTTTATCCTATTTTGATGCAGCTTCTTACAATCAGCCCTGGAGATCCTGGTTCACCAATGTCCCCTTCATCACCTAAAACGCCCTAAAGCACACAACATCATATGTAGTGACTATTTGGTGATTTCTTTTTATGTTGCTGTTTATCATGATGCACTCACTGGGTCTCCTTTGGTCCCAGCTAGTCCAGTAGGCCCTGGTGGCCCCTGTTTTCAAAAGAGTTTCAAAATCAAATGTATAGTTATGTATCCTATTCATACAGTAACTGTGTGCGTCAGACAACATTCATGTAAAATCAAATGTATCATAAACTGTGTACCTGTGGACCACGTATCCCAGGAATGCCAATGACCCCATCAGGACCCACGTCCCCCTAAGAGAGCATTAGTTAGGATACACAATCTAAACACTGGTGTTCTGTTTTATCATGTGTTAGAGAGATTTGTAAACAGTATCACCTTTGGTCCAAGAGTTCCACCAAGACCCAATGCACCCTGTTGACCCTGGCAATTTCAATTGGAAAATTAGCAAGTTTGTGTGTGTGTATGTGTGTATGTGATATATACTTACTCTTGTTCCCTTCACACCGGTAACACCCTTTTGTCCTTTTTGGCCCATTTCTCCCTAAAACATTGTTGGTTAGTTATTATTTTACCAACCTACAGCTAAAGTGTGAAAGTGTGCTAAAGTGAACTTACAGGTAAGCCAGCGAATCCAACATCACCTGGAGATCCAATGCCACCCTAAAACAGAGAGCTGCATGAAGTTCAATCTATTCAGTAGATCTGTACATTTTTATTTGAACTACACTTACAACAGGTCCTGGTGGACCAGGAAAACCAGGAGGGCCCCTGGGTCCAGGAAAACCCTATGAGAAGCTGAAATTACTCATTATTTTTGAAATGTCATTATGAAGTCATTCTTACTTACCATATAACCTGGAATGCCAGTGATGCCAAGTCTCCCTTTATATCCCTATTAGTAACAAATGTATTATTAATACTTATAATAAATGAGATGTAATCTCTAAACAGGAAATTAAACCTTTTGGCCTTTTACTCCTTTATTTCCTTGAAGTCCCACTTCTCCTTGATAACCCTCAAACAAAAACATGGAAATAATTCCAAACAAAAGGTCAACACTAATGCAATGTAAGAGCCTCACTTCAGTGTATATAGTATTAAAACCCAGGCCGGTCTTACCCATTCACCCAGATCCCCTTTAAAGCCTGGTTCTCCACTGAAACCTTTGGCTCCCTGCAGATACACAACCGCATATACGTTTATTATATGCTTATTATGGGAATAATGTAGTAATACAACATAAACGCACCTTCTCCCCTGGTAAGCCTGCAGGACCTGGGTCACCAATAGATCCCAGAGTCCCTTCAGCTCCTGGATGCCCTTGAGGACCGGGAAATCCAGATGGACCTATTTTACCCTGAGGTACAATGTAAACTTCGGTCAGTGTAGTTTGATCAAGTGTAGACTAATTTAATTAACCCGGCTTACAATAACTCCTTGAATGCCTTTTTTTCCTTGTTTGCCAGTGATTCCAGGAGGTCCCTAAATATAAAAAGATATTTCTTTCAGGGCAATGACTTTTTTTGTAACAGCCTTGTATTGTGCAGGTTTGACTTACTTCTGGTCCATCATCCCCAGGAGGACCAGGCATCCCCTGAGAACCTTTGACTTTCTTTACAGGAAGTAAAAATGTTTATTAGTCATTAGTCATTGGTGAAGTTAAAAACTGTATAGTCACCTACCGGCCATGATGAAACAAATTTATTGTAGAATTCTGTTTTCTGTAAATAACATCTACATTTATATACTATTTAAAATTAAATAATATATTGGCATACAAAAATATGTAATTTTGTAAATATAATGTTGTATTATATAATGTAAATATAATGTTATAATGTTGATTATGTATTGCACATACCTTAAAAGTTTCCCATTCTTCTTCAGAGGTTTTAACCACAACTATAGCAGGCATTCCAGAAGGACCAATAGGACCTCTGTATCCTGTCCGGCCTGTCCTGCCCATGATGCCTTCATAACCCTAAAAATAACATTGATCACTTTATATTTCATTAAAATTTACTAAAATAAAATCTGTTACATGGTCCTAAATTTCACCAGGTTTCGGCCAAGAATGACTATTAGAGCTACAGAAAAGGGGTTACTGAAATGTCAAAAGATGAATATAACACATTTCTTAGAGCCTGGACTTTATAAGGATTAAGAGGCTTCTTCCACTCTCACACCAGTGAATTAGTTGGTGGGTAAAAGTGAGCACAGAGCCGTATTAAGCAGAGAAAAACTGAATAATGGCCTCACAAATGTCCTGGAATTATCGAGAAAATGATCTCTCATTCACATCGCCTGTCCTAGTTTACTGTGTTTAATTATTATAATTTTTTTTTATATTTGTATTTTGGTACTTACACATGTATGTTGATATTTGGGTTTTGTTACTACTGGTGTTTTATACTTGGAACAACTATGGTGGCCAAAAAAATACATGTACCTATGTACATGTACTTATTGGTTTTCTAGCATTGGCCAATATTACCACTTTAATAGTCTGTATGTATAGCATCATCAGTGACAAAAATAAAATTAAATGTAACAAACCTTTTCACCCTTTAATCCAGGATCTCCTGGTAATCCAGGAAATCCTGGAGGACCCTAAGAAAACACAAAATAAGATTTTTTATTTATTTTTTTTTAAAGACAATTTGAAATCATCAAATCAACTTCTAACAAATACACAGCATACTGCATGGTCTGCATTCTGACCAGCAGAGGGTGACTGTGTATTGTGTATTGTGTATTGTGTCATCACTTACCACAGCATAGCTACACTCCATCAGCTGTGCTAAAGTTCAACGGCCAACAGACAATTCAATAACATAAATGTGCACAAAACAGTGACAAGAGTGACAATATTAACATACAGGTTTAAAACATACAAAAAACTGAAAAATTACTGGATTCGTTGGTGTTATTGGTTTGTATTAAAAGTATTACAAGTAAACTGAAATACAGCAGTAAAATAAATAGCTAGCTAGCTGTTATTTTGATTTACTAATTATTTTGATACTTTCAGTTTAACACATGGGTCTATGGACAACAGATGGGACTAGTTGGAATTCTCACATCTTTACAATCTTACAGTTTTAGCTTGAAAACTTGATTATTACAGACAACTGTATTCTCAAACTTTTGGGGTTTCATCTTTCATCACTAAACTGAACAATATCGGTATTACAAAATGTTCTAATTGTTATTTTTCTTAAAAAAGTATTGCTATTGCAAAGAGATTAGCAATTTTATGTTTTTATGTAAACACACCCACATTTGAGAGAATACAAGTGCAAATGCATGCATTTGAAATATTCGATACACTTCCTGCTCAACTTGTTTATTTGAAGAGGAAATTACATGACTTATAAAACTTAGTATTAGAATTATACTTTAATAACTGCAAAAAATAAGTGTTAGTAATTTGCTTACTGCAACCATTTTACAGTCCCAGTAGTGTCAATTTTGTCCCAATCGAAAAAATTATTTTAGATCCCTGAAAATGCAATAGGCATCTAAATGACTTCAAATTAAAGACACCTTAATTTTCTCCTGAGATAAACTTATGGCTGCTCATCAGGTACTAGGTACTGAATTTTGGCTCCATCATTGCTTCAACCTCAATTACCCCACTTATTTAGTATTCAGTCCACTGTCCCAGTCTTAACTTATTTTCTTCTCTATATGTTTGTGTTTAGCTGCAAGAATATTGTGAATGAAAAGCAGCTCACCTGTGGACCTCGGAGCCCTACTCTTGAGCTTTGATGTTTGTCTATATCGAGCCATTTATTCACTGTCTCTACAGATGAAGCAGACTCATGCTGTTGCTCCATCTCAGCTTCACTTTCTTGCTTAGTTGCGTTTTGCCCTTTAGTAGGAAGCTCTAATAAAGATGTAGGCTTTGTGTCTGAAAAGTCACTTTTTGATTGTTCATCAAACTCAACAATATTATCCTTATTTAGTCCTTTGCTTGGAGGTGGGATGTTTGTTTTTCCTGCTGCAGAAAAGGTGGTAACACTAGACGAATCTAAGGCAGCTCCTTTGATCAAACTTGGATTTACTTGGACTGGTGCTGGAGCCCTGGTCACAACATTTCCTTTCAATGGTGTAGTGGTTCCTATTGTTTCCTCAAAAAGTTTGTCCACTTGTCTCACAGTTTCAGTAGGTGTAATTATGTCTGAAAAAGTAGAGTTGGTAGCTTTTGTACTCCAAGGTTTTTCAATCAGTCCAAACATTTCAGGTGAGTTCTTCTCAAATAAATATTGGCTGGGATTTGTTGGTTTTTCATGTGCTCTGTGATTTAGGCCTGTCTCTGGGTCGACGGGGATTTCATTAAATTTGTCCTCAGTTTCAGAAATGCGATTTGTTGGTTCTTCATCAGATCCTAAAAATATTTGCTCAGAAGAACTGACTTGACGTAAACTGCCTGAGGGGCTTTCAGTGTTAGATCCAACGGTTGGCTGATCCTCAATAACCTGGGAACAATCAATAAAAATCACTTAAACAACAGTCAAACATTGAAATCATACTTTTGAACTAAATATTTACGCTACGTCACAGTCAAATAAATATTGAGATATAACAATTAACAAAAGCACATGGAAACCAATAGCCTAAATTTATATTGCCTAACTGCCCAAAACAGGTTTCATCATCTCGCTCATACCATATTCTTGTCACTGGGGGCAGAGACGTCCTCATTGTAACTTTCGGAAGCTTTGTACTCTCCAGAAATGAAGGTCATCTGGTGCAAAGTGCCCTAAACAAAATAATAATGATCAAACAAAGGCATTCATAATAAAAAAGATTTAGATTTGGGCAGTTGTGGTGCCTCAATTTACCAAACGGGGGCGCCAAAGTAATTGTATTGCAATTGCTCCAAATCTTTTCCAGCAATTACACAGACTACTCGATTTGTCACATTTAAGTCAATGGTAGTTTAAAAAAATGTACTTAAACTACTGCAACCCTACCATGCACATGCAAGTGTATCCACGTAAGCCAATAATTTGTTGATAATGCCTCTTTTTATGTTGGCTATTACCTAAACTGTGACTCGATTATAAGGCAATAAAGTCACCAATTAATCAATTTAAGCAACTGAATATAATTTACATTTCATAAACACCAAAACAAATTGCTAAAATGTAGGACGACGTGAGAAAATATTTAATTATATTATTAATTTCCAATAGCCTTTATAAATACACGTAAATGATAACAATTAGTTAATAGTGACAATTATTTACACAGATCTTTAAAAGTCTATTACTCCAGCTGTATAGATATAACATGAAGAAACTTACACAGAAGAGGAAGACCAAAGCAGAGCCCCGCATGGTTCTGTTCTGGGATAGTTTGTTTGTGTCCGTGGTTCACCTCACTCACTCCTCCTAAAGGAGCCGTAGCACGTGACCAACACCAGCCCACCTCTGAACAGGCCAGGGTTTGAAAAAAGGTAGCACAATTAATTTATTTCAGTATTTTCCTTGGGTAAAGACACAGTACACTTGCCTTTCCAAACTGTCTCATGTGATTTGAATATAATTCTTTGTTTAGTGGTTTCCAGTGGAGACAACATAAGCTATACATTTGTAAACTTTTATTTGGTATTGAACTTCACACAAGGCTTTCATTCCCCTGTAAAAACTGAAACCTTGCTGAGGAATGTGACAAGAATGAGAGGAGCGGAGGCTACTGTCTGAGCTGAACTTTATGTAGTGAATGTCAGAAGGGGTGTGGGTCTTTATTCTTCATTTATTGAAAGGAACAACAGGGTCAGATCTATGTTCCCACAGAGCTATGTCCTAATTTGTTGGATTGTATGGTTATGGTTAAGGTTAGGACCTGGTTTTGAGATTGTGGTTATGACTGGGGCCAAGATGAGGGTGTGGGTTATAGATTCACTTAAAATTGTTTTAAAATATCTTTTAAGTGTGAAAAAAAACAGGGCTGTGGGGACATAGGCACACTGTTCTTTTTAGCAAGCTTGCCCTTAAAACTTTATTTAAGATTTTATGCACAAACATGGCTCTGATAAGTGCATGTATTACTGGCAATTTTGATAATTCAGGCATTCAATAGAATATGCCTGATGTTCTTTAGGCACAGTGTGCCTAAAGTTGATTTCCAACCTTGCTTATAGAATGCTTGATTATAAACTGTGCCTGTAACACGTATACTTCATAATTGCTTTTTTGTGCAGTGATCTTACAGTTTTAAAACAACAGGTATTCTCCCTGTGGTCCAATAATTATATTGTCATGACCATTCCATTTCAGCATATACATACACATGCTCCAGAGGTGAGGGAGGACCTTCAAACATTGCTTAGCTTCAGAAGGCAAGTAAACTTTCCCTCACAGTGACACTTAACACTTTGATGTAAACTGTTTCACAAAGCTGACACATTCATACAGCATTAGATCATTGTGTCAACAGCCAAAGTCAAGGTTAACCAGACACCAAGAGGTGACCAGAAAACAAGTTCATAGGAAAAGAGTGACTATAGAGTACATGCTTCATTTAAATACAAGGACATTTTTATCAGCTGTTTTGGTGAAATATGAGTTGGAACATCAATACCCCAAACACAAAAGATTAACCTTTAATTATTCTTTCAACAAATACAGTATGTAAACATTATTCTGTCACAGATGCACAGATTCAAGATGTATTTAGCAAATACCTATTCTTTGAACAAAAATGTAATCTTGGATTTAACCTCTTTGGACAAATGTAGGCAGCATAAAGAGAATGGCACTAGGGCTGTTTGATGGGTCATTGGACTATATTCTAACCATTATCAAATTAATTACATCTTTAAATATAGGTTTTCAAAAGTCTTGCTGAAAATGTAGGACAAATGTAACACAGTACAAATCGATTAAAATGAACACTTACTGAATGTTCAGTGGGTTCTCTGTGTCTGATCATGATCATGTACTAGACATTGAGTCAAATGGCACACACGTTCCCTTCACATCTGAAATAATGAGGATGAACACCATGCATGGAGAAAATACTGAGTCTGATCAATAGTGTCTTTGTACTTCCACTCAGAAGAAAGCTTCTGTTATCTTTAAATTCACTTGCATCACGATTAAAGGACATTTTACTCCACCACTTTAGAGAAGGCAACATGACCTGGAGAGGACCCAGCTCTATGTACACAAAGAAAATGGCTTTAATCAGCTGACACTAATAATGGAGGAATAACTGTTACCTGTTTTCTTCATTTATTGTTGTACCATGTGCAGTAGAGATGTTACAGTCTTTTCTCTGCCAGACCTGTAGTTCCTTATTGAATAGGTGACCTTCATATTTTTCTGTATGCACATCACGTCACATCTAACATCAGGAATCACACATAAACTCATCCTGAGTATTGGTCTCTTCTTTTCATATGTGACGTGACTAATGTGACACTGTAGTTGTTTAATGTGTTTGATTTTGTATCTAAATCTTATAACCAGAATAATTTATTCTATAGATTTAGCATACCTCTGAGTACATTAGTTTAATGCCCTTAAGCCATGTTCTTTTGTAAACAGGAAATGCTTGTAATGGCTATTATTGGTTTAAGCCAGAAAATATGGCCAAATTATCTTCATTGCTACTTCATTGTCTATGTACAAGACTTACAAAGAGCATCTAAAGTTACCCAGACAAGACCAGGACTTCCACTACATTCATCAGAAAATGTTCACATGCTACCTCTATCCACAAATTTTAGTCAGAGTCAAGACACCTTGAATCATCTCACCATATGTTGGTCATATGACAACTTGGTGAGGTGAAATGCCTACATTGAGCTACTCATGAATCAGATGTAGTCGTATTTGGCAAAATTTCTCCATAAGGACCCTCACGGATGAATGCACATTTACTGTATGTCCACAATGACAAGACCTGTGGCAGACAGACACCAGTACGCAGACAGAGGTATTTGACCCTGTCCATGATGCTTCTGTGAATCCTTCTCAGAGCCATGGTCCACTGCGGCTGCTGAGCACTTCATGCATTTTACCCCTCTTAGGATTTTAGCAGCGGTCGTCTTCATCTGTGTCACTGAGCAGCTCCGTAGCACTGGCTGGTCCAGCTGGTCCCAAGTGCTTCCTGAAATGACCATTTGGGACCTGCCACGAGTGTCTGAGCTGTGGCGCTGAGCTTATAGCATTGGCCCGGCCCAAGCTGGTAGCTACTGCAGTCTCAAATGTGAGTGTGTCCTCTTTGTCCACTGCCTCACCCCTGCTGAGGTCCTGGTGCAGTGGGAGATACGGCTCGGAGATGTAGCGGTGAGGAGAGGGGTGACTTGGTCCTGAAACCTGATCCCCACTTGGTCCCAGGGCACGGGACTCTTTCTGTACAGAGATGTCTGTAAGGGCATCCTGAGGCTGGCTGGGCCCCTCGGAGGTGGGTGCTGGTGCAGGAGAGGGTGTGGGCCGACAGACCAGAGGGGAGTAGTTGATATAAGGCCGTGGGCGAGACGGAGTCTGGGGAAGCTGTCGGCGATTTCGAGGAGTGCTGGACTCTGAGGCAGAATGGGCAGGACTGCCAGTGGGGTTTACCTTTACACCACAGTTACAAGTTACTTTTAAGAAGTTAGTGTAGTATAGTTACAGTGTACAAGGTAAGCGACATTGTCTACAAACCTGTTTCTGTGTGGTGCTGGCACGCCCCTCACTTGGGGAGCGAGATGGTGGACCTTCACTTGAAGGGTCCCGACTTCGCTCTTCAGAGTTGCACCGTGAAACATCAGGGGACAGTAGGTGTCTCCGCTCCCTGGATCGGCCCCTCTCAGTACTCATGGCTTCTTTGTGGTTGATTCTAGGGCCTAAAGACACTTAACGTTAAGATAAATGAAGAAAATGCTGAGAAAATTACACAATCACAAAAATGTTGTCTTGTAGACCTCTGTAACTTCTTTGGCGTGGCTTGTACGTGCTGTCAGGACTAACTCTCTCTAGAGAATACTGTTCTTGCCACAGACCATTCACACACTGATCGCCAATGGTGGAAAAGGAACGCTTCATCAGCTTACTGTCTGCAGCTATCCCAGGCTACAGAGAAGAGAAGAACACAATTTCAGAGATTCAGAATATCTCCATGATATCCTCTGGTCATACCTGTGGCTCCACAGCCAGTCTAGGCATTGACGATGCTCTTATGGAGGCTGTGCGCTGAGGGGATCTCAAACCTCCTGGGTCCTGTTTGGCCTGTTGCATTGCATTGTTGTATTCTACAACATCAGGTACCTACAGATAAAAACAAAAGAGGAAACTTTAGTTTAGGTAACAATTGCAGTACTAGCTACTCGATGGACAGAAGATTACCAGTGTGTGTAAATGGTGGTGATAGTGCAGGCGTGGATATGGATGATAAGGGGAGTGGTACTCGTCCCCCTCTTCCTCTTTCTTCAGCTCTCTGGAACAGGACAGTGGCTGAAGGAACATCTCTTGAGGAGAGACTGGACTGAGAGCTACAAAGCCTCCTCTAGTGCTGAGGGGAACAAAATACAAATTGGCACTGTAAAACATTTCTCTGCCTGTTTAATCAATATACCTATAATATACACAGTATTCATATTTACAGAGCAGATCCTGCACTATGATGCATGAATGACAGGGACCTGGCATTGCATAGGATTTCTTGAGGCAGAGAGGAGGCATCCATACGCTGGAACATTGGAGCATGTTTCTATAGACACAAAGAAGACAGTATCGTGACATATCATACATAGCAGGGGCTGCAGAAGCAAATTTACAGTACAATGCAAACGAAACCACGAAAAAAGAGTGAACCTGCTCCTCCAGCTGCTGCCGGAGCTTCTTGGCTTTGTTTTGCTTGTAGTAGTCCATAATCATCATGGCAGCATAGATCTTTCCAATTGTCATGTCACTGGCTGGAAAAGCAAGAGCAGTTTAATTTGTCTTTCTGTAGTTTTAAAGCCACCGATGAATGAGTGGTCACCTTTGTGAATGGGAACCAGTAGATCTACTGTTTTCTGAGATAAATGAGGCCAGATGACACCAATCTCTTTCTGGAGGTCCAGGTCCATCTGGGTTCGGTCTTCACCTCCTACAAATTCACAACAAAGTCAGATCTGTCTGGTTCAGCTCAAAACACATTACTTTGATGTGTCTTACCCATAAACTGCACACAGTCTATGGTCTCACCTCTAGCAATTTTAATGTCCAGAGCAGTGCGGATGAGAGCCATGAGTGTGGAAGTGAAGTGAACTGTCATGTCATCATCCACAGGCATGTTCATCAGGACTAATCTCTGCAACAACAAAAGGAAATTTTTTATCCAACAGCAGCATAATAAATCCCAAACATGAGCAAACAAGCACTGAGTTTAATTTCTACTTCAGACATATGCATATCAACATAATATCTAGTCCAAATAATAAGAAAAAGTCACACAGCCCACTGAGCAGAAAGAGAATTGCAATCATATGTGATGGAGCACGCTTGCAGACTGACAAACCCACAAATAGAACATTGATTGAATAAAACATGGAGGCACATGCAAAGCAGATTGGAGTTTTGAACATGTAGATGTTTAATTACAATTCTTTTAATTTTGGTGCAAAAACACAAACTCTGGAAGTGATGCCTTCATTCAGAGCAAAACAAGGCCAACCACTGCTGAAGCACTTGTAAAATACTGAAACATATATTGTTTCAACAAGCAAAACTGCATTATGAGAACCTATAATCTCCTTTCAACTTTAAGATGTGAGCTGTTCATCAGGTCTACCTTATATGCCACCTTGGAGGGGCATTTCTTGCCCAGGCCTAGAGGTGGTGACATGTTGGTCAACATCTCATACATGTCAGTGTAATGAATACGACCACTGGGCGTGCCACCGTGCCATAAAGATCAGAATATGGAGAAAAGAAGGGAGAAGGGAGGGAAGAGTGCCAGAGTTCAAAGGGGAATAATGAAGAGTAGGGGTAGTTTCCCATGAGAGGCAGTTGACCACACAGGGCAGGGGGGTAAAAAGAGGAACACAGTTATTTATTTCAATGCAGACAAAGGAGAGAAAAGGGTCAAAAACAGGCAATATTATTTCTATGCTTTAGACACCGCATAGAAATCAGGAATGGAAAACTCTTTGGACAATAGAAGCAAAGAACTGAGAGACTCTCTGAGTAAATTTGGAAATAGCGAAATTATTTTTGTTTGTATAATGTGACAATATGAAAGGATCAATTGAAACTCATCTTGAAAGTAATTAACTAAGTTAGTTAGTTATCTAACTAACAAAATATACTTAATTCTTCACAACATTTTCAGAAATAACCCAGAAATTTTACATTTCATGTTATACATCTGTTTCAGCATTGAGAGTCTTCAGTCTTTGAAGGCCTGATTTGACTAACAGACCCTATGATCAAACAGGGCAGTGAGTGTGCATGAAGCCAAGGACAAGGACAAGATTAGGAAGGATCCCACATGGAAATAGGGGCAAGGAGGGCTTTTGGTTGCATTTGGGGGAACCAAACCTTGCATGCCACCCTGTGGGGGCAGTTCTTTCCAAAGCCCAGAGGAGGCGAGATAGTGCGTACAACTTTGTACATCTCCTTATAGTGGATCCTTCCACTGGAAAGAACATACATGGTTTTAGTTTCCTGCACTTGCATACACTACTTAGTTGTAGTGTATGTTGAGTCTGGTATATATTTAAAGTTGAACTTATGGTGTTTTTTTTTTGGTCATGGATTACAAAGTTTCATTATATGGACAAAGAAATTGATGCATTGGCATAAACAAAAACAATTCTAAGAAAAGCAGAAGGTATCATTCCTGTCTCTTTTGTGTGAGTATTATTTGTGAGTAGCCTTTTGTAAAACATTATTATATTGTGAAACACTATTATACAGTAATACTGTTTAAAGTCACTGACCAGGCAGCACGGTCATACTCCCCCCATATACGAACAAACTCATCCAAGTGGTGAGGGCCCAGGATGGAGGAGTCTCTCGTGAGGTATTCAAAGTTATCCATGATGACTGCCACAAACAGATTCAACATCTGCACAACACAACATTAGGTTTATTAAGTTATTATACCAGCAGCAGGTTTGTGTTTTGTGTTGTTTTAAATACCAAAAAGGAGCTAAAGAAGATGAAGGAGACAAAATAGAAATATGCAAAGTCTGAGCCACAGTCTTTCAGAGAGGGGTCCACCTCACACTGCTGACCGGAGAGACAAGACAACATGATCTCCTGCCAGGACTCCCCTGTAGCACTTCTGTACACAGTGTTATTACATATTTAAGTTAAAATGCCTTTTCAATATTTCATTGTCAAATGCTGAATATAAAAGCAATCTAATTTGTGTTTCCTACCTGAAAAGCAGCATCAGAGCACTGGAGAAAGTCTTAAAATTGTTGTGCCGGTTAATGTGGGTCTTTTCATTTAATTTTATGTTTCCAAACACCTGAGCATAACGCATGAATCACTTTATTGTGAATACATTTTGTTAAAAATTATTGGCCTGCACCTCGCCTCAGGGGTGTGTGTGCTATTCTCACCTGCATCCCAATAATAGCATAGATGAAGAAGAGCATGGCAATGAGCAGACACACATAGGGCAGAGCTTTGAATGACTGCACAAAGGTCCAGAGCAGAATACGAATGGTGTAGCCTTGTCTCAACAATTTAATGAGGCGAGCTGCACGAAACAGCTTCAGGAAACTCATGTTGAGCGAATCCTCAAACTGGGAAAATCAGAACAATGTAAAAAATAAAATGCATTAGCCTTAAAAAGCTTGCTTACATGCTCAAAATTGCATCACAAAATGGTGCATACACATCCATACATATACTATAAGGTGTACAGTGTCTTGCCCATTGACACAACAAACAGTTTGCACTGGTCACAGCCAACCATCTTGACTGTGTAATGGTTAATGGTTAAGGCATTGTTCTTGTGGAATGATTTACACTTATAATTCCTATTCAATCATGGGTGTTATTGCATTTGTCATTTGAGGAACCAGAGATCAACATAAATCATATGACGTAACAGTGGAGTTTTATCATTAATCCATTAATATGAAGTTTGAGTTTAAACATATGTTTACCTGAAAGTCTATGATGATTTCTGTGATGCTGCCCAGGACGGTAATAAAGTCAAAGATGTTCCAAGTGTCTTTAAAGTAGTTCTGTTCAAACGCAAAGCACAATTTCAGTCATTTCAAAACTCAAGCAAAATAGTATATTTAGAATAATTCCAATGTCTCACCAGAAAACCAAAGGCCAGGATCTTGAGCACACACTCCACAGAGAAGAGCACAGTGAAGGCTGTGTTTAAGTGCTTCAGGACAGCCTCATATGCAGGTGGAGCAGAATAATACTGGAAAACATTACAAGTTAAAAGGCTTGCACCTGACTGTTACCTTGCACTTTTTACTAGATACAGAATTCTATAAAAGTAATATACAGTTTAAAACATATTGAAAAAGCAGACATTCGAGGGAGAAACTGAATAATATTAAAAGGTATTTTGTTGCTGGCCAGGGAAAAATCGCCTATGTTATACAATAAGACACAGTGTTGGATGCAAGCCATATGGAAACAACTACAACTATGCCAGAATCAGAAAAAGTTTTATTGCCATCCTCAAAATTCACAAACTAGGAACTTGCTTCGGCATTATGCTGCAACATAAGAAAATGAATAACAAAAACAAGGGCATGCATTCAAATTAGGAAAAAAGGCCAAAAAGGCCTTGATAAACAATTATAAAAGGTACAATATGTAACTATCTCAAACAGTTGTCTCTCTATGATGGAGTGAGGGTGGGGGACTAGGTGGGGTGTCAGGGGTACAGCACCAAATTTTTGGCCCTGCGTACAAATCATCTTGTTGGCTTGCACTACATGTTGTCTAAATAAAAATACACATTATAGACTTTGTGAGGGGACCCTTCCTGCTCTGGGTCCTATGTAAACAGTATGCTTTAACCCCCCAGTCAGTCCCTGCGGTTAATTCTAAAACACGTTTTTTTGAGCAGGCCTTTTAAATGTACAGGTGATGAGATTGGCCTTTCCCGTCTGGACATAATCCAGCATTGTGAAAACTCTAGTGTCTTCATCTTGATGGAAGATTCCTCCAGAGCCATAAATAGCGCCTCAGTCTGCACACCTTTCATCCGTGGCACTATAAACGGAGTCATCCCTCTGGGGGCGGCAGCTGCAGTTAATGAGGTCATGCTAAATAGCAGCCCCTGGACTTTATAGATCAATATTTAATACAGGCTGAGTCACTACGCCTGTGTGAACGCCTGACGGACTGATCAAGTGAGTGAGAAAAGGCCACTGGAAACTTATGGTGATGAGAGAAGGATGGAAAAATGTCGCCTCAAAGGGAAAACAGAGAAATCAAACACAAGCTTCAGACATGTTAGTCCCTGCACATGTGTGTTGATTGTTGGAAGTGAAGCATCTTCTGCTATTTTAATCTCACTGTGTTAACACTGTGATCAGAGCAGATCATGGGAAGAGGTTTAAAGGGCCCATATTATGCAATTTTCTGACCCAGTGTTTTATAAAGGAACAGATCATTTTGAGTAAGTGATGTAGACAGACTAATAATAAAGGGTTAGTCAAACGTGTGAATAACATAAAACACAACTTCAAGTAAGTTTTTGATTAGCACACAAGAATCAATTATGTAATATAGGACTTTTAAGTATTTGTATAAAGTGAAAGAATAAACATGAGCAAAAAAAATGCCATTCACATTTTACCTTCATCATGAGAACAATGGTGTTTAGAGCGATCATAGCCAGAACAGTGTACTCAAAAGATGGCGAAACCACAAAATGCCAAAGGCGGTACTGGAAAGTATGACGATTCTGAGGCATGTAACGGGTCAGAGGTTTGGCACTGATAGCAAAGTCAATGCAGGCTCTCTGTAGAAAAGAAAATTGCTATTTATTATAATATATGTATGATATATGTATATATATATTTATCAATGAGAATATATTTGTCTCAAATTTAGCACAATTGCAGTCACTAAACCAAAACTAATCCACGTGTTCTTTTAACTCCTCCCTTGTCTAACCATTGGTATATTTTTACCTCATTCTTTTCCAGGGTGCACTCCTCCATCATCTTGTCCCCCTGCTCCTGGAAGGTGATGATGATGAGAGCCACAAAGATGTTGACAAAGAAGAATGGAAAGACAACAAAGTAGATGACGTAGAATATGGACATTTCCATTCTGTTGCTGTGACTGGGACCCCTGTCTTCCTCTGTCACATCCACTGAGTGTTGCAGCACCCTGGTAGATAAGAGATGTAAAGCTTTGAGAGTTTTAAACAATATTATATACAAAATGGTAATCATTTACTTTGTTTAATCTACACTGTATATACCTGTTCATTGTACATCCAAGTATGGCAACAAACATATTAAGATTTTACTGTTCCAATTTGAAGGCAATCGCACAAACTTTGGGACTTATTTAGAGTGTACTGTGGATATTGCTATTTTGTAGAGATGTCAAGTTAGGGCCATAATTGTAAGAATTAAAAATTTCTAGTCAATGAAAAATCTAAAAATTAAATGTATATAAAGCTTTTTTTTTTATCTGCCCATGACATATCAAGTATACTTCACTATTTCATCTTTGCACTCTTTCTCCCTACCCACCTTCTTGTATGTTGATATATATTTTGTACTCACTGTATTTCTGTATTTTTATTTTTACTTGTGCAATTATTACATTATTTGACACCAGTGTTTTGCTATTTTGGTTACTTACTATAGAATTTATTTATATTTTTGCTCTTTGGTATTATAATATATTGTGATGTGTGAGTCACTGTGTCCAAATAAATGTATTAAGCTATTATATAAGTTATTATGAGACTTTGTAGAAGTTTTTTTTTTTTGTTAGTTTTTTTTTTGTACTGATCACATTAGTCTCAACACATAGGCAATGTGAATTAAGAATTTCACTTTTTTGGTCATGGGATCAAATATCAAACAAAAACATTTCTTCTCACAATAATTGTAACACTAAAATATTATATCACAATATCCAGTGTAATAAGGATTATACCAATAAACAAATATTTTGTTAATTAAGTAGCAACTAATTCACCAAACATATGCATGTCTGTAGGGGGTGGGACTTGTGTTATATTTTTCTTATCAGACTCACTGAGGCCATCCCTCTCCAGTGGAAACAGTGAAGAGTGTGAGCAGAGCCGAGATCACATTGTCATAATGAAAATCATGTCTTCTCCAGTCTCGCTCCTTTACCTCCTTCTTATCTCTACCATAGTCAATGTAGTAACCCCTACAAGATAAAAAGTGCACAAAGTTTTTAATAAGAGGGTGAAAATAATAATAAGAACTAGAAAAGCACTCAGAGAGCCCAGACCTCCGCCAAGGACTACCCCCATTTTTTATATAAATTGCGATAAAATCAGTCTTCTGGATCAGATGCGGATCAGCCTTTGGAATATGAAAGAGGATCCCATTGTCCATCCCTGAGTCAAATTTCATGGGGTTTGGTCAATAATTAACCGAGATATTGAGAAACAAAATTTTTGGCCCCATTTACCACAATGTTCACTAAAATTTCAAAGTGATCCAGAATCCAGGATTTCTTCTGGATCACCCCCAAAATGAAATCAGTTCTTCCTTTTCACATTTCCAACAAATTCTGAAAATTTCATCAAAATCGGTCCATAACTTTTTGAGTTATGTTGCTAACAGACAAACAAACAAACAAACAAACAAACAGACAAACGCCGGCAAAAACATAACCTCCTTGGCGGAGGTAATAAGAAGAGGTAGCTCAACAACACTTACTGGCAGTCCTTTTCTGTGGCCTTGGAACTGTCTGTGCAGTAAAAGAACTTTCCCTTGAAAAGCTGCACTGCGATCACAGCGAAGATGAACATGAAGAGTTTATAGACGATCAAAATGTTAAAGACATTTTTTAGAGACGTCACCACACAATCAAAGACAGCCTGTGGGGCAAGAGCATGGGAGAAATGTAGTATGCTGGTCAGTTTTTGATAATTTTAAGGTTAAATACATTAAGTCATATTTGGAAAAACAGGTGAGTCTGACTTTGAGCTTAGGTAGTCTCTTGATGGTCTTCAGTGGTCTGAGCACTCTCAAAACTCTCAATGATTTGATGGTTTTAATGTCACGGCCTTTGTTATTTCTGTCAACACAAAATATTTCAAGTTGGGCATAGTATAGGTTTTGCTACACATCAAACAAATATGTTTAGTACATTTTATTCATGCAGTTTTTTCCCTCTTTCCCCCCTCATATGATCATTCGCTATTTTCAATTAGATTTTATTTCTGACTTAATAAAACCAAATAAAAATAGCTTTCAATATAAAATGTCTGATAGCCTAACATAGGTCCTGTGTCCAAATTAATGATTTAATGTTTAAATTTCTTCCTCTATTTAAATAACAATTAGAAATGACTGAATCTCTGTATCAACTGAAATATGATTCATTGCCATAGTTTAGTGTACAGTGCATACATGTAAAAAAGACTTACCCCATCACATTTCTGTAGTGCAGCCACAAAGCAGAATTATAGAAAAACATAAATATTTCAAAAGAGACTGTTACGTGATCGGAGTATCTAAAAGACTTACGTAAGTGCAAATGCCACTAGAGCTCCAAAGACCACAATAAAGTCAAGGATGTTCCACAGGTCTCTGAAGTAGGAGCCATCATGGAGGATCAGACCCTGGTCAATCATCTGAGCATGACACAAAACAAAGCATATTATATCATAACATCACATTTGCTCAGTTTATTGGCAGTCACTTCTATAGCTTACCTTGATAATCATCTCAAATGTAAAAACTCCAGTGAAAACATAATCAAAATAGCGCAAGACCTAGAAAGTTAAAATGTAACAAAGAAAATCAGTCCTATTTGGTACATATATCAACTCTGTCTCTTCTAACTAGTCAAACAATTTTCAAATTACTATACTGTCTCAGATGATGGATGATAGCTAGTAACAAATATAATCTATGTAATTTTCTTTTCTACTGTCTCATATTACTTAATAATTTAAAGCTACTGTCAGTAAGTTTATCTGATTATCTTTTTACCAGTAGGACTGGTAGCTTTAAAATAAATGCTTTTGCACATTGTTACCTTACCAAGCACATTGACACCATTGAGTGTATAAAAAAGTGGTCTAAGTGAGTGTGATGTCACACAGAGTGACATGAATGAAGCTCCCGATGCTCATTTTTTTTGGAATTCGGAGCCAGGCTCTATATTACGAATAGGATTTTTTTGTGATGGATGAAATAGTGAAAAAATACACTAGGATCATGTAGAGTATGAACATTTTAAGAACAAATTATTAGGCTTACAGCAGCAGTAATAGAGAGAGCGGTCACAATATTCCAGTGTAAGTCATATGGGAACTAGGGTCAGTAGGAGCCAAAAGAGCCTGCATGCAAACTTCCTATTTGCTGCTGCAGCTAGCACGTTAGCTATGCCAATTTATATACATAGTCTATGGTTGACACCTAAAACATTGTTAAACACTGATTTGGATTAAACATGCAAGACCTAATATTCGTACCTTATTCCAGTCAGAAGTTGTATCAACTGGGTCCTCAGCTGCCAGGGCGATGCTGCTGGCAGCAATCACCAATAAGATGGTCATTTCAAAATACCTGAAGTTTACCACATAGTGACAGGCTCGCCTAACCCTTAGCAAAAAGACATAATAGAAGAAATATACACCATTTATAGGAAACCATGTATGAACTTGACTAGATGTACTGTATTAGTAAAAAATAAAATGTCTGAACTATAGCAAGAGGAAATGAGCTCTATGAAACCTTTCAGGGGCAGGGTCCACTTGCTTGTTTCTATGGGGTTGATTGTTTTGCCTAGGAAATTCCCTAATCTCCATGCAAAAGTTACAGAGATGTGTATTTTTCAAGGTATTTTTAGAAATGAAACAATTGCAAGATAGTTTATTGCCATATTGTGAAATATTCCAGGCAAAGCAATAAAATCTGGAGATAAGCCAGTGTTGAACCCCCACCAGAAAAGTGACATACAACACAATTAACTATTATTATTGTACTTGTTCATTTCATTTCTATCTTTTCTTTCTAAAGGGACACAGATATTAAAAAGTATTGTGTTACTTACAGGTTTTCTGGTTTAAAGATGAACATGCTGTTGGGAACGGTAATGTTGATGGGCCTTGTGTCCTCTGTCTCCTCATTGTCTGACTTGGAGGCTTCAGGATGCTTGTTTTTCACTGTGCAAAGTTGGACAAACTACAGTTATCTATACCACAGAGTGACCAAGATGGCTTGGCAAATTTGAAGACATTTTAGTGACCATGATTTTTAATGTGAACTCCAACTCTCGAAAGTGAAGACAAATTGAACCCAGTGGTGATAAACTGAAGCACTGAACTATGGGAACAGGCAACACAACTGCACGACTCACTGACTCCAAACCAGGAGTAATAGATAAGAAATGAAGCATGACTCTGCAAGTGCAAGGACAATTTTTCATTGCAAATTTATTCAGAGGCCAATTTAACCTGTGAGTCAGAATACACCCTGAGCTTTTTTTGGATTTAACTTTTAATAACTCCAATGGCTGCATTGTTTATCAAAGTTAAGTGAAGTAAAGCATCACAGTGAATAATGTATAAGAAATAAGTAAAAAAAATATATTGTGCAATATTGCAAAATCAAAAAGTTCAAAAAGTTGACTGTACCTGAAATAGTTGAGAGCTCCATAGAGGCTGGTTCTTTACAAACATCTATTATAACACTGGAGCTGAGTTGGGCTTTGTCCTGGCACACATCTGGTGTAATACTTTTTTTCATTTCAATATCAACAGGTGGAGGCAGGTCAGATGGTTCTGTTGGATCCTCTGGCTTTTTGGCATCAGTGCTGTCAGTGAGATCTGGGTGCACGTCCTCATTCTGTCTGTGAATACAAAAGTAGCTGTTTACACAATAGTGTGGACTAAAGTATTTGCAAGAAATGTGTGAAGTGAAAGTGTGTGTGACAATTTGATTAAAATTGTTATTTACTACAGTGGCTTTTAAAGGTGCACTATGTAACTTTTCTTGTGGGTGATCCATCACCTATTGACTCTGTTTTATTTGCTTAGAACATTTTTATTTGTCTAGAATACTACACAGTATAACATTATACTCATCCAGCTTGCATTTTACATGTTACAAATTTCATGTGTATTTCTCACAAATAATTATATTTAAATGTGCATTCTTCAGCCTCTGTCTGACTGGACTGACTGGTGGCATTACCTGCTTATATCCATTGATATGTTTAATGATATGTCGCGTCCCAGCCCCGAATAAGCAGAAGAAAATGGATGGATGGATGTATATTTCGTAACAGTGTTACATAAGAAATCTTTAAAAACTCAAAGAAAAATAATAACATCTCCGTACAGACAAGCAGGTGGCACAAGAAAAGTTTATATTACAAAGTGCACTTTTAAAACATTATAAATACCTTGAGTTTCTAAGGTTTGACATACAGTACATACAAACCGCATTAGAGATTATTGTACCTGTCTTCAGTGTGGTTCATATCTCCTTCCTTCTTCTCTGTCCCGTTCCCCTCATCTCTCTCTTCCCTCCTCTCCTCACTTTCCATATAGTCATTGTTTTGGTGTCCAGGTGATGATTCCTGTCTTTTGTCCTCCACTGACTGGTCACAGCGATGGGGAGACCTCCTCCCTCTGTATCTCCCACGCCCTCTCATCTCTGGAGTCAGTACATTTAAGTTATCTGGAGGCCGAAATTTTTTTACTGGCCTGTGCTGTCTGTCCCCATTTAACCTGTTCTTCCTTTCATGCACAGAGCTGTTTGCTCCTCCGCTCTCTGGTACAGGCTCAGATTCAGGGGGCTCTGGTAAAGTCATAGACACTTCGGGGACAGTCTGTGGGTCTGGGGTGTTAGTGGACAGGGCTAAAGAAGGGTCATCGGGTAAGTCTTTGCTCTTAACAGGAGAAGCTAAGGGGTCATTTGGGCATTTGATGCTTGATGGAGGTGTATTTTGCATTACTTTCCGTTGCAGGGACAGTGGACGCCCGTGTTGGCTTTGTGCAGGGCCATCCCGCTCCTCACTGGGGTTGTTGTAGAGGATTTCCCTGCTGGACATTTGGCGGTGTCTCCGGAGCTGGCTGGTCCTCTGCTCCCATACGGACATGGTCATCCTCTTCCTCCTCTCTCTCCTGGACATGAAAGAGTGAGAGGGGTTGAGTTTAGGGCGGCTTTCCCTGACGCTGCCCTGGGCCTCTTCCAGGGAGTATGTTGGGTGACTGCGGTGGATGGCTCTCTTTCTGTACAGATAGGGCCGCCTTCTCCGGCTCCCCCTGTGGAGAGAGAGAGAGATAGATAGCTTAGAACATCTTATAGTAAATGTATTTGCTCATTCTGAGAGAGGAACTGGATGAGCAAAATGCAATTTGAATAACTTAACTAGAGAGAACTATATGTAAGCAATGGAAATAATTACAGAGGTAGATCTTGTTTTATAATAGTAAATAGTTAACATGTGTTATGTGATGACTCAGGGGACAACTGTGAAAAAGATTTGCAGGAAAACAATCCGTGAAAGCAGGAGCATAAAATGAATAAAGATTGATTTTGTGGAAAGAGACGAGCATGAACTGAATATTTAGCAAAATGAGGAGGGACCCGGTTTAAGAAAATTGAGGAATGGTGAGAGACAGAGAAAGCTTAACGACAGAGTTACTTACTGTAGCGTGGACTCTAGTGAGGTCCGTGTTATCAATGAGCGATTTGTTGAAAACAAGACATTAGTGCTTTTGGGAGCAGAGACAAAACAGATCGGGAGACACACACCAAAATCTGCCACAAGCTGTTTACATAATGTCATGGCTCACAGGCTCCAAATAATGGCTACAATATAGTTTTGAGAGACTTTAATTTTTGACATTTTTGCATTCACATTTGTGTTTGATATGTGTCTCCTACAGACTAAGCACATTGACAAACAAGATGGCAGTTAAAGACACATTAAAACAACACATATAAATCCAATCATCACATTGATAAAATGAGTCTGAGCACAGTGTGGCACAGGTAGAGGACAGATATGTGAGAAATATCAGCAAACAATAAATACTCAAGAAACCACAACACGAAGAGCACTCAGGGATGCAGCGCTGACACCACACCTCCAAGCACACATTAGCATTCTTAGGATCATGCCAATGCAGAAACAACTGGAAATGCTCAAAATATATTTTTATTATATTAAGATTTTTATAGTTTTGTTAATTGGAAGAAAACCTGCGTAATGTTGCAAGTTAAATATATTATACACTTACATTACACAGTATATAAAGTTTAACTATTCAGATTTTCTTCCTTTCCAGAGTAGACATCATTGCATGCCTCCAACATGCTGCTTCCTTTTGTGTGAGAGAAGAAAACCAAAGTGCACTAATGCAGACGATAGCCCACGTGACCTACCACATTTAGCTCATGTGCATGGACTCCCCAAAGCAGAACCTCAACAGAACATTCTTTTGGATGCATTTCATATATTTTTAGTAATTTACCAATGATAATGCCTGAAAGCTAGAACCAGACTGAATGATACATACATGATGCCATGATAGTGGAGGAATCTTCCACATGCAAACAACACCCAGGCATTAGGGTTCACTCATGTGCATGCACATGCCCGCCCCTGTCTGATCAATACCAAACAAAACACTGTTTCTCATAAGCAGTGAGCACACACAGGCTTTTGGAAACACTAGTAAACTGTATAATGACCTTTGTTTTATGTATTATGGTAATTGACTAATGTCATGACAGTCTAGTCTCCAGGACGACCACGTGTCCCTTTTCAACAACTGGAACATGTAACCATGGAGATATAGACCATAATGTGAACCACATCACTGCGCTCTAATAAGGAATCAAGGCATGTCATACATGCAGTAAAAATTAAGTTAGAGCCTTTTTTTCAAAAAGGGTAATGAAAAAAACGTTTCAGGCAGCCCCATGCATTACTTACTCCGAAGACATGAAAGAAGACAGTGGTCCCACTTCCTTTGCTTTTTGGAGAGCATGTTTTTGGTTAAAGGCAGCCTCTGCTTCTTCTTCATCCTGAACAAAATATGAACACTTCTTAACATTTCCATTTGAGGTATTCTGTAGACAAAACTTGTTTTATGGTATTTTTGAAGCTTGTTTTATGGTATTTTTGAAGGATTTTACTTTGTTAAATGAATTACCTTGGTAAGTTCTTGGGCATTAGCAAGGTTGTCCACAGCAATGGCCAGAAAGACATTGAGCAGTGTATCTAGTCACAGTTTAGTTAGGGAGAAAATTCCTTTATATTCAATCACGGATATATTATTTAAACCTAATCACCTCTAACTTTCTAACTCTTCTGTGTTGTTTAACAAACTTAAAACAAGACTTCAATTCAGAAGGTTTTAACAAAATTTTAAATGGCAGTACTTTGCAATATGTACTTTTTTATAGCACCTAGTTAGTTGCAAAACTGAATCTTAAAATTGAATCGTTTAGTTTTGTTTGCAAAAGAAAAAACTGTATTGACACCTCTCATAGAATTCAATTAAAAATCACAATTACATAAAAAAAAACACATTAAAAATCATAAAAAAATAACAGCAATGTGCAGGTGCAATGTTTGTCTATATGCATTTTTGCTGCTTTAACACATACGCAGTGATAAATAAAGTGATAAACAAAGAAAGACTCATCATTATTTTGGATAGAACAGGCCTTTGGATAGACCCCTAGACCTTTAAGACAGGTGAATAAAAAGAATACAGTTTCCAAAGAGAGTGAGGACAATGAAGTAAATGGAGGACCACATGCCTGACTTCACTCCCCCTTGAGAGCGAATACCATTGTACATCACCTCGTTCCAGTCTTCTCCAGTCAGGATCTGACAAAACATCCACACAATTTAAAAGGCTAATATTACACTATTTTTTGATGTGTTTTCCTTTTTTAAATTTCCTTATTTCCTTCCTCCGTCATTCACATACATTTGTGACTGTAGCATAATAGAACCTTTAACTGCAATACTGATGCTATAACAGAGTAAGCTACTGTATCCAAATAATTTCCTCTGTGGATCAATAAAGTTTGCCTAAGTCTACTGCGAATAAAACTATCTCACCTGAAATACAGTCATGATGGCAGCAGGGAAAGTGTCAAAGTTAGTTGGTGTGTAGTCTTCAAAGATGAACCTAGAAGAGAGTGAAACAGTCTGTTTATGAGGCTGTGTCTAGCTTTAATTGACACCAAGAGCCAGAGGGAAACATCTTATAAGTGAGCACTAATCGCTGTGTGAAAGACAAAAGAAGACTATAATGGCACTCACAATCTATTTACTGTAATTAAAACAACTGTAAGCTGGAGCAAAGTGCTTTCTGTGTTTCAATAAAGAAAACTTCTATATGTAATCTAGATTTTTCCATGTTGAATTTAAATGTTAGTGGAGTCTTACCTGCCACCAAAGAGCTGCATTCCGAGAAGGGCAAATACGACAATAAAGAGGAAGAGAAGGAAGATGAGGGAGATGATGGACTTCATAGAATTCATTAAAGACACAACCAGATTCCGCAGAGAGGCCCAGTATCTGCAAACACAAAGGATTTCTGTTAAGGCACTGTAAAACAACTTCAAACGCTGAAAGACACTGAAAATAAAATGTACTTGGTGATCTTGAAAATTCTGAGCAGACGAAGTGCGCGTAGGACACTGATGCCAAAGGAAGTGCCAGGCCTAAAGAAACCCCATAGAACCTCAAAGATACTGCCAACTATCACCTACAGAGTAATAACAGAGGGCAAAGATAAAATGTGATTACTTAAGAAAGGCACTGAAGCACATGTCATTATGTGTTACTCACACTGCAATCAAAGCAGTTGAAGGAAGAGTGAAAGTAGAGTCGGGGCCCCAAACTGTACATCTTCAGAAACATCTCAGTGAGAAAAAGGGCAAGAAACAGGAACTCTGCATAGTCTACAAACACAGAGTTATGCATCAGAGGCAATGTAAATATATTCATACACCATTCAAAATAAAAATGTGCTTTCAACATTGTACTCACAGAGAAAGTCTGACAGCCAAAGAGGCTGATTGTGATGGACAATAGCCACACACAGTGTATTGAGAGCCACCAATCCCAACACTGTCCAGTAAAATGTGTGTGTTTTCACAACGCGGCGGATGGAGATGCGTAAGAGACGCTCTTTTCTGCGGAAATATGCAGCTGGGCCTCGCTTTGAGCTCCGGATGCTTCCTCTTGTCACAGGCAGTGCTAAAAGTGACATGTGTCCAAACTTGAACAACAGTGTTTTGTATTGTGTACAGTGTTGAAGACTGTCCACTCACTCATTGAGGACATGTCCCCATACTGTTCGTCTCCCATCTGCCCATGATGTCCTATGTCCATGCCTCTCTTCTTGATGGTGGTGGCTCTCTTCAGCACTGCACACACAGCAGGTTGAGTTTTCACAGAGTAATGGTGTGTGAAATCAGCAGGTACATGCTGTAAAGGTAATCACAGAGCTGACTTCTGGGCAAGTTGACTGAGCAACACGCCTTATTCTCCTTTCTGCTTTCAAATCTGTGCAAACCACTGGTGTTAGCTCATCCGTATATCACCATTGCCCATTAAAAGCCTTGTGCATGACCACCCTTCAGTTTATTAGTATGTTCAGGCAGTATGGAGTATTATGTTAAAAAAAAAGCTAAAACAAATTATGCAGGTGCAGTGGTGACCTTCCGCATGCTAATGAACCACCAGTTCTGGCTGAAAGAGAAAGTTAACAAACACTGTTTGAAATGGCAAATGATAATTTAGTGCAAAATGAATGCATTAGATAACTGAAAGATATTTTATGTTTACAAAATGCAGTCTCTTCCACAGCATACCATGGGGTCCATGCAATGTGTGAGGGAACAGGCAGTGCAGTGCATACAAGTCCAAGTGGGCAGGATGAGTGTGTGTCCTTGTGCAAGGTCTTATGGTCTTACTTCCCATTATAGTTTCACCAGCGCTTCAACCACAGTATTATTATGCTTCTAAAAATGACAAATTGTCAATATAGGCTGGAGATTGTTTACAATATACTGAATATCTAATCAAACAGATACATGTTTGTACAGCAGTCCTGTACAACTATGCTACACACATTACAGAATACATGCATACATACATAAATATGTTTGATAAAATAAAGTTTACCTAAGTTGTCAAACAACTAGAACTAAAGATACAATAATTGGATGGGTAGCTACAAGCTGTAATCAGAATAATTTATAAATACAGCTCTTGATTAACATCTCAATCAGCAACTGATCTACTATTCTGCATCTTTTGTGCAAAGATATTATTATTACCAATTTAACTAGCAATCAATCGCATGATTTACATAATCAAATATACACAAAATCCCAGCCGCTGTGCACACACTCATGCACCCATAGATCCCCCTTACACTTGAGTGGTCAGAGATGGAAAGCACTGTTAAATGTCTCCAGGTCTAATACTCTAATGCTGTGTATGCTGGTGTATGTTGTTGCAGGTGAAGAATGAGGGTGAAGTGAGTGCAGAGAAAAGCAGAGACGATCCTCACCGTAAGTACCACCTGTACTCCACTCTGGGAGCATCCTGAGAGCTGCCAATCAGTCCACATTTAATAAAAGCCTGCTATTTCAGCAAGTACAGGTCAGCGTGAGTAAAGAGGGTCAGCATGGCCACTTATCTGTCTGCAGGGCACCACTCTAGAGGCTGATGTAACACTATTACTACTGAATATCACGATCACACTAGCACCTTCTTATTGAAGGTTCTTATTCTCAGTGGAAGTGTAAACATTTAAATTATCATTTTAATACAGCATTTTTTATGCAAAACATATACTTATTCCAATAAACAAAATATGATTTGATGATAATATGTTTTGTCAATTACTGGACTTTTATGTTTCTTCCATTTCAGTTGAAGAAACCTTTCCCTTTATGTACACTCTATAAGACTATATCTATATGCACAGCTGTAATTTGAGCATTTGGTACAGACTTACCATCAAGGGCAGAAGGTCCTGGATTCTTATTTTCTTCAGCAAGCATCACCTCCTCTACAAAAGAGAAAAAGACAATTGAGATTTGTAGTATACGTGTTTCATTTAAATGACAAAAGCCCCACACAATAGCCTTAAAGTCAAGATAGGAAAGATTAGTCCTAATACTTTAAGTCTAATATTGATTTTCTTTTTCTTATCAGTGTCTAAATGTGCTTGTTGATGGAGAGTGAAGCCACCTGCTCTGTCAATCCAGGCTCTGTATCCGTTGAGCTCCCTCTCAATCTGCTGCTGACGTCTCAGCTTCATGAAGGCCCGGCGGTTCTCCACTCTTTCCCTCTCCTTGGCAAACTCCCTGCAGAGACAAATCAAGTCAAAACATATCTTAATTCATCCTCAGATAGTGTGTATAATTATGGCCAGTGAAAATCTGATAATTAGAGTGATTACCCAATAATTAGATAATATTTTTGTTGGCACAAAAGAAAACTGATCATCAAAAATCTGGGGACATTGTGTCAAAGTAACTGTAGTATATTAAAGACAACAGAGTTGGTAGAGTGTTTTCCACTGATCTCAAGGTTGGCAGTTCGAACCCCACTCATTGATAGATCCACTAACCCAGGTTTGAGGTGTGATTCCAGCTTCCACAGAAAAAAATCTGATGAATTCCTAGCTGTTGCAGCTTTTGTGATCTTTTTCACAAACTTCAGATTGTCTAATACATAGTTCATAATATCTAACTCTATTTGGTGACATATTTCAATGAGGCCCACCTTTAACTTTTTATTTGATCAATTAAGAGCAACCCACTTGAATTTCGAAGTTGCCCTAACCCCTCAGAATTGAGCTATTCTGATATTTGCTCAGATTGTTACCCATTTACCCTGCTTTCACAGTAAATAAGACAGATCTACAAGAGATCTACTAACATGTTTTTTTTTTGCATTTGTTATGTATTTTGCTATTTTTGCAAAAGGGGAAAAAAATGATTGTCAGGTTCTGATGAAATTATCAGACAAGGTCAGGTAAGAAAATGTATTTGTGAATACAAGACTCATTTTGGGGAACGGTGTCTAAAGCTTTAAAATAAAATGGTACAATTGAAAATTGCAGATTGCTTTTAGACTTAACCAATAAGGATTCTTTTGTTAGTAATTAAAGTATTAGTAAAAGACTAATATCACATATTATTACTAAAATAAATAATAGGCTGACGGCCTTGGTAATCTGTTTTCTAATCTACTTTATTAACACACTATTGTACAGAATTGGGCATCAAGCGGCCCAGGGGTCCTGTTGTCATGGAACCCCTCTTTAGTGGGTTTTCTCAGAGTTCTAGGGCTAGAGCATGTCTGTGATGGCCATGTTACCTCCCTGAACAAAGCACAGTACTGTGGCACTTTGGTTTTCCCACTGAACATCTCCAGGACCTGCTCTCTGGTGTAGTCCATCTCATTTTCCACCTCAAAGATGGTGTAGAGCTTCCTTTGAGGAAACATGAGCTTGGGCCACACAGGTGCAGCAGCTACAGTCACTTCCTCATCCTGAACAAAAGTGACTGGTGTTGGTTTGCTCTCTTTTATAAAAATGATGTGTTTCTCTCTAATGGGCCACACGGCTGCAGCAGCTTTAGCCTTAGGACTCTTAGGAGACTTCACTGTAGAAGGCTGAATGTGGATCACATTAGAGATGTTGCCTCTGTGGACTAGGCAAAGTTTTTTTTTTAGGTTAGCAATGAAGAGGTCTAGTATCTTTTTCTCCGCTGGGTTTCTCTTCTTGAAAGCAGGAAAGTCAGACTCAGGGTCAAAGGGTGCTTGTGTCTCCAGGACTTTGTGTTCAGGTTTGGCCACATGGACTATTGTGAATCCAGAACATCCTTCTGGAACAGCTCTCCTTGGTTTTGGTTGGTTTGATTTGGTTTTGGTTGGGTTCCCTGTATTGGACTCAGGACAGGAGTTTCTGTCTTGAGCCGTTTTAGACTTCATAGAATTAGGCCTAACTGACTTGGCGTCTCTCAAGCAGCTGTTCATTCCGTGCAGGGCAGAAATGCACTGATCCCATGAGGACTAAGTTTTGAAGTTCATCGTTATTTAAGTTTGGCAATGAGCTCTGTTGCGTGAAGGCATTTAGTTCGAGATACAGTTGAATAATGAAGATGAAGAAACTTGTGTTGGAATCAAAATGCTCAGTTTGGTGATGCCATTTGACCATAGCAATGAAATGTGGAATTGTATTCTCTGCTTTCTGATAGGGTAACTGGGAAGCTGATCAGTACTTATCTATTTTCATTAATTTTAATTATTTTCCTCCTAATATGACAAACAAATATATATTCATTAACAGTGATGTAACTGTTTCCATGACATTCTGTGCATGTAAACATGGCCAGTGTTATTCTATGTGTGAGACTATAAATACTTCACTCACTCTGGTTCTGTGATAATGACTTCCCAGTGTTCCCCAATTAACCTTTCTGTATACCTAATTAACTTGTTATAGATTTTGACACTTGTGAAATGTATCCTGACTTACAGACATTGGAAACCGTATTCCACTATGTTATTATTACTGAAGCCTCAGTCGCACTAAAAAGTATTTAAAATATTGATATCCTTTGCTTTAGTGAACAGGAAGTGAGTGGTTGGAGTGCCTTTGTGCGTCACTGTATGTGTTTGCAATCAGTAAATCCAAAACAGCACGCTACTGGCTCATTTCCCTACAAATGATATTTTCTCTTCAGGATGTGTGGAAAACAAGTGTATAAATAGAATATCTGTGTACTGCCAAAATGCAATCCTCAGAGTCCATTATTGAGTATAATATTTTATAGTATTTTTTAGCCCACAAATAAGTGAACCTACCCAGAGAGGACTCCCAGTACCAGGTTAAGTACAAAGAAAGAGCCGATGATGATCAGTGGGATGAAGTAGAGCCAGTTCCAGCTTGGGCCCAAAGCATCATCAGTCTGAAATATAAAACAAATAAAAATTAAAAAATGAATTGTGTATCAAAAGCTCTGCAAGTCAATAACTCTCACAATAATCACAATTTAAGATGTGGCACAATTTATCACAGTTCACTTGTGAAACTACATATCATAAAACATAAAGCAACCATACTACCATACTAATAAGATAATAGCTTTTTCAACAGCCTGTATGTGTGTCCAGAGAAAAGGATCAAGTAATATGAACAATTAAAGGCAATGTACAAGATTGTTTTTTCATGCACTTAAGCAAAATTTGTCTTACCCCAGTACAGATATATTAAGCTGCTTTCAAGGTCAAAATATGTTTGTGTTTTATTGTCTGATAATTAGATAGGCCTCTTTCATTTGTGAAAAGCCTTTATAACCTCACTGCTGTGGATAATTAGGATATTTGGAATGTTAGAAGAAGGTAAGAGGAATAACTGCAAACTGCTTAAAATTAACTAGTCCTGTTGTTCAAGATTGTTTTAACACAGCAGAAATTAGGTACATCACCTTTAAGTCTTCAATAAGAAAGCATCTATGGGTGTTTATAATGACACACTGGGAAATTGTTATGCTTTAAATGTGCACTGTGTAACTTTTCTGGTGGAGTGTCCGCCACCCGATTGTCTCAATGGAGATGTAATTGCTTTCCCTTGAATTTTCTACAGTATGGAAATAAACTTGGTCATCACAATAGAGACAAGTTACTGGTCAGCCCTATGGAGAAGCAAACAAGCTCAAGGCATTCTTGAGTGATAAAACACCTGTAATTAAACCTTAGAAGTTACATAATGCACCTTTAAGTTTTGTCAATGATAAATGCGTTATCAAAATAGCCATACGTTATATAGCACAGCGGTCCAGCCCTCCATGGTGATGCACTGGAAGACAGTCAGCACGGCGAACAGGATGTTGTCAAACTGAGTGATTCCGTCATTGGGGCCAATCCAGTTTTTGCTGCAGTTGTATTTGGCGGGACACTGACGAACTCCACATGGGAAGTCAACCTCCGATGGGTCGACTGTCTCATTCTCTGCACAAGTTGAGAAGAGATGCTGAATTAAACTTGACTCATTTGTGAGGATTTCAATCTGATTTTAATGGCTAAATGCACCTGCTCTGTTTGATTGTGATGGGAATAGCTCGAAGGTTAATGACAGCTATGAATGTACAATGAGGCGTTGAGACACATTGTTGTTTTTAATTATACAGGACAGCGCTGGTTTGATGGAGTCTCCAGGTGCAGTTGGGTGAATCAAAGCAGGTGTGTATGTGTTCAATTGTACTGCTATCTATAAAGCTGTGTAAATATGAATAGCTTATAATTTATTTTTTGTTCCTCATTGTTATAACATTGCATTTTTTAGCAAATCCTGCACGGACAAAGAGATAAGGGGAATGGACACAACCACATAAAAAACAATCAGCCAAAAAAGTCTCAAATCCTATTGTGATACCAGTCTGATACCAAGAGTGATCGAGTTTGATTTTTAGACAAGAGAATGTAATTTTCAACACAAAATAATAGTTCTTGTAATGTGTAAATGATAATAGTTCTTGTACTATGTAATTGATTGATATGTAATTGTGTATGTAATATCATACATACTAAAAGTAGCTTTAGTATCAGTACTATGTGGGTATCAATTCTAATACTAGAGAATGCTGCTTTTATGCATTAGTACTACAATTACAACAAACAGAAGAAACATTTTGGTTTTAGGACTTTATATTGTAGAGATTGTATAAGTTTTATACTATGGGCATGTGAAGTAGAATTATGAAAACATGTTCTCACAATAACTTAAGTTTAATTAAAATTTCTGTACACACCTGGCCATTTTAAGAGACAATAAAAAGACAGTTACAAAAGAAATTGACATAGTTTTTAACAATGCAATAAAGTAATACAGTTAAGAGGGTGCCTTAAGTACCTTGTATTCCTGCATCTGCCACGCAAGTGGAATGTAGTTTTCCACTGTAAAACTCCAGTCCGATGATCGCAAACATTAAAATGGCAAAAAACAGCAACAGTCCGATCTGCAGCAGCGGAATCATAGCCTTCATTATAGACTTCAGGACGATCTGTAAACCTATAAAAACACCACACTGTACATGAATTAACAGTTAACCAATCACTAATCCAGATAAATACTACAGTGAACACATATTTACTGGGAATGCCTGAAACCAGCTTGAGAGGCCGGAGAACACGCACAGCCCTCAGTGTCCGAAGGTCTACAGAAATGTTCATGTAAGCTCCGGTGGCAGCAAGGATCCTACAAAAAAATTAAGTCAGTCACATAAAAATAACTTAAAGTGCATATAGACATCAAACATGATTACAGTATATTTAAGATTTTACTAAAAATCATGCCTAGGTTTTTTCCTTTTTTTCTTTTATTTTAGCAAAGTTGGACACAGGAATGTGTAAAGGTAACTCCATAATTGTTGACTATAGCAAACATAAGGGCCAAAACCTGTATAAATTGTAAAATAGTTATAATTAGATTAATAAAAACAAAAGAAAACATCTTTATTTTATTTAAACTGACAGAATAATGTTCAGTTAGTGTTCATTATGCCTAAATTGTCCCAACATGTTGTAATTTTCTGTGTTGTGTGACATAGGGTAGAGGAGGTACTCGTAGTCTATTTTTGTAGCAATCTCTTTTTTACAAACTGATGTAAAACTAATATAAATATGTGCTAGTGACAGACCGATATATTGGTTTGTCAATATATCGCGCAGATATTTGGACTTTTTAGCATATTCATTATGGGAATTAAATCTTCAACACAGGCTGATATTTTGTTTTGGTCAATCTGCTGTCTAAAAAATACATAAGTAAGGAAGTCAGAAAGCTTTATATTAACTGTTATATAATGAGATAACTGCACAAAATGTGACAACAGAGCTCTCTTACAGGTTTGTGGTAAAAAGGGACTGGGAGGAGTTTGTTTTTATTTTAAATTAAATAATTAGCGGAAAACAATCCAAAATTGGCCCTACATATCGGCCATCGGCTGCACTGGATTCTAAACAATCAACATCAGCCATGAAAAACACATATCAGTCAGTCTCTAATATTTACCATAGGTTACCAATAGAAAAACATAAAATATGTCTTATGCAGTTCTGAGATGTTTTGTTATTTTGGGGTATACGTTCTAATCAGGAAGAGAGGGATGTCTTTGGGAGTTTTGGCTGCGTGGGAGGATGGCTGTGACAACTGCTATTTAGATGCAGCAGTGTCTCCATCAGCGGTAGCAGCAGCTCTCCCTTAGGCCTGTGAAACGAGGAAAACTCCAGTGCCCAGTTGTGCTCACCAAAATTTCAAACTTGATTCAGATATTTAGAAAAAGACATGACAGATCTCGATTAGAGGTGGGAGATACTTTGGAAAATGTTTCAGGAGCATGCAAAAGTAGAAACTGCTGATAACAAGAGAAATGTTTAAATGAAGTAAACTGTCTCCCCTATATATATATATATATATATCTATATATCTATATATCTATATCTATATCTATCTATCTATCTATCTATCTATCTATATATATATATATATATATATATATATATATATATATATATATATATATATATATATATATATATATATATATATATATATATATATATATATATATATAGATATAGATATAGATATATATAGATATAGATATAGATATAGATATAGATAGATATATATAGGACCAAACCTCAATTCTCTCACATGCTTCTTCCTGTCCCTGTTCCTATACTAAATTCAGAGGTTGAGGTCATTGCTAGTGAATCTAGTTTTATCATTGAATTTTGGCAACCCTACAGTATGGATGAAAAACTGCTGGATTCCTTTTTAATATCAGGTAGCAACAATAGTGTTATAACTCAAAACCAAAGACACTAGTAATAGCTTCACAAAATGTGGCTGTATTTAAGAAGAACTACTAAATGTCTTCAAAAATGGACAACTGAAAAAAATTTCTATATCTGAATATATTGCTGAATGCCGTGTCATTTGATTTAATTAACACTGGAAGAGGCAGAGAAAGACAGAAATAGTTAGCCATTTTTCTCACAGATAGGATCTTTACACCTTTAACTATTCTGTTTATCCTTTTGTGTTTTCCCATTTCCCCCTTTCACCTCGGCACTATTCATTCCCAGTGGATTCTTATCACCTCATCACATCCTTCTTTTTGTCCCTGTTGCCTTCTGTACCAAGTCACCCTCTGCATCCTCCATCTCTCCATCTCTCTTCAGACCATTAGCCTGTATGGGCAGTTTTCAGTTGTTATGGCGACTGGAAAATGGTGTCTATGTTTGGTGCGTGACCAGGGGGTGTCAGGGGTCTGGTTATCATACATTATATTTGTAGTTGAATAAGTTAGTGTTGTCAATACTTGAGGTTAGAAAGCTTTTAAATGACCCAGTGACTTATATTATATCTCTTTTCAATTTCATGCTTTATGCATTTGCTGTAAAGTTGCACTTAGATTCCCCAATCACTGACTTACATATAGACAAGTGTGTTGCCCAAGGACACAACAATAGTATGCACTGCTCAGAGAAGAGTTTAAAACTTCAAATTGGATTTGTGGAAGAAAGGTCTACATTTAATAGTCTGTGAGTATACATAAAGGCACACTATATATGTTTTTGGTTGGGGATCCATCACCTGCTTTTATCTCTGGATGTTATTGCTCTACCTGGAATGTTCCACAGTGTGACGTTTAATAGCCTTACCTTACATTTATTCAATTACAGGTGGTTTGATAGCTCAAAAATATCTAGAAAAGTAGGGATTGTGACTGTGAGTTAGGTTGCATCTCCACAGATCTGACCTGTAACTTAGTGTGGTTTGGTTCCAATTAAGATAAAAAAGTTTAACACCATACTGAGAAACATTCTAGACAAAGCAATAGAAATAGAAAAAAAGCATTTGACAGCCAGAATGCCAAAGCCAAGAATGCACCTTTAAGTACTATATGTATTTAGCAAGTCTAAAGGCCGCCACACACTACAGAATTTTTTGGTCTTAAACAATTATTAAACATGCAACAAAAAGTGCACACCACAGACACAAGTAGAATCTTATGAGACCTAAAATCTCTGATCGCAAAGACTGTAGCAGGATATGGCTGTGTTGTGAGAGCACCTCGTGTTAGCTGTTTCCTGTATACAGTACAACCTCTCACAATGAGATTCTTAAGTGTTCAAACAATCAGAGCACTGCACTTCTAGTTTAGATACAAGTCAAAACTGAGTTATTATTATTTGTGAAATGTGGTGCAATACTTCAGATACATAATTTTTAATGCACAGAAGGCTGGTAATAAAGTGTGCTGCGTGGATGTAAACAGACATACATTAGGAGCTACACTTGCCTTTTTACTTTTAAAGAATGCTTAAACTGGATTAAAACTGGGTGTCATTATTTGCAGAGGACAAATTCTATGGATAATGCGGATAAGATGCTGCACTTTAAATGTACAACTTCATGAAAGGTGAATAATAATTACTATTACTTTCTCTATTTCCTGAGTTTGTATGTGGCGCCTCTGTGACAGTCACTCCTCTGCCCCGATGCTCTGTTTTATTGGCTGTTACCGTAGCGTTGCTGATGTTTGGTGGTTACAATCTGACAGAGCAGCTCAGAGTCACACTTACACCACACACGAGGATTGCAGCAGCTTCAAAATCGCAAACAAAGACAAAAAGTTGGGTCACGCCTCCCCAAACTCGAGGAGAAGCAAATTGTTGCCAAAATCGGGGAAATTCTCCTGTAATGTGTGGCGGCCTTAAGTTGTAGACCATATGAGAACAGGGTCTTGAATATGACTCTTTTTTACTGAGCGGTGAGATCACAAATGTGACAGATTTGCACTGGATGCCCTTCCTGATTAAAAAAGCTGTCTTGGGTTTTTGCTGTACTATCTAAGTCTTGACTCCAGACTTTCTACAAAACATAAGGAGATCCTCTCTTTCTTTTTATAAGTCCACTATTGCTGCCTGAATATTGGCATCAATAAGGAGGACCCTGGCAAGATTAAGCAGCAGATGCTATTCAAGCAAGGGAAGCTAAACACATGGCTAATTTGGCAGGATCATTGTGTAAAAAAGGCACCCTTATTACAGGGATTATTCCAACAGGTTATATTCAGAGTCTCCCATTGAACTGGACTTCACAACATAATGATTGTAACAGACCACTTAAACCCGTGAGATCCTGTCCAGTGTCAGTAGAGTGAGTCCAAGCCCCCAGTCACAGCTGTCAGCCCATATAACTGTGACACACTGACAGACCCCCACAGCAGAGACAGCCTCACTGTGACAAATGTGTGATGACAACGCGAACAGCACCATACGCTCATGTTGTGACATCCTTTGCATGCCTCTGCCACATATCCAATAATATGATATGAACGCACACACCTGACCACTGTAACTGACATCACCATAGACAGATTAATAACATCTATACAGACCTGACTGTTCTGGGCCATTAATGGTAAGAGATGCACCGATAAGATGCTGGTACTGGATATAGGCACCTATATAGAAAATTCTGATAGATCGGATATCGGTTCCAAGATATGATCTTAAGTCATTAGCTTATTTTGTTTTAAAAAATTGGTGTAATAAGATGATCTACTGCCTAATGTTGGCCCTATTATTGAACTTGTATATATATATATATATATATATATATATATATATATATATATATATATATATATATATATATATATATATATATATATTATATATATATATAAATATTTTTTTTTCAAAGCTGTTCTGTGTTACTTTATATGATAAATGAGTTAGAAAACACATTTGAATTATATAAATAATAAAGTTAATAAACCAGTCTCTGCCCTTATATCGGCTGATATTGAGACAATTCATCAACAATGATATCAAAACAAAAATAATACTAAGAAGATAATATGCCCAGTGTGTACATGCACAACAAAAATCTTGTAATTATCTGATTTCTGGAGTTATTGAAATTCCATTTAAACATATCAGGTAAAATGCATAGTCTAGTCTTTACAGAGACAGGGACAGTGCACAATTAATCTTAACAGGAGAGATGTATTGTACCAGTTGTAGCACTAGTGCTAATTTCAACCTGTAGTCCCTGGGCAGGCTGATGTTACAGTTCATAAAATTAAGCATGCAAAGAGACTGTCTTTATAATGACCAGATCATCATAAAAACTCTGTATCATCATTCACACTCAATTCTCTCAGCACCTTAAAATCA